AGAAGACTACAGCGTAGAGAAGCAGAGGCGGCGGCCCAGGAGATCAAGCCCAAAAGGGATGAAACATGGACCACAGAAAAGAGCAAGACCAGCAGCAGGTCTGGAAATGGACAAAAGAAATGGATATGAGAATTTTGCAAAGAAGATGTGCCTGGCAGGACCAAATAAGACCAGTGTGTCTGCTTGTGGAATTACTGGGTTGCTGCAGGAGAAAGAACTGAAAGAAGCTTCAAAATAATAATGGCAGAATTTCACTGTGTTGTGAACAAAAGGGAGATGAGACAAAGTGGAATCCAAAATAACCACAAGAGACAATGACAGCCAAACCTAAAATTGAAGGGAAAGGAGGAAACAAACTGATAATGAGGCCAGACCACAAGTTCTGCGTTCCAGAGATTTTGTCCAAAGATGAAACGGTAATTTATTAATAGCTGGAGAAGGGGACAGAGAGGAAACACGAAGCTAGCTGAATGTTGGCAGCATGATAAGGAAGGAGGGAACTACTGAAGTTAAAAGAGGGGAGGATAATGGTGACCTGAGGGAACAGCTGAAAAGGAAAGAAACAAGGCTGAGCCCCCCAACCCAGATCTTTTCCTAATTTCATGGTTACTTTTAACTGATTTTATGTTCTGCAACCACTTAGGAAAGTGTTAAGTGGCACATAAATGGTTGAAATAAATAATTTGCAATTGGCCTTTTCTTTTTGGGCGGCGGGGGGAGTAGAAATCCAGAGGGTGCGTCTTCATGTGTGACCCGCTGGTTTTACTAGGGCTGCTGCATCTTGAAGAGCAAATAAGAGGGCAGCCTGCGCTGGGGAAAGAGGCACACAGGGCCACTGCAGCCACACGCAGGCTGGCAGCAGCCACAGCTTGCAGAGCAGCTGCTGCTCCCAAGCCAAAACCCCAGATATTTCCTTTAAAATGTAAAAATCCGCCCAGGTGGGCATGTTGTCCCCCCAAAAGAGGACATGTCCGGGTTTTACACTTTTAATACTGGAGCTTTTACACTTGTACTGTTCTTTCTCAAAGCGTGAATTGCTGCCACATGATTGCACTGTAATGATTAAGTTTTCAGCCTTTTTTACTTGTCGTTTGGCCGACAGTATTGATCCTCACCAGATCCCTGCCCTGCTCTTTATTACTCCAGAGCTGCTGCAGGGATTTCCTTTCCAGCAAGGCACCTTCAACACAGAAGCCCAGAAATATCTTGGCAAAGGGCTCCTGCAGGAATTCCAGCAACGCCACTCTGCCCCAACAATGCAATTTGAAAATGCAACAAAGGGGAACATTCAGCCCAGGGGTTGTTCAAAAAGGCCACCCACCCCACAACACGCAATGCGTGCATTTTAATACTTCTGCTCTGTGTAATTTTAAATTTCACTGCGGCATCGCCATGTAAAACTTGGTTCCATCTAAGTGTGGTGGAGAAACACGCAGCGTTGATTGCAAGATGTGTCTTTACCCCCAGATGTGCTTGGCACATTTCCAACCAATACATTCTGGGGCCTGAGCCCAAGCGGCTCCTTCCCCATACAAATTAAAAGGAACAGGGAGTTTTGAAAGGAACAGAGCCCCCCCCCCATTCAGTAGGGTTTGCACAAGGGCAATCCTTTGTGGATTGTGCTCCATGGGCCAGATCCATTTGCCTCACTGAGCACGATCCGGCCCTTCGTAAGTTTCCATGTGAACATTCACACAATTTGCACTTCGGAGGCAGATGGATGGCCTACTCATGGCCATTTGTGACAGAAGACAGCCGTTGTAATTTGAAGCTGCCCTAAATTGCTTGTGCGGTGAAGAGGCTTTTCGGAGCACTGCCAAGCCTGGGAAGAAATTATTGTTTCAGGACATCTTCCGGGCAGCGGCATGGATGAGACTGGGCTCTCAGAACGTATCCAAATGTGTTCCAAGACCACCTCCACAACAGGAACTTTGATTTGGGTCACAGGAAAGATCAAGGTGGGTGGGGGTCAATGTCCCAAGCATGTTCTTGCAACCCACCCCCCAAGAGCCACTGCCTCTGTGCAATACCAGCAGTTTTTGCTCGACACGCTTTCGGAGGGCAGGCAAAAATGTTCTCCCACCTGGGAGCCTTCCTTAACTGCAAGGGCTGGAGGCCTTGGAATTAGGAGGTGGGTGGAGCTTCAAGGCGATTGGAAAACCACTGTATTTTAGCTCAGGAAAGCTGGCGGAAGCAGCTCCCAAAGCACTCTCCATCCCTGCTCTCAAGTTAAATCTCCAAATTGGCTCCATCACGCTCCACTTCAGGCTTCTAGTCGTTATGACACCCCCCTCCCGCAACAGGTTCTCTACTTCTTTGCCTCTAGAGCAGTGCTTCCCAAACTTGGGTCTCCAGCTGTTGTTGGACTACAACACCCATCATCCCTAGCTAGCAGGACCAAGGTCAAGGATGATGGGAATTGTAGTCCAACCACAGCTGGTGACCAAAGTTTGGGAAACTCCTCTGCCTACGCCAGCAAACCCGTCTGCTTTTTCAAAACCTGCTGTCCCATTCAAACCTCTCTCCAATGCCTTACCGAGAACTAGATCACTAGATTCTGCCACACTGTTCACCGCCAGTCCCTCCCTCCCTCCTCCATGTAGAGAGCATCTAGAAACTGTTAGGATACTGATGTTCCGTTCCACCTAAACAGATGTGTGGAGCTGTTGCATGTCTGTTTACATTCCAGCACAGCTTGCTGGGAACTTCCGTTTGTGTCTAGCTTTTGCCTTATGCTGCTTGTAGCTCTTGGACATGAGGGAGAGCAAACATGTTTTCTTTGTCCTGATCTATGCTGAATAAACTGCTTGAAAATATGCTTTACATATGCCTATGTCTGCTCTTCCGTCGCAAAGAGTTTGTTATCTCTGCTGGCTTGCGTGCTCAGTTTCTGAAGCTCTATGTTGCAGTCTTGATGCAGAACCGAGGACTGGAGTTTGACTGGCAATGGGCCGGTGGGCTGGAGCCAGCTGGGGGCCTGCCAATTGCCCCCGTTCCCTTGGGCGCATCGCAACAGAAACACGCTCTGTGTGGTGCAAACTGCTGCTGCCGAGATGTTGGCCTTGACACAGGAATTCCCAACTCTGGTGGGCCTTTGGGGACGCCACTCTTCCTCCGATTATCCTCCCCAAAAGGGTCGTTGTGAACTTCAAGGATGCTCTAAACACCCACCGCCTACCGTCCCGGGAATGAAAGGGGAAATGGGGAAAGAGAACACAAAGCAAAGCTTCTTCCTCTTCAGGATTCGCAATTCGCTTCCCAGAAGTCGGAGGCAACCATCAAACCAGTTCCAAATTTTAATATCCATTTGTTTACAATAAAATGTAAAATAAAAGAATATATGAAGTACATACAGAATATTTACATACCTATATTTATTTCAAATACTTAAAACTCTTAAGTAAAATATTCTTTTCTTTCTATATTATTTGTGAAAAAATATGACTTTTTAAATGGTGTCAACCTGACGTCTCTATACATATTCTCAGTTCCAATTTAAGTCTCTTTTTAAAAGGCAACAGCAGATGAAAGTTTTGCACTCCCTCAGGTATCTCAACGTGTCTCTTGGCCAAGGGGAAGTGAAAGGCCTTCTGATGAGCCACGTTGCATTTCTCTGAGACCCCCATCTTTATTGCAATTAGCACAGGCGCTTTCAGTTCCTCTGCGGGAGGGAGAGACATGTTCAAAACCGCGCGCGCACACACACAAACACCTTGTGTGTCTGCTTCACAAGTCCTTTGCCATTCTCCTTTCATAATACGGATGTACTAAAATATATATTACTTAAAATATATTAATTATAATCTCTTAATTCGATTTTCAATCATATCAAATATATTGCATCGGGGCAGAAAACGAAAAGGAAGGGTAAGAGGGGGCGCTCTCTGCCGTGGCCCCAGGGGGCCCGTGAGCTTGCAAGCCCTGCAGGATGAGGAGGCGGCCCAGGCTGGCCTCTGCTCCCCAGGTCTCCTGGCAGGAAGTAATTCTGAGGAAAGGCAGAGGTGGGGTCAGGTTTCCCGGACTCCTGCAACCCACCTCTGCTGCCAGCTGGAGCCCCCGCTAGCCCCACAACTCAGATCTGCGCTCACTTCAATGCCAAACACCTGAAACCAGGACGTGGCAACTGACTGGGCCCCGAGTGAGAACGCTGCTGAGGCATAATATGACGGGGAAACACCTGGGCGGCTGGACCAGGGGGCTTGATTCAGTATCCTTGGCCTTTGAGAAAAGAGAGGGGAAGCTTTCCTTCTGAAGAACCCTGAACTCTGCTTCAGATACAAAACTCTGCATGTGTGGGGCCTATTGGGGGGGGTGAGGAGACAACGCATGGCAGGCAGCTTCCCATCTCATGGGCCTCTGGTTGGGGACTGTGAGAAGAGAGTGCTGAGCTGGATGGGGCCCCAAGGGGACTTTCCCCACAATGTAGCATCCAGAAATACCAAACCCTGCAGAGAAACCGGGTGCCCACCTGCCTGCACAAGACCCACAAGTGCCAGGTTCGTTAGGGCACTGCGCATGAGTGCGCACACAGCGCCATAAGGAAAGGGGGCAGCCAGCCAGCCAGAACTGCGTGCCAGCCTCTACCACCAATGAGAAGAATGGCACGCCAGGGGACTGGCCGGCTGCCGCACTGGAGAGCCCAGCTTAGCCATGTGAGGGGCCTGGCCAGAGCCACCTTTTGCTGGCGTCGCGAAAGATGCTTGATGAACACGGGAGTTCAAATCAATCAGATTGATCTTAAGCAATTTGAAACATTTCTTTTTTTAAGACAAAAAGGAAAAAACCACACAACGCAACGTATTTACATGATTCCTGAAGTGCAAACACTTGTCCCAAGAGCTTCTGCCGTCCGTCCGTCCGTCTGTCCAAGGTGCTTCTGACGCTCTGGAGGAAACAGAGCGGATGGCTGGAGGGGGCAGGGGAAAGGGCTCCCGGTTCGGCAGTGCCCCCCTCCTGCTCCCCAAAGAGGACGCCACCCCCCAGCAGCCCGTCCGGAGCTGCTACCGCACCACCAGGCAGGAGACGCAGAGTTTGGAGGGGCCGATGCAGTCGTCGTGGCAGAAGGCCCCGCAGCCCTTGCAGACGATCATGGCTTTCAAGCGGCAGTAGCACTTGGAGGGCAGGTCCAAGCGGCCGTCCTCCGAGAAGGCCTGGCCCGGGAGAGGGTGGCCTCGGCCCGCGGGCCCCTGCTGCCCGGCGGGGATGGTCGTCACTGTCACCGAGAAGGAGACCACGTCCCCCATGCGCCCGGGGTCCGACAGCCCGGTCAAGAGTGCCTCCTGGCGCAGGTCGGGAGACGCAGAGACGTTGATGGTGCCGCTGTAGCCCGAGCCGAGGAGCGGCGCCCCGACCGGACCCCCAAAGAGGCGGGGGGGCTGCTGCGAGGGGGAGCGTAGCAGCGGGGGCCGGGGAGGGAGGGGCTCCGCCTGCGCGGCCGAGGGAGGCAGCTCCAGGCTGCAGGGCTTCCTCTCCCCCCTCACCGCCTGAGCCACTTGCTCCTGGGCTGCCCGCAGGAAGTCCCTCGCCAGGGCACTCCGGGCAAAATCTGAGCCTGCAGAGAGCGTGCGGGTGGCTGCCTCTGCCGGGCTGCCTTCTGCTAGCTCCCCCTTCTTGGTGCTCCTTCTGGGGGGGCTCGCCGGCTCTCCCTCTCCTCCTGCCCCTTTGTGAGGCAGGGGCTCCTCCTTCGTCACAACAAACGCCTCTTCGTCCTCCGTGTCGTCCGTCTCTCGCCCGTCCTCCCCGCCACTTACGGCCCCCGCCTCTCGTTCCTTGAACTCCATCTTGGGCCCCTCGGGGCACAGGCGGCTCTCCGGGGGCACTGCCAGGCTCCTCCGGAGGTTCTCGGGGCAGCGCCCGTAGGTGGAGATGTTCAGGAGATAATGTCCCGACATGGCAGGCTTGGACGTCCTCCTGCCGGCGAATCCCAGGACGAAGCTCTGGCTGGGGGAGCTGCTGCTCTCCACAGGGAAGTCTGCGGGGAGGGGGGGGAGCTGGGGAGGGGGCGAGGAAGTGGGCAGGGGGCCCTGCCTGGGAGCCGCCTGCATCAGGGCCTGGAGGAGGTGGTGCTCCTGGGCTTCCTGGCTGGAGAAGGGGGCGGCACTGACGCCCCACAAGTCCCGTCCTGGGAAGGAGGAGCAGGGGGCAGGGCCGTGGGGTGGCGGCAGCAGCAGCTGCCTGCCCTGGCTGGAGTCTGGCTTCCCGCTCAGCGGTGAGGCGGCTGGGGGAGGCGGCTGCCTCTCGCCAGCTTCCCTCTGCGGAGGAGCTGCTGGCAGCTCTCTGCCTTCCTTTGCGGGGAGAGGGAGGGTCTTCATCTCCCCGGCCCGGGTCAGGGGCTTGGGCAGGATCTGCTCCATGGGCACCGACTTCCCCTGCAGCAGCTGGGCCACCAGGGGGTTGTTGGCTGGGATGCTGGAGCTGGCCTTGAGGAACGGGGTGGCAACGGCGCTTCCGCTCGAGGGGCCAGGGGGGGCTTTAAGGCTGTGGGCGACGGCAGGGGATGACGCAGCCGGCGGTGCCAGTGGGCCGGCCTGAGCGGCAGGAGACGGGGGCGCCCGGAAGAGCCCAGGGGGTGCCTGAGCTGAAGAGAGGGATTTCCCCCCTGGAGCCGTGGCACCGGCAGCCGGAGCCGCTTCAGCCCCACTTTGACTGGCTGGGCTGGGGCCTTCGGGGCCACAAGTCGCCCCGGAAATCAGGATGATTGTGGGAGAGGCGTTCCCAGGGCCACCCATCCCTGCAGGCGGCCTGGCGCTTGAGCCCGAAGGGACCCCCCAGCTGGCAGAGGCGGCCAAGTGCAAGTGGCTGGCGCTGCCTATCTCTGCCTGGGGGGCTGGCGGGGTCTCCGCCCCGGGGCCCGCTCCTGGGGGCCGCCCTGGGGGAGCCGGCTGTAGCTGTGCTCTTGCAGGACCGACAGAGGGTGCTGGCTGGGGCGCCGCGGGGGGTGGCGCTGGGGGGCAGGCGGAGGGGGCTCCCGGGCCAGGGGCCCTTCGTGGACCTCCCCCGCCTCCAGGGCCTGCCAGGTCCAGCGCAGCTCCATGAGGCCTCCCTGGTGCGACGCTGCTCTGCTCCTCTCCTCTCCCCCCGCCGGGGCCGGGCCCCGGGATGGCTCCCACAAAGGACGCAGGAGGAGCAGCGCCGGAGGCGGCAGCGGCCGCGGCGGCTGCTGCCCGCTGGGCCCTGGCCATCCTGGCGCGGGCTTTGATATCCGCCAGAGTCCTGGCCCCTGTCCTCCGGGGACTGGTGATGGTGACTGGGAAGCCGGGCCTGGGAGAGACCTGGCTGGTGGCAGGAAATGGCGAGGGAGAGCCCTGGATCCTGGAGACGGGGATCTGGAAGAGAGAAGAAAGGCAGGTGAGCTGGCGGGAGGATCCCTGGCAAAGCGGCACCTCTGAGCCGGCCAGTCCCCGTGCCAAGGAAGGATTTGTTTCCCGAGAAGCGAGAGCAGCGCCGTCAACGAGCTCCAGCAGGCAAGATCCCACGTGAGACTTCAACCTCCAGCTCATGGGCCAATCTTGGCCTGCTCAACTTCCGCATTTGGCCACTTTTTTTGCCAACTCACCCCCCACCCTCCTGATGTCCACAGGAAAGGGCAGGGCTTGGTCACAGCATCCAATCACCAGGTGATAAGGGAGGGCAGCCCTGCTTGGTCTGGGCGCGCAAGAGATCGCCCTGAAGGAAGCTCTCGCACACCCAAACCTGCTCAGCTTTGCTGTGTTTTCAATGCATGCAGCAGACGCTATTCAGAGGGGGTCTGCTGCAAAGCAGCTGCTGAAAGAAGTGGAAAAATGCTTGTTCATAGCAGCAGCTCGCTATCTGGAACTAGATGATCCTCTGGGTCCCTTCCAACTCTACAATTCTATGGTTTCTATGTGCTTTGACGTCCCAACTTTGGGACGTCAAAGGACAAAAAACAACAACCCTGACATCATTTATGTGGGTGGACGCCCCACCCACCTGCCCACCTGGGCCATGAGGCAGATCCTTATAAGGACCTGGCCCTAAAACCAACAAGGTTTCCCTACCGCTGAGTGACACTTTATGGTGCCTGTCACGATGGGTAGCAGGTCCCTCCCCCTCTGGCACTCTGAAGCCAGTGCTGGCAACCAGGCTGGTTCCAAACTCTCTGTGGCCTCATGAGAGTCTTCCTTAAATGGATTTGCCAAGGCTAAGCTTGGGGTGACGTGCAAGCAGACCCTGCAGCTGCCAGCCAACTTCCCAAGAGTCGAGATATGCCCAGCCTGCGCCCGCCCCACCCCATCCCCCTGCTGTGAGGGGTGTTTGTTGGCTTCCTGCGTTTGCACCCCACCTTTTCCTCCTGGGTGCTCAAGAGGGCGCGCAGTTCTCTCTCGCCGTGGAGGAGGAAGAGAGCAGCCCAGGCAGACGCAGGGCCCCCGCCCCCCCTCTAGAGCCCATAACCAACACGAGGCAGAGAGCTCTCTTACCCGGAGTGGGGGGACCTTGGGAACAGGAGCGATGGGAAAGGGCTGCGGCGGGCTCTGAAAGGGCGGCCTGGGGGGGCACTTCTCCTCAACGTGGGCCCGCTTCTCTGGTGTGGACAAGGCCGCCTCCTCAGGGGGCCCGGGCTTCCTCTTCAGAGCCTGCGCTCCGGTGTCCATCTGTTCCGCGCTGGCAGGAAGGGCATCCTTGGCAGGCGTCGCCCGAGACTCTCCTTCCGGGCTGGCGCTGGAGGTGGCGGAAGCGGCAGCAGTGGCGGTGCTGGTTGGGATCTTTGGTTTGCTTGCGCTTCCCTTCCCCGGAAGGGACTCCGGGCAGGGCAGGTGGGGCCTCTTGGCTTCTCCTGCCTCCTCTTCTCGTCCAGCCACAGCCTCTTCCTCCGCCCCCCTGGAAGGCCTGCGGGGAGCCTGGCTGATGGGCGTGTTGCTGGAGGACGAGGACGACTTCACAAGCTCCTCCGGTGGCGTGGAAGCCCGTGGCGGCTTCTCCTCCTCTGTCGCCTCTTTGCTGGCGGCTCCTGGCAGTGGTGGCACCACCAGGGCATCCTGCGCCTTTGGAGTTGCCACAGGAGCAGCCTCTTCTTTGCAAGGCGTGGCCAAGGAGACCGGCATGAATTGTGGCGACTGCGTGGCTGGGTTCTCGGCCTGCGACTGGTCCTCCTGAGCAGCAGGTGGGGCAGTGGAGGTCAGCTGTGCCGACTCTTCGAGACTCAGCCCAGAGCTGGAAGGAGAGGCAGGGAGAGAAAGGAGAGGCACCAGTGAGACGCCCTGGGGGGCTCTCTCCCCACAGCACCACGGAGCAGAGGTCAGCTCCCCCTTGTACTCAAAACCACACAGTCCCAGAGGGGCCCAGTTTTGGGAGGGAAATGTAAGATGGCTAGCTGGATGTGAGGAGGGAGAGGGAACAACCTGAATCCCAGTTACAATTCAAAGTGTTGGTGCTGACCTTGAAAGCCCTAAATGGCCTCGGTCCAGTATACCTGAAGGAGCGTCTCCACCCCCATCGTTCTACCCGGACACTGAGGTCCAGCTCTGAGGGTCTTCTGGCAGTTCCCTCATTGCGAGAAGTGAGGTTACAGGGAACCAGGCAGAGGGCCTTCTTGGTGGTGGCGTCCACCCTGTGGAACGCCCTCCCACCAGATGTCAAAGAGAAGAAAAACTACCAGACTTTTAGAAGACATCTGAAGGCAGCCCTGTTTAGGGAAGCTTTTAATGTTTAATAGGTTATTGTATTTTTGTGTTCTGTTGGAAGTCGCCCAGAGTGGCTGGTGAAACCCAGCCAGATGGGCGGGTATAAATAATAAATTATTTATTATTATTATTATTATTATTACTACTACTACTACTCCTCCTCTGATAGGGTGATGGCGGAGTAGAATCTCACACCACTGGCATTTGGAAGGGCGATACATTGCCCAAGCCTGGTAGGCAGCCAGCTGCCCGTGACAGTAGCGGCCTGCCCTGCCCCACACTTGACCAGAAACATCAAAAGAGAAACTCCTTGCTTCTAGGCTGATAAAGATGATGGACTATGCCAAACTGCCAAAATCGACCGGGAAAAATCAGAGATCAAGAGGACAATAAAGAATGGGAATTTTTTTAAAAGTTACTTGAAAGAACACTGTAAACAATTGAAAACATTGACAGTATTTTAAAAACACTTGCAATGAAGCGAGAACTATGATAAAAATGTAGATTTAGGAAAATATGGAGAATATGATATGACGCAGTTTGAAAAGAATATCTGGGGAAACGATGGGGGGGGAGTTCGAGGATTCTGAGAATCCTATTTGTAAAATGATTATGATTTATGTATGACAACAAATGTTAAAAGTGAAAGTGAATTTTAAAAAGTCGCTAAATAAATAAATAAATGGTCAGTTTTCAGAAGAAAAAAGAGAGAAGCTCCTTGCTTCTTTCACTCATTTCATTCTCTTTCTGCTGCCCTTTCAGACACTGGGATGGAGGGAGAGGGAGATGCTTTGCTTCTGAGTGATGGGCACAACATGCTGTCTCTCTCTCTCTCCACACACACACACACACACACACACACAATCCTTTTATGTGATGGTGTGCTTGGAAGCCCAGAACCCCTGAAGAGCTAAGCATGAGTGAAGAGGGAGCGCAGTGCAGCGCAAGGCAATGCCCTCCTCACCTCTGGCCGTAGTAGCTCTCAAAGAAGTGCTCCTTCCACAACTCCACCTTCTTCTCTTTCTCCAGCTCCTGACGAAGCCTCAGCTGGATCTCCGGAGTGAATTCTCCTGCCACACGCGCAAGGCAAGGGGAGGAAGGGGTCAGCAGGGGAGAGACAGCCCCGTCCGCCCAGCACCTGCCCCCCTGCCCAACCAAACGCAGCAGCTGCTGAGCCAAGCGCAGGAGCTCAGGGGTTCGAAGCAGCCTTCTCCAAAGCAGCCGGGACAACTTCCCTCTCCGCACCCCAAAAATGCTTCCCTTTGGTGGTGAGGGGCTGCTGCTGCTGTTCTGATTCACTTAGGGCTCAGCGGCCTCACCTTCCGATAGTCGCTCCTTCCACCCTTGGGCAGCGGAGGTGAAGAACTCGTTGTTGAGGGCGGAGCTGCTAAGCTTCAGCAAGCCATCCAGTCCCACCTGAGAAAGAGAAAAGGAAGAATAATGGGGTGCCAAGGACCCGACACCGCCTCTGCCAGGTCTCCCAGCAGAGACGGGAGGTTGGCAAAGCAGCGTCTAGGCAGCGATAGAGAAACTGGCCTCAGGATTAGAGGGCAGGGACTCTGGGTCTGGGGAGCTCCAGGCATGCTTCTTCTCTGCCTGCCCCCAAATCCCCCTGCAGCCCCCTCCCACGACCACCTGCTTGGGACCTGCTCATTTAGGAAAAGACTTTAGGAACACCACATAAATGCAAAGGTGCTTTTCCTGAAGGGAAGAAGGGAGCACTGTGTTTTTCAGGCAGAATTGGAAGGTTAGAACTAAGGAATTAAGCCCATGTCCTGCCCTGGGTAGCAGGCGCCGATCTTTCTAAAGGTCCTTGAAAAACACCAGGGGAAGTGGACCTGTAATAATAATAATAATTTATTATTTGTACCCCGCCCATCTGGCTGGGTCTCCCCAGCCACTCTGGGCAGCTTGCAACAAAGATTAAAAATACATTAAAATGTCACACGTTAAAAACTTCCCTGAACAGGGCTGCCTTCAGATGTCTTCTAAATGTCAGGTAGTTGTTTATCTCCATGACATCTGGTGGGAGGGTATTCCACAGGGCAGGCGCCACCACTGAGAAGGCCCTCTGCCTGGTTCCCTGTAACCTCACTTCTCGCAGGGAGGGAACCGCCAGAAGGCCCTCGGCGCTGGACCTCAGTATCCGGGCAGAACGATGGGGGTGGAGACACTCCTTCAGGTATACTGGGCCATAAAAGGGTAAAAGAGTAGTACAGTGGATCCTCTGAATATGGCTATGTGCAGAAGCGGTGCCTCTGGTTACGGATTTGTCATAGAGCGCTTCTATGCATGCACGCGGCATGCTGATCACTTCTGTGCATGTGGCGAAACCCGGAAAAATATTTCCAGGTTTGCCGCTTTCGCAACCCGAAGATTACGTATCCAGAGAGGTACGTTACCCGAGGGTCCACTGTATTGGGAAAGAATCCATAATGAATGGAAAAAAATGTTTAAAAGTACTTTTCAAAAAATAACAAGAACAGAGTCCTTTTTGTTGGGGATAATTAAAAAAGGTTATTTATGTATGCTGCTACTGCGGCCCATGTTTCGTTAGCCCAAAAATGGAAAATGAGCAAGGTCCCAGCTAAAGAAGAATGGCAACTTAAGCTGACAGAATATGCACAGCTTGCAGACTTAACATATAGAATAAGAAGAACATGTATTTAGAGAAGATTGGGAAATGTTTATTGAATATATGGGGGGAAACAGTGTACACCTGAAAACGTTGGCAGCTCTAAGATAAATTCAACAGTGTGAGTAAGTTTTGATGGATGTAATAATGGAATACTGAATTTTTGTAAAATATGCAGGGATTTATGATATGCAAAATGAACCATGGAAAGAGAAGGGATGTAATTGGTATTTTAAGGATGTTTAAATGAGCCTTCTAAATTGTAAAACAGAAAATTTAATAAAACACACACACCGTATTTTTCTGTCTATAAGACGCCCCCATGTATAAGACACCCCCTATTTTGGGGGACTCAGATTTAAGAAAATGGGGGGAGAAGTATACGTGTATAAGACGCTCCCTAATTTTTGACATTATTTTTAAGGGAAAAATCTAGTCTTATACATGGAAAAATATGATAGATAGATGATAGATGAAAAACACCAGGGGGCGGGGCACACAGCAGCAGGCAGGCAGGTCAGCATGTGGCAAAACCGGCGTCTTTAATTCTCCTTTCCAAAAATATCAGTGCTGCAGCAGCAGGAGCTGCAGGGGGTGGGGTCTGGGTCCTTTTGGGGTTCCTGTTTTTCCGCACGCAGCTCTGACTGAGCAGAGAAGCCGCAGAGCAGCTCAACTCCCGCTGATGTCCCAGAACACAATAATAATAATAATAATTTATTATTTATACCCCGCCCATCTGGCTGGGCTTCCCCAGCCACTCTGGGCGGCTTCCAAAAGAATATTAAAATACTATAATACATCAAACATTAAAAGCTTCCCGAAACAGGGCTGCCTTCAGATGTCTTCTAAAAGCCTGGTAGTTGTTGTTCTCTTTGACATCTGGTGGGAGGGTGTTCCACAGGGAAGGCGCCACTACCGAGAAGGCCCTCTGCCTGGTTCCCTGTAACTTGGCTTCTCGCAGTGAGGGAACCGCCAGAAGGCCCTCAGTGCTGGACCTCAGTGTCCGGGTAGAATGATGGGGGTGGAGACGCTCCTTCAGATATACTGGACCAAGGCTGCAGCTTGTGCAAACCAAGCGGCTGTTTGCTCAGCTGATGTTCCGAACAAACAGAACCAGGTTGGGGACCACAAGTCTGTCCAGGGCAACTCAACCACCTGAGCCATGCAGACCACGCACACTGCCCCATGCCCTGCTGCCCTCCTGCCCCACCGCCAAAGCTCCACAGGGATGCCCTCCGTTGGGGATGCTTTAGGTGCGATTCCTGAATTGCAGGGGGCTGGACTAGATGGCCACTGGGGGGACCCTCCCAACTCTATGAGTCCACAAGGCCTACCTGCCTGTCCACCTCGGGGAGCAGCAGCAGCAGCCTCTGCTGACAGTCGGCCGGTAGCACAGAGAAGGTGTGCTTATTGATCAGCGCCCTCAGGTTGGTGTTCACCAGGATGGAGTCGGGCGTCTCCACGTCGATTTCGGCACATTTCGTCCTCTTCAGCTGCCCTGGGCAAAGAGGCACAGAGGGCCCTGGTCATCTGCGAGGAGGGGAGGAGCAGCAGGCCAGAACGCAGCTCCTCCCCCACAGCAGGGCTCGACGGGGGGCAGAGCAGCAGCCCGAAGCCTGGGCTCGGAAGACCCCTCAAGGCTCAGTGTCCTCTGGCAGGACCTCTTCCTGGCAATGCCAGGCTGCCACCATCAGAAGGTAGGAGGGTTCTCTCCTCTTCCTTGTCCAAAACTCAGGAGCTAACCTGGGTCTGTTCTCCACCTTCAGTAGAGCAGACTGCACCTTCAGAGCACGTGTGTCAGGAGTGTGTGCAGGAGCCAGGCCCTGTGACAGTAGGACTTTGCAGGACCAGGGCCTTCCTAAGTTTGTTCTGGAGAGGCAAGGTGTGGCCACACAGGTGAGGCCGATTGGTAACTCACAGCACCTGGTGGCAAGAGCTGGGAGGGATATAAGGTCAGCATTTCCCTTTAGCTCTTTGCCACAGCAACACGTTCCCTGCCTTGCTGCGTTTGACTCCTTGCTCCTTGATCCTCAGACCCTTGACTTTGTGACTCCTTGCTTCCTGACCCTCGGACCCTTGGCTTTCTAACTCCTGGCTTCTGGACCCCAGTTCCTGCTCCCACCCCACCATCTTGCCCCCGGTCCTGACGTCCCCTGCCGGGACTTCGATCGCCCGTTAACCGGACCATGACAACGTGAAATACCCACATGAGCCTGCCCAGCACAAAAATGGAATGGCTGTGGTATCTGCCCCTCTGAGAATGTGGGGTGTGCTCCAGAGGGGGACAGGCAGAAGATATTTGGTGGAGCAACACACTGGTCAACCTGCTCCCCCCAACTTCCCGCTCATCAAGCCTATGTTCTCAAAGCTGGGAGCCCCCTGATGCCCCCTCCCCAAAACCTCATCACTGCCCTCTGACAAGGAAAGGCCTTTTCATTAAAAAAAGGAAGCAGCAACAGTGGCTGGAAGGAGGTCCAGGGTTATAAAGACTAGGACTAGCCGCCTGAGGAACAGTTTCTATCCAAATGCGATTTTGGTTTTAAACGCAGTGTAAGGTAGTCTCTGCGGGAGTATATTGTATTTAATTATGGGGTATCAGAGTTTTTAGGGGGCTAACTGAAGGAATGGGTTTCTCATTCTAAAATCTGACTGTGCAGTCAGTCTGAAACGGGCCCCAAAATCCCATTTTTCCTTCTCCAAGGGCGCATTAGCTAAAAACCATTAACTTGAGGTTGGAATAGCTGGGATAGCAGGTTTGTTGGTTTTGAATGTCCTATGTGGATATATTTTTTCCCAATTTCATTGTTCTGTATGGAACAATGACAATAAAGATTATTGTATCGTATCGTCTTACTTGCATGAAGCCTCTCCGATCTCTGGAAGGGCTTCTTCCCCAGAACTGGCAGGGAAGGCTCTGTTTTAACGGAGGGAGACGAGCTGGACGTAGAGTTCTGGGAGCTGCTTGAGTGTCCATCAGATTGCTTTCCTTCCCAAGCTGCAGGGGGAAAGAGAAAACGCATCAGAATTAAGATCGGTTCACAGCCAGACCTTGAAGAGACCTGTCAGGAGTGAATCTAGACCACTGGGACCAAATTGGATGGGAATCAGGCTTACTAGAAAAGTTGACCAACAGACTGAAACTGACCCAGGGACAAAGAGGACGCCTCCAACCCGGTGTGGCTCCCCTTGATCACATACACAGCCCAACAAGACAACAACAAGAAACCACCGACAGCATACTTGACCCAACAATCCCCCCTCACAGATGCAGCTGCTACAGACAACCAACCGTGCCCCCCCATCCCTCTCACTACCAATGAAATGTAATTAGTGAACAGAAAGAGAAGCGGCCAAGTTGATGCTGACACAAAACCCCACATGGACACTATATAAGAGAATATAAGTTTCACCACAGCACCCCTCCTCTCTTCTTCCCCGACCTTACACTGAACACAACATTAATGTCTCATATCAATTGTAACTGATCTATAGAAAAGACTTTACAACCTAAAAAAAGGAACAATGCACGTACTTTTGTAAACCAATAAAATATTTGATAAAAATTGTTTTGGTTTTTTAAAAAAAGAATTAAGATCAGTATCAAGTGATCTTAAGTTTCAGTTTTCAAACTGTCAACCATCTCCAATCCAGGTTACACGAACTGGTCCAAAATCAACTACGAAAAACATCGCAAACTGGCCTTAACGATTAAAATACCTTAATCAGCACCACACCTTCATAATTCCTGGGAGCCTCCTGTCTCTACAGGGTGTCCACCTGAACTCTCCTAATGGGGCCTAATCCTGAGTGATACAGCAAAGAAACAGTACCAGTGGCAGATACAGCAGACTGAACACAACCCCAGGTTGCTCACATCGGGGAAGGTGGAGCTGGAGATCTAGCCATGGGCTACACAGCCAAACTTATTTATTTAACAAAATCTATATACTGCTTAAGTGGGACGTGGGTGGTGCTGTGGGTTAAACCACAGAGCCTAGGACTTGCCGATCAGAAGGTCAGCGGTTCAAATCCCTGCGACAGGGTGAGCTCCCGTTGCTCGGTCCCTGCTCCTGCCAACCTAGCAGTTCGAAAGCACATCAAAGTGCAAGTAGATAAATAGGTACTGCTCCAGCGGGAAGGTAAACGGCATTTCCGTGCGCTGCTCTGGTTCGCCAGAAGCGGCTTAGTCATGCTGGCCACTTGACCCGGAAGCTGTAGGCCGGCTCCCTCGGCCAATAAAGCGAGATGAGTGCCGTAACCCCAGAGTCGGACACGACTGGACCTAATGGTCAGGGGTCCCTTTACCTTTACATACTGCTTGGTTGCAGAAAAACCTCTAAGCAGTTTACACACACAACCCCTCCCCGCTGCCAGCTAACATCTTCCCTGCATGGATATCCCAGTGGGAACCATCCCAAAAGGAGTTGCTCCTGGGATGTAAGAAGACAGGAAGGAGCCCTGCAGCTGAGCCCCTGCTTGGCAGCAGGCAGGAAGTCACGGGCTCCATCCCGCTGGCATCTGCAGGGAATGACCCTTTTGCGTGTGACCAAGGCACGTGCAGCTGCTGACACGTGGGCCGCCTTCAGCCCCAGAAGGAGGCGGAGCGGGCTGACCCGGAACATAACCTCCATGCAAACAGGGAATTGCCTGTACAGCTAAAAAAAGTATTTCAACTGGAGGGGCTTGGGATGACCTTTCTCTGCTGAGGGCCACTGAAGTGAAGAACATGAGGCGGGACTTGGTAATGCAGGCGAACTGCGCAGGAGCAAGCTGCCAGCTAGCTCTGTGGAAGCTCCTTTTATTGGCACAATATGCAAAAACATTTTGGACTGTGACCTTTACACATCTTCCAATCCCAAGATCGTGGGGTGGTACAAAGTTATTTTGGCACCTGTTTCCACTGCGTCAGTTTCCCCTTGAACCATGTATGATGAAGGAGACAAAGGTCACAGACAGACCACTAAGAGAGCAAAGGTTAGATAGAGGGCATGATGCTCAGACAGCTGTGGCTTTGTCTGTGGGGTGTGTGTGTGTGTGCTCTGCACCCCAAGGTCACATGTGCGGACAGCTGAGGCTGCCCGCGGGCGGAAGTGTGCTCCACACCCAGCGATCATTCCTCCACTTCTGGTCAACAGCTCTGACAACAGCAAGAAACAAGAACGGACTGCTGGATGCCGCTTCAGGCCGGCTGTTGTGCCTGTAAGAGGCAAGGGGGCAAGCGAGGCGTTGGGGTCTCATACCAGGCTTTGCAGGGACGGAGGGGCTGGCGGCCTTTGCGTGTTGCTGGAGGAGGTGGTGGTTGGAGGAGACGGGCTGCACGCTGGCTCCTCGGCATTGCTGCTGCTTCCGCTGCTTCTGCTTCAGAGCCTACGAGGAGAGGGAGGAGGAGACAGAAAAGAGGAGGCAGCAGGGCCTTCTTAGCTGTGGCACACAGATGTGGGAACGCCCTCCCCAGTGAAGCCTGGCTGGCCCCATCTCTAAGTTCATTCCAGCATTGCACCCAGGCTTTCCAGGGAGGCCTCGGGGGGGAGCCTGAAGACGCTGTGGTTTTTCCTAATGTTTTGCTGGGGGGATGCCCCCCAATTCTCTAACAACTGTTTTACATTGTTCATGAATGCAAGAACAGGCCTGCTGGGTCAGGTCAGTGGCCCACCCAGCCCACCAGCCTGATATCCAGGGGAAGCCACAACCCCTCTGTCCTCCTGTGGCTTCCAGCGACTGACATTCAGAAGCAACAATGCCTCCAGCCATGGAACCAGAACATTGTGGCTGGCAGCCCTTGGTAGGCCCCTCCTTCAAGAATTTGGCTAACCCACTGTCAGAATCACCCAGGCTGGTGGTCATCACGGCCTCCCGTGGGATCGAGTCCCATAGTTTAACTATGTTTGTTCTGCAGAAGTACTTATCTGCTCCTAGTCTTCCTACACTCAGCTTCACTGGGTGTCCATGACTTCTAGCATTACGAGAGACAGAGAAAAACCTTTCTCTATTCACTTGCCCCACACCAAAGGGCTTTGGCTCCCTGACTCAGAGCACGCAGAGGGAAGGCACACCAGGCTTTTGGGCCTCAAGGCAAAGGGCAGGTCCGTGCCCCTGAAACGCAGAAGCAGGAGGAATATTTCAGGGACCATTTTAACCCTTCCCCTCGCTTCTCCACTCACCTGCTTGAGCGCCTTTTTGCTGAGCTTCTGAGATGATGAGATGACTTTACCTGGTGGAATGGAAGGAGATGGGCAGCCCGGCTGGGGAGAGGCCACTTGCAGGAGCCTGGCTGACGCTAGAGAAAGGAAGAGAAAAACAGCGCAGGGAAGTTAAGCCAGCAGCCCAGGCCAAGTGCAAGGCACCCAGAGTTAGAAACTGAGATAGGAAAGAGCTAAAGGGCACCTTAAACCGAGGTTATGGGCGCTGCAATGGAGTGTCTGGGCGTGCTTTTTTATAACAAGAGTACAAAGCTGAAAATGAATGAACTGCAGCTAAAATCTTATGTTCATTTTTCACATGGTCTAGTCCTCATCTGAAGACTGCAAAAAAATCCCACAAAGCCATATTTCCCCTGCCCACCCCCCTTAATATTCTTATGAGGGTCCCTTCTCCAGTGGGGAGGCAGAAAAAGATCCTCCTTTTTTTCCAGCAGTGGCAGTTTGAACCTTAAATCTTAGGCACAGCACTACGCCCAGAGCTCAGGAACTGCTCACATTAATGAAATTCCCTGTTGCAAAACGCGCCTAGAACAATGGGAGTTTCGAACGCTGAAGTCACCTTCTGCAAAAGGCCGGGAAAAGGCCATCTGCTCCGCCCACCTCCCAGGCGCATGGCCAAGATGCCCCAGAGAATCACAAGAATTATCGCCATCTTTTTATCTGGCCCTTTCCCGAAATGGACCACAGGATAGCAAGTGAACAGTAAGTATGGCTATTCATGAAACCATCAAAATGTGTTGTATCCAGTGTAGTGCTAAGTCACTTGGTGATCCGCTCGTTCCACTGGGGAAATGTTTTCTGACAGCAGAATACTTCACTGTGCAAGAAGACGCACAAGCAAGTTGCTAGTTCACTTTGCAGCATGACGGAAGGCATGACCTGCTGCGTAGTGAGTTTCTGCTAGTGCAGCTGTTGGGCTGGACTCCTTTGTTGCGCAACATCACAAATCATCTGTCCACTAGCACAAGAGCCTAATGTCAGCAAATACATAGCATAAGAGTAAGAATAATATCCACAGAACACCATACCTAAAAAAATATATAATTTCTGCCATCTAAATGGAGAATTTTCCTGTAATGTAAACAAACAGAGCTGGACCTTAACAACACAGACAGGTGGATATTTTCTGAGAAGTTATTATTATCACTTATTGAATTTATATACCGCCCTATACCCGGAGGTCTCATGTTGTGCCCCACGGAGTTTCTCCCACATAATCTCGATGTGCCGAATTTCAGCACAGAGAACAGGGATGGTCAAGGTACTGCCCTCCCAATGCTTTCGACTCCCAACTCTCTCGGCCCCAGCCAGCAAGGCCAAGGGTCAAGGATGATGGGAGACACAGTTCCACAACCCCTGGAGGATGTAAGGCTGCCTAACCCTGGCGCAGAGCAGGTCATCCATGTGCTTTGCCCCTCGAGTACCAGAGCAAAGAGCAACAGCTGTGGCCGAGGGTGGTGAGAGCTCAGAGGATTTGGTGGCAGCGCTTTGCCCCACAAGATCCTGCCCCCACCCGTCTTCCTGGAGCCCACTGTGGCATTCCCTGGGTGCCCCCAGCGGACAGAGCTGGGCTTGGACCTGGCAGGACGGCATTCAGACCACATTCTTGTCACAACAGGCTCCCCTTCCGCCTCTCAGCCTTCATTCCCAGTCTGCAGTGAGATCCTTGCCCCACACTTTTGTCAAGGACGAGCACGAGAGAGGCTGCAGAAGACTTTCTGAATGTAGAGTGCTTCTGTTTCTGTATGTCTGCATTAGCAGTTCATACGTTGTTGGAGCCCTGCTGCTGCCACAGAAGAAAGCAGTCTCAACCTGTGGCACACATGGCAACCGCCGTGATGATACCAAATTCCCCAATGAGGAACAAAGGCAGCAACAATCCTTGTGAACCATTTCTAAACCACTGTTCGGAAGCTGAGATTTGAGCTGACCGTTTTCAGTGCTGAATTCAAGATGGTGTGTTGTCAGAAGTCTCCTAAGCTAAAATGCCCACCCTTTGCTGGGAAAAATCCCCAGTGGCTGAAATAAACTGACACGCCCCCATGTCTGGGGGTTTTTTGGGTTGTTGCTTTTTAAAGGAAAATAACCTATCACTCATTCTGCTACTTATATTTATCTGCAGCATCTGTACCCACTTTTCAAGGCCCAAAGACCCCAAAGTGGCTTACATAAAACCAGAAAAAAGAAGACAGCTTCTGCCTGCAGGCTTACCTGCCTAAAACAGGTAACACAAAAGGAAGAGGAGATAAAGAAGGAAGAGGAAAAACAAGCAAACTCAGGGACTAATTCTTAAAGTTACACAGCTGTTCTTACAATGAACCTTCTTCCTGAACCTTTTCCAACTCCACAATATCCTTTCTGAGTTGAGGCGACGAGAATTATATATGCCAGGGGTGTCCATCAGGTCGATCGGGATCTACTGGACGATCCCCGGGAGGTTTTGGTAGATCGTGGTAGATCGCTGGCTCCTCCATCCAGCCTCCCCACCTCCCCCCATCCTCTAGATCGCTAGAATGGAAGAAGGAGTTTTATCAGTGATGCTGTCTGTCTCCTAAGCGTTCTAGCGCTGAGCGCCTTTTTTCATTTATTAGACCTGAACACCCGCCCCCCCAAATGGGATGTACCTCCCTAAAAAAACTCAACAACTTTGATCTGAAACCCCCCCCAAAGGGGTAGATCACTGCCAAATTTTAATCGTTTGAGTAGATTGCAGTCTCCTGGAAGTTGGACGTCCCTGATATATTCCATTCCAAATGTGGCTGACCATAGATTTGTTTAATGGCATTATAGTATTGGCAGTTTTATTTTCAATTCCTTTTCAATTTGCCTTTTTAACAGCCACTGCACACTGGGTGGACATCTTCACTGAGCTCTCCACAATGACCCAAAAATCTCATTCATGGTCAGTCACCGCCAGTTCAGACCCCATGAGCATATAAGTGAAATTAAGACTTTCTGCCCCAAATTGTGCATCCCTTTACACTTGTTTACATTGGCAAATGCAATTCATTTTATTGCCCATTCACCCAGTCTGGAGAGATCCTTTTACCCTTCCTGAACAATCTGGTATCAACAAACTTGGCCGCCTCATTACTCGCTCCTAACTCTATATCCTTTAGGAGCAAGTTAAAAAGCAGAGGTCCCAATACCCAGCAGGCTGTGGTAAAAGACTGGTGGAAAAATTACAGAAACAGGGAGAATGGAACATGTTATTATTGTCTGTGGACAGACCCAGTTAAACTGCTCTAAATACACCAACACTTCACCAGTGGGTTTAAAAACATACCTAGGACTCGGAAATCGTCTTTTCAGGAGTCCTGTTGTTTTGAACAAGCTCATCTGGGAAAGTCAGACTCTGAAGCCAGTGGGACACCCCATGACTCAATATAATAAAAACAGACACTGCACAGTTGCATCTGGCTGACAGAAGGCCTAAGGAACTTATTCATCAAACTTATCTTCCCAAAATCTTTGCTGAGCAAGATCTGCAGATATGAACATGAACCAGAAGCATCCCGGAAGAACAACTTGCATTCAGCCCCCACTGCCTGGTGAAGAGGCAGCTGGCTTCAAGGGTTGGCGCTGACATTTTTGGGGAGGGCTGTCAACAAAGCCACGAGTGATGCCTGTCACAGGAAGTGACAGAATTGGTTTAGCAGAGGAAAATATTATTTGGGAAGATATGTTTCAGCATCTCTTGACTGCTCACAGGCAGCTTTACCTGCTCCATTTGGAGTGTCTGGCAGCGAGGAGTCCAGGGGTCTGCCAGCTCCCTATCCATACAGGCTCCCACCTGCAACATGCAGCGGGAATCTAGCACTGCACTCCTGGCACTACAAAACTGTGATAACAGTCTGGGATAAATATAGGAAAGCGTTAAAGGCAGCAATCTCTCTTTTCTGGTACTTGGAGTACTTTTGAATAATTCTGCCAAACCTCATTATTAGATTCCTTAAATATATTTATTCTATCTAAGTGCAATTACATTCAGTGACATGGTTTTTAATTTTATCACAACCCTCTGGTCTTCAATATATGATGAAAATTCAGAAAGGTGAATATATAAGTGTGTTTGCTGTAACATTCTGTTAATATATCGTCGGGATTTGCTTGCCCAGGAAGATGCTGAAGAGAGGCGCTTAAGGGGGCCAGCGTCTGGGGCTGAGTGACCCATGCTTGACATGCCCACCCTGATCCTCTGTGAAGTCCGGCCAAAGGAGTAGAGTTGCCCAAGCCAACCCTGGGTGCCCCTTCAAGAAGTCTTCTTCCATGTAAGACATTTGCTATTACTTCTGTCATACTGCTGCATTTTTATTATGTTTCCCCTATGAAATAAGGCCCCAAGCGCTTGCTAAGACCGTTATTCTCATTGGCCTTTGCCCACCATTAATAGTGGCTTATAGTATAACTTGCCCTTGCTCAGAAGCCCAGGCTATTATTATTATTATTATTATTATTAATAATTGAATTTATATACTGCCCTACACCCAGAGGTCTCAGGGCGGTTCACAGAAAAGATCAACATAAAAACCACAATATATATAATCAGAATAAAAACAACAACCCAATAACACCCGTCCCATAAGAGCCAAATTTTAAAAAGGGCATAGGATGTCAATCAGATCAACGAAAGACCTGGTTCAAAAAGGAACGTATTTGCCTGGCACCTGAAGGTGTATAATGAAGGCGCCAGGTGAACTTCCCCAGGGAGAGCGTTCCACAGAGGGGGAGCCACTCCAGAAAAGGCCCTGCTCTCGTGTTGCCACCCTCCAGACCTCTTGAGGAGAAGGCACATCAAGGAGGGCCTCAGAAGGGCCAATGCCTCAACCCCGTGTTAAACTGAGTACAAGTACAGCTTCCGTAATTTTCATTCCATTACTAACTCTGAACAGGTTTTCAGACACCACAATTCCTCCAACTCACAGCTAATGGGATTCTCAATTCTCATAAACTTTATTCTCCTATGGGGTCCTAACTGCTGATGACTCAGAATGTTTGAGCTCCCATAAAGCAGAATGTTTTCTGGCCAATGGCCAATGGCCCACCTAGTCCAGCCTCCTGCTCTCACAGCGGCAAAGGGAAACCCCCAAACAGGAGCTGCGCACCAGAGCTCTCTCCCCATCTGTGTTTTCCAGGCACTGGGATTCAGAAGCCTGGCTGCCTCGGACAGTGGAGGCAGAGCAGAGTCATTCCGGGGGCAGCGTTTTGCAAGCCCACGGCTGCCGACTCTGCAGCTGTGGCCACTGAAACAGGACACAGCAGCGCTCACACCCCCTGCAGCCGGCAGAGTGAACAGGAAGCATTTCTGCTGGCGCAACTTACAAAATGCCAACTTGCTTCAGAGTGAAACCCCCGAGTTCCAGAGCTTCCACATTTCCCAAGCGGAATTCATTCTTCATGACACAAGGGTGATTGGGTGGCTTTCTCAAAGTCAGCCCAACTGCAGACACACCTGGGTCCATGCCAGCAATTCACTTCCTGTCGGAAGTGGCGCTGGAGACCGCAGGAGGAAAGAGCGCTGCTGCTGCTGCTGGTGCTGCGCTCCAGGCCTCTTGCGGGGATTCCTAGAGACTTCTGGTCGGCCACTGAGAGAACAGGATGCTGGACCAGACAGGCCCCTAGTCCGATCCAGCAGGGCTCTTCTGACATTATGATGATTCCCTGCCCCACAGAATGCCTCCCCTGCTTGGCTGAGTTAGGGTGAAGCTGCGCAGAAAGCAGGGCAGGACCTCTGCAGTGATAGCTGGCAGCCACGAGTTTTGCTGAGCCCTAAGCCTGGAAGCTGTTCTGCCTGGAGGCTCCCTGCCCTGTCCTTCCCTCCTCCCTCCCTCCGTGGACAGCCACGTAAGCAGCTGGTCACAGGCAGTGGAAACCGCCACCAGGCCTCTCTGCAAGGCAGGGCCACTCAGCCTTACCTCGCAACGGAATTTCAGAAAGCTTCTCTCGGGACATGGCTGTTGCCTACAGAGAAAACAGACACCTTCTCCTCGTTCTCACAGAAAAAGAGCTCCGGCCAGGGCTGGCTTTCAGCACCCCACACGTCTCATGGGGGCTCCGGATTGGCTGGACCCACAAACGTGAAGCTTGTCTCCGCTTTAAGTGTCAGTCTCATTGCTGTCACGAAACTTTATTTTTGTACATATAAGGAAGTCTGTTGTTGATATGATCTCAAAGCGCTTCCTGTTTTGTATGTATATGAATAATGGTGGAACCACATTAGGGTGAACTGCTAAGCTAACCATGGCCAGCCTTCCTCCCCACAAGGCACAAAATACTCAGCTCAGCTGCTACGTCCTTCCACTCACCCCCCTGCAAAGAAAACAGGTGTTCTCCTAAGAAGAGCCCAGGGTCCTCTGTCAGCTCACGATACAGCCAGAGGGTTCAGCTGCTGCTAGGCAGTGGCGCCAGCCAGGTTGGCATGCAAGAGATACAGGGTCTTTTCAGTGGAGGCCCCAGAATCACCTGCACTTGACCCCTTCAGGGCAGGACCTTATGGAAAACTTGTCTTATGGAGACTTCAGTTTATTCACTATCCAAAGCAAGTAGGAACATACACGTGCTCCCACAAGCTGGGTTGCAAGGCACAAGCCCTGTTCTTCATTAGATTTATCAAGGCAATCTATGACTGAAGGACTGGCACTACGAAACAGCCGTCTCCCGAGCCAATCATCTGCTCTGTTGTGCCTGCCACTCATTTAAGCAGCGTGCAACACTCTCCCTGAACATCGGATCTGCACCAAAATCCATTGCAATTCCCAGTTACAGCACCAGAGTGGGGCTGAGAGGCAGCCTCTGTGATTTAGGTACACTTGTGTCTCCGCCAAAGGAGCTTGCTGCTTAAAGCACCTCTCACCATCTTCCGCTGTGCAAATGGGAGGGACTCATCTGTTCATTATGTTCTGGGTGTTCTACTGGAACAGGTAAGAACAGACTCTCCCAACCCTTGGCTCAGACACACTTGGGAAGGCCAAGCTTCCCTGCCTAACACACCACTCTCTGACGCTTCAAGCGCTTTCAGTCTGGTTTACATAGCAAAATAGTCAGTTTTAAAGTCTGGAGACAGGTGGTTCTCAACAGACAGGCCTTTCCTGCTAGTTCTAAATATTTTAACATTGCTATAAACTTGCAGATGAATGCCAAAACACAGCAGCAGCAGCAGCAGCAGCACTGCGAGCACTCAGAATGCAGCCTCCCTTTCCATTGAAAGTGCCAGTTCCTCCTTTACTCACCTGGCAAGGCCCAAATTCAGAAGCCGGTGTTTCCTCAGCCTCGGCTGACGACACCAAATACCTACAAATAACAAAGAAGAGAAGCTGCTGTTTCCTCCTTTGCTCCAGGAACCTGGGATCCCGTCCGTTTTTGCAGGGAAACACCGAACCCTGGACTCAAGAGTTTGCCTGGCGTGTAAAGGAGGAAAACAGGAAGACCGGAGAACCACTAAGCAGGAAGACTGAAGCTTCACAGGTGGGGAAACTGACCAGTTAATGGTGCTGAAGCCCCTACCAAGGATCTCACCAAGATATAAACACCAAACTAAGTACTGGAATGACTGTATAACATACCCTTTGTATATTGTTTGACCAGCACCCAGTGCTTAAGGATGTGCGTGTTTTTTAATATGAAGTTGGACACAATTACTTACCAGGAACATCCACCTTCCTCCTTTTCTCTGCGACCCATTTCCAAACTTTGGGCCAACCAGTATGCTTAGATTGTGCTGCTGGAGGGTATTAGCACACAAACTCACAGGTGTAGGTCCTTTAAATGGGTCATAAGATGAAGAGCAGGATACAAGTTTTTTTTAAATAAAAAAAAAACGGAAGCTAAAATTCAAGACAGAGATTAACTAGCAACCAGCGTGATCATTCAGTGGACCATCTGCCTGACAACTGGAAAAGAACAAGCTGTGGCCACGGTGGCTCTCAGCGCAGCCTGCCCCCACCCTCCTTGGCCAACAGCTCAGGTGTGCTGCTGTCTCTCTGCTAGGAAGGAACAGCTGGAGGCCTTTCTCCTGCGGAGGCTGCCCAGTTGCTGTCTGTGCAAAGGGATGGCACAGCTTTTGGAGCACCAGAAACATATGAAAACATAAGAAGAGTTTGCAGGATCAGACCACCAGCACAGGTAGTCCAGCATCCTCACAGTAGCCAACCAGAAACCCCAAAGGGAAACCTGCAGGCAGGAATTGAGTAATAATAATAATAATAATAAATTTTATTTATACCCCACCCTCCCCAGCCAAGGAAAGAGGGGGAGGGGATCAAGTTGCTTCCAAGCCAAAGGCCAGGCGGAACAACTCCGTCTTACAGGCCCTGCGGAAAGAAATCAGATCCCGCAGGGCCCTGGTCTCATGAGACAGAGCGTTCCACCAGGCCGGGGCCAGTATTGAGAAGGCCCTGGCTCTGGTTGAGGTTAATCTAATTTCCTTAGGGCCCGGGACCACTAGGGTGTTGCTATTTATGGACCTTAAGGTCCTCCGCGGGGCAGACCGAGAGAGGCGGTCCCCTAGGTACAAGGGTCCTAGGCCGTGAAGTACAAGAGCCAACACCCCTCCTGTGGTTTTGAGCAACTGGTGTTCAGAACAACTGAGCCTCTGTTCACTGTGGAGGCAGAGAAGAGCCATCCTGGCTAGTAGCCACCGATAGCCCTCCCCACCTCCATGAGTTTGTCCAATCCTCTTTTAAAGCCATCCAAGTTGGTGGCCATCGCTGCCTCCTGTGGGAAAGAGTTCCACAGGTTTACTACACTGTGTGAAGGTTTACTTTATCTGTCCTGAACTTCCCAGCTTTCAGCATCACTGGATGTCCATGAATCCGAGTCTCATGAGAAAGGGAGGAACACTCTCTAACCACTTTCTCCAGGCATAGTTTCATAAACTTCTATCAAGTTGCCTCTCACTCGCCTTTCGTCTAAAAGGTGCCAAATGCAAAAATGATTTGCAACTCAGATTAAGCATCACAAACAGATCAAAAATCCAACGTAGAGCATACTAAATTAGGAGAGACTTTCCACCAAAAGGTCACCCAGAGTCAAGAGAGTTTTACAGTACTTCTGCAGTGGAAATGCGCTCCTCAGGGAGGCGCCTCCAGAACCTGGGGGAATTGTGGCAGAAGCCTTGCTCCTGAAAGTTAACGCTTCTATAGATCTTATGTTCCTTCTCCTATCTTTAAATGTGAAAGGCAGTCCCTCAGGGAATAGCCATTTGAACAGAATTCCTTTAGATTTCAGCACATCTGTCAATATCTTGTAATTATTTTGTTTTTTAGGAATTTCCTTGTATATTAATATATTACGTCCATCTATTGCCATTCTTCGTTTTTGTAAGATCTTATCTTTCAGCAACCTCGAATTGAGGAAAACTAGGCAATCCACTGGCCCCTTAAATGGTCTTTTAGCATCTGGTTTCATCCTGAAAATTTTGTCAATATCCAATATCAAGTCTTCTTCCCTCACTCCAAGCCATTCCGCTATTTCCTTTGTCAATTTATTCATGATGTCCTCACCTTGTGTTTCTGGGACACCTCTAAACCTCAGAAGAGCAGAAATGGCTTGACAGTGGTACCTCTGGATGCGAACGGGATCCGTTCCGGAGCCCCGTTCACATCCTGAAGCAAATGCAACCCGCGTCTGCGGGTCGTGATTCGCTGCTTCTGCACATGCGCGTGACGTCATTTTGAGTGTCTGCGCAAGTGGCGAAACCCGGAAGTAACACGCTCCACTACTTCTGGGTCACCATGGAGCGCAATCTGAAAATGCTCAACCTGAAGCTACCTCAACCCGAGGTATGACTGTACAAGGGAGGCCACCTCAGAGGTATCGTGGGGTCCAGAGTATTAACAAGGCAAGAACAAGGTGCCTGATTTGGAGAAAGGAGCTCCTGGGATCCAGCCCATGGCTAAACAAGCTCTCACCTCCTGGGATGCCCCTGCACCAGGATAGCTTGAAAGCCGTCTTCAACACCAACCTCACAGCAAGCTTAAGACAGCAGTACACCCTGAAGGCTATGGAAGTAAGTGGGGATAGTATAAGCAGGAGAAGATCTCTCAGCAATAAGAGGAAGAGAATGGGGACAGCATGACCTCAGCTGGGAAGAGGGGGCCCTGATCACAACCACCTTCCGTTCACCCAGAAGCAGCCCCAGGTTCCACAACTGCCAAGATGGGGCAATCATCCGCTCTTCAAAGCGCAAACAGATCAGCACTGCCTCTGCCTCGCCAGAATCCAGCTTCCTTTTGCTTAACCCTCACCCACCCACTGCTTCAGATACTGGTTTGCAAGCAAGCCGGCTGCTCCCAGAGGCTTAGTGAGCAAAAGGGCACCGGGCCATCTTGACGAGCCGTTTCATATGGACGAAAAACAGCATTGCTGAAAACACAGAGCTCATGGAACAGGGTTAGGCCAGTTCTTATGGTCCTGAGCAGGCATCTAGGCAGTCGACTTCCTCTGGATTATCACCATTCATTACAACAAGGTAGAAACAGGCACCTCCAAGAGCTGCAGGGACCTACCCTCTTTCAACTGCTGCTTTTTGCTACAGGAAAGGTCTGGGCTGCACTTTTATTCTTTACCGCAGCTCTGCTATGGCAGCAACACGTGGTTATGGTCACAGGCAGGAGAAGCATAGAAGAATTGTGAATAAGCAACATCATGCACACTCAGTTATTGCCCTTGAGTTGCAAAGCACAGCCTCTCAAAAAAGTGATCAATGTACTTCATGCCGCGGTCTCAGTCATCTTTACAACAACTCTGCAAAGTAGACCAGTGCCGTAATCTCTGTACAGTGGTACCTCGGGTTAAGAACTTAATTCGTTCTGGAGGTCCGTTCTTAACCTGAAACTGTTCTTAACCTGAAGCACCACTTTAGCTAATGGGGCCTCCCGCTGCCGCACTATTTCTGTCTTCATCCTGAAGCAAAGTTCTCAACCCGAGGTACTATTTCTGGGTTAGCGGAGTCTGTAACCTGAAGCGTCTGTAACCTGAAGCGTCTATAACCCGAGGAACCACTGTATTACATTACTGAGGGAGGGGGCTTATTAAATTTATCTTATTATATAGCCCATTATTGGCTTGCTGAAGATCCTGCCGTTGCTTGAACAAAGCATGGGTCAGAGACTTGCTGCCTCGCATTTCAAGGCCTCAACTGCTATCGGTACACCAGCTCAGCACAGATTCATTGTTGTGAACCCAGACGATACTTGACCTTCACAAGCTCCTATCTCTTCTAGCAAACGCAGACAGACAGTCGCACCAGTTAGCCTTGAGGATGACGAGCTTGATAAGAAGCTAATCTCAACATACTGTATTTTTTGCTCTATAAGACGCACCAGACCATAAGACACACCTAGTTTTTGGAGGAGGAAAAGAAGAAAAAAAATATTCTGAATCTCAGAAGCCAGAACAACAAGAGGGATCGCTGCACAATGAAAGCAGTGATCCCTCTTATTGTTCTGGCTTCTGGGATAGCTGCGCAGCCTGCATTCGCTCCATAAGACGCACACACATTTCCCCTTACTTTTTAGGAGAGAAAAAGTGAGTCTAATAGAGCAAAAAATACGGTAATTTCAAAATCCAAGAGGGATGATGACTCAGCTGCAATCTGGCTCTCCCAAGCTTTTCCCGTCTCAGTTTGCTCATGTTACATTCCCAACAGGGATTAGCCACATCAGATTTTACAGAAATGATTCACAGTTCAGCATGGAAGACTCTCCACATTTCCTAGAAGTGTGCACTATTCAACTTTCCCCCTGATTACACATCTAGTACAACTCTGAACTGCCCCTCATCAAAGCAGCAAGTACCAGCCAATTCTCATTTGGCAACTTGTTGCATGCCTCCCCCCTGCTGCAACAGAGCTTCAGTGGCGCTGGAACAACTGCTGCAGCCTTTTGCTGCCTCTCCTACATGGGGAGGTCTTACAACGGTGTTTTTTGACCTGGGGAGGTCTACCAAGTGTGAGAGGTCCCGTCTCCTACACCACAGAGCAAGAGATGGGTACTTGCCCTAAGTCACTGTGCGAACTTTCCTGGCTGAACACACATGCAGATACCGCTATATGATTCACGGCTCACAAATCATTTATTCAGCTACTAAGTGGTGCTCTTCACTAGCAAGAGCATTTTGCAAGTGTTTCTCATTAACAACAACAATGCAGTAACTTGTGGTGGTGGTCACTGGCTCCTCCAGCTCCTTGCACAGAAAACTGAACATCACCCCCTGCCCCCGCAACGCCTTTCAGCTTGCAGCCTGCTCTTTTAGTGTCCAGGATATATTTCTAGCAGTAGTTGCACTACAATGAGGGCAGCCCAGCGGGCCCATGTACTGTGGCACTCCAGGGACACAGCGCGTCTCCCCAGCTCCCATTTATTAACTGAAGGCGGGCAACAAGGTGTCGAGGTTTACTGAGCCATCAATGGGCTGCGCTGGGACTGTAAGTTCCACTGCCCTGCATATAAGGGTCTGTGAACATCCGGAAATCCGAAATGCCCTCTGAATCAGAAGCCTTGCAGGCAATTCTGAACTCCAAACAAACAGCAAACAACCTTTTCCCCAAGCGCCCCAAAGCTACATTCAACTGAGTCAATTCCTCTCCAAAAGTGAACTCCAGCGTCTCCCCACCTCCAGAAAGATCCATTCAAAGCAAGGGAGAGCTTGGCCATTTCCCGACTGTCAGGGCCAGGGACCAAAGCTCTATTTGGGACAATATTCAGATGGCACTCGACGGCTTCAGGCTTCCGTTTGGAGCACTTCACTGGTTACCAACGCAATCTCAGGCCTGAACTTCTTTGTGTACCGGTGCCATACTCTAAGCGGCCTCGGCTACGTTATCCTCTGAAACCACTTTTGCAATCAGGACCAGGTTGCAACAAGCAACAGCAAACGGCCCCAGCAACCGGCGTGCAAAGCAGGCTGGGGGTGGGGGGAGGACAACCAGCTTGTGAGTTTCTTCAGGAATAGCTACCCTTCCTTCGCCACTGGCTTTTCCTTCCTCCTTTGTTGCTGCTCCTGTCGCTGCTGCTGCTGCTGCTGCTGTTCTCTGAGCTGGGGGAGTCTGACTGCACGTCACTGCTCTCTTCCGAGCCTTCGGAGAGTTCTTTCAGCCCATCTGGAACATCCTTCTGCAGGCAAAACACAAACAGGCGGACCTTGGTGCGTTTATCTCTATGTCAGTTCAACAATCACTAAGACTGGGCCATGGGGTTGGTGGGTGGGCGGGGAGAGAAAGAGAGAATTAAAGACAAGAATATCGCAAGCGCCATCCTCTGGCTCAAAAGTCAGGGGGCATAATAATCCACCTGGAGGTTCCTATAGTATGTAAGCCACATTCTAAATTAGTGGCAACTGTGCAAGACTTTTTCCCCAGGAACCTGAAATTGCAGGTTGGCATTGTCTCTCGACTACGGTCCTGAGGGCCAGGGGACTCTCCTCCACTCCACAGCAAGGCTCCCTTTTGCCCCAAGGCATTCCCAACAGAGGGCTGGCTGCCCACCCACCCACCCAGCCTCCTTCCAAGAAATGGGATTCCACAGCGCACATAGACGAAACCATTCTCTTTTTTATGTTCTTTTAAAAACCTGGCTGTCAGCCCATTATGTAGTCCATCCTGTCCAATCTCCTTCTCCCTACCCAGTTCTCATGGCCTGTTTACATAGGATTTCTCTTCTAGAATCCCCTATAGAGTAATTCTTTCCAACGCAACAGTATAAATATATATATTGCCTTCTTGTGCACCTCAATGCTGTCAACCCTCACCAGCAGCAGTCCTCCAGGGTCTCAGGCACAGAAGACGGCTTCTTCCAAGACCCTTTGGATGGATAGGGGAGTGATTCAAGTCTGGAAGGGGCAGCAGGCAAAGTGTGTGCTCCATGACCTCTTGCCAGGGTCCATTCCGGTATCTTGGCATAACTCCTCAAGGCCGCACGCCCTGAGCACCTTTGCACCCAAGCAACTCATCAAGAAGCCACTTGGATGCTTTGCCAGCTCAGACCCAACAGCTCCTGCAGCTACCAAAGCTCCCTCAAGCTAAACTGGGTTTCAAACAAAAAAGAGAAATCTGTTTCCGATTTTCAGGCAGGTCCCAACCAGGTTGTTACCGAGTTTGCTCCTGGAATGATTCACAGCAAAAGCCAAGGTAAGCTGTCCATCACTGCCCCCACGCATGGCACAAACCTCGTCAAAGCAACAGAGAAAAAAGAGGCCCCCCCCCACGCTGTGTCCTAGATTCAACCTCTGGCACTGCAGGTGCTGCCCCAAAGCTATGCCATTCTTTGGGGATGAGCACAATATATTATAATAATTTATTAAAATAATTTATCATTTATACCCCGCCCATCTGGCTGGGTATTCTGGTTAATTAGGAAGATCTCAGGTAAATAAAGCAACCCCAGGCACCTCCTCAGCTCTGTAAGAGGACCTGGAGCAGACCTTTTAAAAGAAGCAGCCACCCCCAGAGTCCACCTCAAATCCACCTGTACTATACTGTACTGCCCCCATTTAAAGGGCACAACAGCTGGCAGGTATTACAGAGCCCCCACCCTCTGCCATGTTCTTCCTTGCTCTCTTTCTCCTGCCATTCTCCACACCGCTGCCCTGTCACAAACCCCCTTAGGCCACTAAGTGGGGTGGGGGGAACTTTCCATGTGTGTTGGCCAAGGTTGCTTAGCCAGTGAACTTCGAGCCCTAGCAAGCTCTCCCATCGCAGCCTTCCTGATCAAAATCTTAACGACAGCACTACCCCAATATGCACATGCTAGACACATGTCCGCTGAAGGCGAAGCAAGTGGCTTTGAAGCAGCATAACTAGTGTAAGGACAACGGGGGTGGGGGGAGCCCAGGCTCAAAAAAATAATTTCTGCAAGCCAATACCATGGTTATGATCCAGATGTTTAAAGCCCACACCAGGAACAAAGATGCAAAATTACAGTGGTACCTATGAACTTAATTCATTCCGGAGGTCTGTTCTTAACCTGAAACTGTTCTTAACCTGAGGCGTGCTTTTGCTAATGGGGCCTCCCACTGCCACCGACACACGACTTCCACTTGCATCCCAGGGCAAAGTTCGCTACCCGGAACACCTACTTCCGGGTCAGCAGAGCTCATAACCTGAAGCGTTCATAAGGAGGACGGTACGTAACCCGAGGTTCCACTGTATTATAATTATTATTATTTATACTGAATTTATATATTACCCTTGGTCACAAGATCTCAGGACGGTTCACAGAATAAAGCACGACATAAAAACACAAGTAAGTAATAAAAACAAAAACAAGACAACAGTACCCCCATGCTTTGAGGGACGGCCGTAAGCCACACAGAGCGGTGCGTACCCTGGCAGTGCGTGGGATCCCAACGGCAGCCCAGTTCCGATTCCTTGCAGGAGACTCACTCACCTTCAGGGTGTAAACGCCCATGCGCCCTGGGACCTTGTAGAAAATGCCCTCGTCCCCACGGGAGTTGGTGTGCAGCATGGCATTCAGGCATGCAAGAGGAGACGTCCCACTGAAAAGAGAAGGGCAGGGTTAGTCCCCCTGGCACACACAAGGGGAATGCTGCTGCCAAACCTCGTATCTGCCCTGTCCAAGGCCTTGCTCAGCTGCTGATGACTTCAAATGGGAGCCAGTCTCCCCATGAGCCAGGCCAGGCTGACCAGCACTGAGCTCACAAGGCAGTGGCACTCGAGGGCAGCTTTGGAGACAGCAAACAAATGCACCCAACAGCTGAACAAAGAGGAGCCCCAAAGGGAGGGTATTGCGGCATATATTGCATGGAGGGCTCACACACAATGCATTCCTGCACTGCCCATTTCTTCTTGAGGTCAGGAGGGAGACTTGCTCTGGCCTTCAGAGCAGGATAGCATCCCCAGAGCACGGGGAGGGCTTTCCTTGCTCCGCTGTTTCCTTTCTAGTCCGAAGAACGAAAGAGGAGCCTGCTGGGTCAGGCCCAGAGGGGCCCATTTAGTTCTGCATCCTGTTCTCAGTGGCCCACTGGACGCCCCAAAGGGAAGAAGCCCACAAGCAGGACCCAAGCATTAGAGCAACTCTCTCCCCTCCGGTGGTTTCCGACCATCGAGAAAGAGAGTAGTCCTCATAGCTAGTAGCCCTAAATAAGCGTGGGCTGGGCTGGGACCGAGGTACAGGGCTTCTTGATCAGCTGCAAGCAGCAGGGTCTGCTTCATGTCCATAATCAATCAGAGAATAAAGACTCCAAAGCTCAGTTTTAGACTACTGCAAGCTGATTCTAATGCAGTTTATCAAATCGCCATTAAAATAAACCAGCTTTTTTCTGCTGCTGTTTTCATGTGTTTCTTTATATGGTTTGAAAATACTGGCTCTTTCTTTCTTATCGTTTTTAGTAAACAGATAGCAGGCAACTAATACAAGCACCAACAATTAAAGCAGATCTGTTTCTGTGCAATGCTTTAAGCCTTCACTGGACAGAAGTCCGTTGGAGACACAAACGCAACGGCAATGTTTATTGTTTAGGATTTGCTAAAGGTTGATTAAGCACTTAATCAAACAAGAAAAACACTGGCTAGAATGTTGTAGGTTTAAGAAGAATTCCACCCCCACAATACAGTTTGGTTGATTTACATTAGGCCACAATATTGGTGAAAGATTTGCTTTGGCCGACTCATTTTTGCTGCTTAGCTTGCGTCCTTTCAAATCCTTGCACCTGAAACCAAAGAACACTACCCTGTGCCTAAACCTTTTGGCAACCACATTCCAGGCAAGTTCGCACTTTGCTTATTTGGGGGACTGAAGACGCGCTCAAGAAATGCCTCCGGTCCTGCGAGTGCGTCCAGAGGGGCTTCCGCCTGCGCACGTCACCTCCCAAACCAGCATGGGCCTTGCAGTAATTTACGCAGCAGGCCCCACGGCCGGGGAGAGAACCCCGGGGCGTAAGGCACTTGCTCTCTGCCACAGACGCATCTTGTGCTTGGCACTCGTGCAGCGCAGCTGGTGGTTCCCATGCAGGCATGCCTGTGCTCTAGTGCAGCATTCAGGAGATTCTGGAGTGAGCCACAAGATGGCTCAGAGAAGCTTGGCATGTTAATCAGAGATGAAATCATCCAGAATGAAGAGCCGCAATAAGCTCCTTTTGCTCAGCAAAGCCACAGCCCAAGCCAAGACGGCTGCTCAGGTCAAGGAGGACTAAAGGCAGTTCCGTGCGCTAATCAGGAACGCACCAGCCCTTCCCACACCATTCAGCTGGCCGCTGCGTCCCACAAGCTCTGGCTCCAGGCAGGCAGGAAAACAACCCTTTAACCTAAATAGTATTGTCACACACACAAACTTCTAAGCCTCAGAGCAAAACAAGCTTGCCGCTTAAAGTTAATCAACAGTGATGTTTGCTAGCTGAATTCAATGGCATTTGTACACCAACAGTAGTTCTTACCTTCTGGAATTGATTGAAATCCAAAAAGAGTGGGGGGGGGGAGAGAGAGAAAGAGAGAGAGAGAGAACTCTTTAAATATTTAGCAAAGCAACATTTTCCAACTTTTCCAATGACCATCCACATTTCCCAAGCCAGAAACTAAGCACATACCGTATTTTTCGCCCCATAGGACGCACAGGCCCATAGGACGCACCTAGTTTTTTGGGGGGGAAATAAAGGAAAAAAATTTTATTTCCCCCCTCAGGTGCGCTGCGCTAATCCCATAGCTTGGGGCGTGCAGAGCTCAGCGCGCCCCAAGCTTCTGGGTGCCGGCAAGGTCTCCGCTAGCCGTGGGAGAGCTGCGGTCTCCCACGGCTGGCGGATGCTGCGCTGAAGCCTGAGAGCTAGAGGAGTCGGTGCACACCGACCCTCACTCTCCAGGCTTCAGCGAGCTGCACTGGCCCATAGGACGCACACACATTTCCCCTTCATTTTTGGAGGGGAAAAAGTGCGTCCTATAGGGCGAAAAATACGGTAACTAATGACCTGGAAGAACAAAACCCAAGTGTAATTAGCTAGGCCAACATATTTTGGCAGAATGACTTGCCCAGATCTTGTACAATATCATCAAGCTGGGGTAATTACAGCTATTACAAAATGTGAAACTTCTCTCATAGAAGGTGCAAGTAAGGCTATGCGTGTGAACCTGAGAAAAATCTACTACAGATACAGCTTGGTGGAAATGTGGGTTAGTTGCAGCAGGTCACTGACACATTTATTGTTCCTGTCCTTGTATACAAATTAGATTCGACCTAGAAGAGACCTACAGAAGATGACTGGATATGCATTACCAATGAAACAAAAACCAGTGCTTTTAGAAATTAATAATGTGAATACATAGAGAACTCACTGGATAATAACCCCAATCCTACCAATAGCTGATAAAATTACAATTGCTAAGAAATATATTTCAGGTGGCCCAACATACAGAGAGAGGATAAATAATGTTTGGCAGACAGTGTAGTTAACTAAATTAAGTGTTTTTAGTTTGAGACACAGCAGGAAGTGAAATTTACAGTGCAGCAGCAACCTTTTACAGAATTTGGCAAGGCAAGGTACAATAGGAACAATAATTGCTTTGCCATAATTTACAGCTTGTTATAATTTAAAACAGTGGTGTTTCCATTAAACAGATGAGACTTATCCTCTTTATTTCAACTGCATTGCTGTGTGAGTGTGGTTTTGTAGTGTGTTGTGTCTGATGTGTTTATCTGGCATGTGTGAGCATCTACACACAAAATAGAATGTACAGAAAATGCTAAGCAGGATAACCTGCATGCCTATTGGCAGGCTGAACTGTGGATTGCCATCAGCACACTGAGAGAAGTGCAAACATACTTGAACGTGCACTTATTTCGGAGGTGAATACGTGAAACACTTAATATGACCCCGAAAGGGAGCCATGTTAGCTGAATGGCACTCCACACACAATACACCTGGAAAGTGCAGCAGGTCAATATTGGTGCTTAAAAACTCCCAAAGCAGCTATAACCATGTGACTCAATCAACACTCACCTGATCTCTTTCAATCCTTCTTTCTGGATAACTTGAAGGATCTCTTTATGGCTCATGGGAGTGTTGGGATTTTTTTCTAGGACCTGGAAAAAACAGATTTAGAGGGAAGGTTAAAAAGGACCCGTTGGTTCTGCCAGGCGTTGTCTGCCTACCTGGTCTCCAGCTGAATGATTTGGACCCAATTCTGCCAACGGTTTGTTTCCCCAGGCACAAGCTGATGAACAGGAACCAGGCACAAGCCTTGGGCAGAGGAGTGGGGAACTTTCAGGCATTCTGTTTTTCCATTTCTAAGCTAGGAGCACGCCTACAGGAATCCCATCTCCACTCTCCCCTTGAAGCTATTATAGCGGGTAAACTCTGGGGGCAGCCTGCCCAATTTTGTTCAGGAAACATGATAGCGACACACACTTAGTACCAGTCACCTAACTGGTGTGACTAAGATTTCAAAAATGCAGAAGTGGCACCACTTATGAGCTCCAGAATCAGCACAGAAAGCCACTCACCGAGACTCATTTTACAACGGGCATTTATCCTCGATACCATCTCACCATTTAAGACCATATAGGATCGACGAAGAATGGATGCTTTTGAATTATGGTGCTGGAGGAGACTCTTGAGAGTCCCATGGACTGCAAGAAGAGCCAACCAACCTCTCCATTCTGAAGGAAATCAGCCCTGAGTGCTCACTGGAAGGACAGATCCTGAAGCTGAGACTCCAATACTTTGGCCACCTCAGGAGAAGAGAAGACTCCCTGGAAAAGACCCTGATGTTGGGAAAGATGGAGGGCACAAGGAGAAGGGGACGACAGAGGACGAGATGGTGGGACAGTGTTCTCAAAGCTACCAGCATGAGTTTGACCCAACTGCGGGAGGCAGTGGAAGACAGGAGGGCCTGGCGTGCTCTGGTCCAGGGGGTCACAAAGAGGCGGACACGACTAAACAACTAAACAACAACAACAAAGAGCCTGCTAGATCAGAACAACGATCCGTCTAGTCCAGGATCCTGCTCTCACAGGGGCCAACCAGATGCCCCAAAATATGACACGAGGGCAGCACCTCTCTCCCCTTGTGCTCCCCAGAAACTGGCACTCAGAAACAGGCTGCCTCTGACAGTGGATGTCAACATGTCCATCAAGGCTCGAAGCCATGAACAGCCTTTGCTCCCTCCATGAATCTCTCCAACCCTCCTTTAAAGCCATCCAAGCGGCGGCCACCACAGCCTCTCGTGGGAGCAGACTGCATAGTTTCATTATGCGCTGGCTGAAGAAGTCCCTCCTCTTTGTCGGTCCTGAACCTTCCAACATGAAGCTTCACTTGATGGCCACGAATTCTGGAGTTATGAGAGAGGGGAAAGATGGCAAGGTTCTGAATTCCTTCTCTTCCTCATGTTGTGAAATGTGGTTATCCTGAAGACCTTGCTACAAGATGTATGCCTTATTTTATTATCATAATGCATAACTGCTCTGCTCTCTACTACTGTTTTGGATGCTATCTTTTATGGATCCTTCATTTCTTCTTAATATTTTTTTTTTTTAAAGAAAGAGACAGAGGGGAAATAACTTCTCTATCCACTTTCTCCAGCACATGCATGGTTTGATAACCTCCATTCATGTGTCATCTTACTCGCCTTTTCTCTAACTAAAAAGCCTCAAAACTTCTTCTTTTTTTAAAAAAAACAAAACTATTTTTATTAAGATTTTACACAAAGTCTTAGCATAATCAAAAATTCAAATTACATTTTACATTTTCAGTTAACCCCCCCCCCAAAAAAAACACTTTCCCGAACTTCCCTTTCTGGTTTATAGCATATTACAGTAATTTCTTCTGCTTATAATTTTATATGCCTTGTGTACTAAAATTAAAGTTGTACTTTGTCAATCTGTTCTTAACATTTTAACCTCAATTTTATATTTTCTATTTATATTTGTCCATTCTAGGTGCATTACTCGAATCCTGCAAGTGAGTTCATTTCAACGCATTGTTTCTGTATATACATCATAAAAGGTTCCCAATCTTTTTTGAAGTCATTGTTGTCCTTATCTTTGAGTCTCTCAGCTAACTTCGCCATTTCAGAGTATTCCATCAACTTTTCTTGCCATTGTTCTTTCGTTGGTATTTCATCGCTTTTCTATATTTGAGCTAAAGAGCCCCGAAACGTCAGGTCAGTGAGCAGGTGCCAGGGTGGATAAAAATCAATGTTTTTTTTTAAAAAAACACAAGTTTGTTTTTTTAAAATTAAATTGGATTTTAAAAAAAATTAAATTGGATTTTTAAAATAAAATGCTTTTGGAGGAAAAATCTTTCTAAATATAGTTTTCTGTTTAAGTTACATTATAGTCCAAAGGCTATTCATCAGGAAATAAGGATTCAGAAGACATCTTAAGGCAGCCCTGTTCAGGGAAGTTTTTAATCTGTGATATTTTACTGTATTTTTGGTTTCTATGGAAGCCGCCCAGAGTGGCTGGGGAAACCCAGCCAGATGGGCGGGGTACAAATAATAAATTATTATTATTATTATTATTATTATTATTAGTTTTAAGTTTTTCATGTGTGCTAAAACTCAGCCTAAGGTGTGTGGTTTTTTTTTAAAAAAAGCGTTTAACCACATCAGTTAATAAACATGGATATATATGCTATAATGTTATTGTTTTACTTAAATAAATGGTTTAAATTGTTATTAAGGAAATGATTATTTTTCTCCTTCCAATAAAGTACGGCAGAAAAGTTGTCCAAATATAAGCAGCTAACTTATTAAACATCAAAATAATTTCATAATTATCTGTCTATGTATTTCTATCATCAGATGTCATAGAGATAAACAACTACCTGACATTTAGAAGACATCTGAAGGCAGCCCTGTTCAGGGAAGTTTTTAATGTGTGACATTTTAATGTATTTTTAATCTTCGTTGGAAGCCGTCCAGAGTGGCTGGAGAAACCCAGCCAGATGGGCGGGGTAGAAATAAATTGTTGTTGCTGTTGTAGTAGTATAACCAAATCAGTTATTTTTGATATAACTGTAAAAACTACTCTGAAAATTTATTATTCCAAAAATGAAACCTTCATATGGTTGTAAATATGCAAGAATGAGTCTTTCTGTAAAAAAAATGATTTAAATCAAGTCTTACTGGCTAGTGATGTAAATCAAGTCTTACTGACTAGTGATGTAAATTGTGATTTAAATCCAATCCAGCCTGGCAGGTGCCACATGCAGCAAAGCGCTGCTGCTGCCAGCATTCCAGGCAAACACAACGCATGACGCAGCCCTTGCCTGACTGAGCTCTGCCCCACCCAGGGCAACTGGCTGGCAGCCATGGGAACTGGGCAACGCACAGCAAGAACCCGACTCTCTTCCCTATGAACACTGAGGTGGCGTCTTGCTTGAAGCCTGGGAGGCCACAAGGTTTTAATTACCCGTTAATTTGTACTGTAATGAAGTAGATCGGTTCATTTGCCAGCTGACATAAAATTTACACACAATAATAAAAGCTGAGAACAGCATAGCACAAAAAGCACAATGCCATCAGTGCTAGACTCAAAGCAAATGCATCTCCCAAAAGCCCAGGCAAGCAAGTGTGGCCGACATCTAAAAACTGACAATATGGGAAACAGCTGCATTTCCCAGGAAGGGAGAGGGGTGCCACCACAAAGAAGTCCCTGTCTCAAGTCACCAGTCCATAGGCCATACCTGTCCATGGGAACATGAGCAGGGCCTCCCCACATTTGGAGGGAGTGCACGGGACAGGGAACATCTACTGCACAAGTCCTTGTGTGAATGGTTTTTGTTCATGTTTTAAACTTTGTATCTTGTATGCTTTTTAAAAAATTATCTACTACGTTTTTTTGAAAGCTGCTTTGAGACATATGGAGAAAACCAGGGCAAAAATTTCTTATTTATGATGATCTTCATTATTTATTAATCACCTTCCCCCCATGTCTCAAGGTGATGTACAAAATTAAATAAAAACAGCTATAAACAACACAGAACACAATGTCAGATTTTTTAAAAAAACAACAATATATATAGACATGGCAGATTCATTTATCCCGCTGGGAAAGCCCCCCAGAACAAAAGTATCCTCAACAAAAATACATTCAAATGCTGCAGAGCATTTACACTATGTTGCTATATGCAATAGTGCCCATTCAGTAAGGTTTTTCTCTCTCTTTTAAATAGCCAATTAGCTGAGTTTGCACCTAATGCAAAGCAGCTCAAGCTGCCCCAAACCACACATCACCAGCATGACCACGGGTCCCCAAAACAATGACCAAAGCCTCCAGAATGCAGCAAGCTAACAGTGATGGACCTCGGAGTCTCAAATTTCAGTGGCACCCTGTGCAATGCCAGAAGTTGGTGCCCCCACATCTCTCATGGTCCATTCTAAATCACAGTTGTGGTGTTCCCTGTGTCACACTCCCCCAAATCTGCCTCTGAAACTAAACACCCAAAAAATCCTTTGCAAAGTTAAAACTGCAAGCATCCAGCTTTCAGAGAAGCAGAAGCTTTGAAAGAAACAAAACAAAGTCCTGCAGACATTTACTATTTTTCAGGGAGTCGAGTTGCTTTCCATACAAGACACCACTGATAGGGGAGCAACAGAGAATGCTCTTGCCCCAGGGAAACATAAATCAGAGTCCCTTCTGCACTCGCAGCACCACAGGGATTTGCAGCTGGAACATCTGCAGGTGCAGCACATTCCAAACTGATACCGCAAAAGCAGGTCAGGGGCGCAAAGGTTTGTATGTGTATCTTCAAAGATTTCATGTGCGCCGCTCAGAGATTCTGAATATTAAGTGGCATGTGAAATAAGAGTTATCAGAAATTCTAACAAACTTGTTCACCCTCAGGCAACTTCCTTCGCAGCAGGAACTTTGTAATACAGACGTAGGAACCATTGGGACTCCCACATGGCCAGGCTGCCAGCTTGAGGGACACCCCAAGGTTAGCAGGATAAACGAAGAAGCAGGAGGGGCCCATCAGATGGTCAAATCTGAGTGACCCTGGAGGGAGCACAGAGAAACAAGGAACCTTTTCAGACCCTACATACACGACTGGCACAACCAGTTCAACTCTCTGGCCTGATTCAAATTTCTCCTCAAGATGCGCTTAGTATCCCACCCACCCCCCAACTGCAACGAACCATCTATTACAGTAGAGAGGAGAGGGCTTACACCAGTTTCATTTCCCCACGGATTCCGTTTGATCTTTGCTTTTCATTCCTTCTGCTCACTTTACAAGGCCCAACTTTAAATTCTAAGCTTCTTGGGGCAGAGAAATCCTGTGTTCATGTTTTGCTCATGTTGCACAGCAGGGGTGGCGGAATAGTAAAAGTAATAGTAATTTATTATTTGTACCCCGCCCATCTGGCTGGGTTTCCCCAGCCACTCTGGGCGGCTTCCAACAAAGATTAAAAATACATTAAAATGTCACACATTAAAACCTTTCCTGATGTCTTCTAAATGTTAGGTAGCTGTTTATCTCTTTGAGATCTGGTGGGAGGGGGTTCCACAGGGCGGGCGCCACCACCGAGAAGGCCCTCTGCCTGGTTCCCTGTAGCTTAGCTTCTCGCAGTGAGAGAACCGCCAAAAGGCCCTCGGAGCTGGACCTCAGTGAACCAGATCCCCAATTCCATCTCCCCTACCCAAGTCAACTCAATCAACCGCCCAACTTCAAAGGATGTTGCAGAAGCGGGGGGAGGGGGATGCTATAAACTGCTTCTTCCTCTGCAGAAAGGAGAATGCAAGGCCCTTGGCTGCTCTAGGGAGCTTCTAGGGAAGCCCATCCCAATGGGGCTCCCTGCCAGCACTCATCAGGGGGCCCAGCTGGCAAAGGAACCATTGGGAGCTCACTCTTCCCTTGTAGCTGTGTCCATACCTGCCCCATCCCTGATGTGACTGGTGGTTGTGGTTTGTGGGGAGAGGCCTCACACACCAAACTGGGAGCCATACACAGCTGGATTAGGCCTCCCCATTAGAGTAGCCTATACAGTAGTGCTCACTGGAAGGACAGATCCTGAAGCTGAGGCTCCAAGACTTTGGCCACCTCAGGAGAAGAGAAGACTACCTGGAAAAGACCCAGATGTTGGGAAAGATGGAGGGCACAAGCAGAAGGGGACGACGGAGGACGAGATGGTGGGACAGTGTTCTCGAAGCTACCAGCATGAGTTTGACCAAACTGCGGGAGGCAGTGGAAGACAGGAGGGCATGGTGTGCTCTGGTCCAGGGGGTCACGAAGAAGGGGACACAACTAAATGACTAAACAACAACAATACAGTAGAGATGGCGCCCAAATAATAATTCATTGCAGTGGGGTGACTAAGGGAACTGTCAGGGAACTACCACCAGCTCAGATGCGAGAGGTGGAAGGGCAGTTGTGTTATAGGGAACCTCCGAACGTCTTGTGAAGCAGTTCCTCCTCTGGCGAGGAGGAAAGCCCCACCTCCAGTGGGGAGGAAGTGGTGGGACCAGGGGATGCTAGGGAGAGCCTCAACACCGACCCTGAGCAAGCCGGAGGGGAGGGAAGTACCCCTTTGCCAGCGCCCACCCTGCGCAGTAGGTTTCGGCACAGGGAGGGGAGGAGAAGGTTGGGGGTCAAGCGACTGTTATGCTGGGGGAGGTCCAATACCGGCCACTCCCAGATTCTGCTAGCAACTGCGCCAGACATGAACTTGCGACGCTCTTCACTGTAAATAGTTTTGCACTAAGAATAAAGCCTGGAAAAGATAGGTCAGAGTCTTGCCTGTTTGCTCTCGAGCAACCACACCACCATCTGACAGAAACTGTACATTTTGAAGCTTAATGACTGCAAATGCAAACCAGAAATACCCTGTGGAGTCTGGGACAGTCTCTGGTCTCATGCCCTCCATTATTTCTAGGGAATAAGGTGCACCCCTTCACAGACACACGAAGTTCCTAACTAAATTCCGCCTCGCAGCCTGGAGATGGGGATCCCCAAAAGACATCAAACCATTTTACCCAACAAATGTGACATGACTGGCTGAGAAGGCCCAGCTGGGTGAGACCCTCTTCCGCAGCCCATGTACGCCACTTGGCAAGCAGTCTTTGAAATGCCTGGGAGTCTCAGCTGCAGCCTTTCAGATGCAGACTTCTATATAATGAATAATTGCTGTCCCTCCTGTGTGGATGCCATCATATGTATCCACTATTACGGACGGGTGTTTGTAAAGGAAAAAGGAAGTTAATACAAGCTCTGGCTATGTCAGGGATGATGGATGAGATTTTAAAGAACCAGGGCCCCCCGGCTGCCATGTCATAAATTTAATCTGGCTCTAGACTTAACTCTCTCTCCCCACCCCCTTCAATTTCTCCTATCCATCTTCTATGTTTGCAAGATCACTGAATCCGCCCAGAGGACAATCAATGCTGTCTCTTTTCATTTGCTCTCACATTCATGACCTGACCATTACCCTCCTTAGAGACACACAGTGGTCCCAGATCAGACTGGTAGGGGCACAGGAACGCTCTTTGCAATGCTACCAATAACAGGACAACCAAAACTGCCACTGACACGAGGAAGGAAAGCTCTGCCCTACGAGAGAGAAAAACTAGGCAGCAGGAACAGCCTTGCCCACCTGCCCAGGCGCTGGTATCTGTTGGTCAAGGGGAGGGCAATTGCTCCCAGGGAGGCACCGTTTCCCAAGAACGTAGCAGATATAAGCCACAGAGCCTCTTCCCTGTTGCAGGGTGCAAAGTCAGCCCATGCAAGGCCCTCTCTAACCAAGACCATAAACAACTTTATTGAAACATGCTCAATGATAGTTTCTCGTCCAACGTCTCCCAAGGGAGTCTGCGTATAAATGTTCTAATAAAAGGGAAAGCTTGTGCCTGGTAACTTCGCTTCTTTCAACAGCAAGAGAGCTGGGGGTTTTCGGAAGTACAGTTTGAGCAGCTGCCGAAAGGAACTGTGGGGGTGCAACTGCCTGCTCTACCCCCTTGCAAAGCGTTGCTGTGTTTCCACCTCATGACCCACCGCGCAACACCATTCCGTAGCAGCACACACAAAGGCCTGGATGACTAAGGAAGCACATTCTTTGCATACAAAGGCTTCTCAAATTCCCACTGTGTTGACTCTGCAGAGTGATGGGAAACTGCTGCCAGCAGTCCTGAATGGACAGGACACCGGGCATGGGATCAAAACCACTAGATGCAAAACAATTTCGGGGAACAGGGCTGATGCCAAGGAGAGAGTTCAAGGGGGAGGGATGGGCAAGGCAGATGCCAATGCACAGACGCCACGCATATCTACGTGTCAGCAACTTCCCACTAAAGGGGTTGAGATCCGAGGCCAACTTGGACCGCCAGCACCTTCGCTTAACGTTGCTGCAATGCCCTGAATGGAGAATATCCAACTCAGCACGCTGTTTTCTCAATTAAAAACAGTGCCCTAGATTAGCCTTGTAAACAAGTAAACACGGCGGCGGCGGGGGGGGGAACCCAATTGGCTTGCAAAGGGGCAGAGGCTTTGCCACTCTCTCTTCTAACACACAGCCGGCTGCACTTCTATGCAGAGAGGGGAGAGGGCTCTCCCCCGCCCCCATGACAGACCCACTTGGTTCTGTGCTGGCTGCCAGCCCATTTTCTTGCCTGCCTCAAATTCTCTGTGCAGCCACCTACAGGCAATTCTTTTGACTCCCTATTGCCGTCACACTGGTGTTGAAATACAAAGCTGCCCCAGAAAGTGAAGTGGAACCTGTCTAAAGCGGGCACAGCCCTTCTGGCATAGAGAACGACCAAGAGAGCATTACTGCGAACGGTCATGGCAAACAAACAAAGATCCAAAAAATGACTTGACCAGCTGGCCTCATCTGCCATGGTATCGCTAACTCTTCCTGGGAACTTCCTTTCTGAATGCTGCAAGGCTTTTAGGAGACGCCTGGAGCCAGGCTGCAGAACTCTGCCCACAACAGGAAAACTGCCCGCTGGAAGCAGGAGCCTCACACCGGGTGGTGCAGCCCACAAGGTTGGCCCACAACCTGCAGCAGGTAAAAATGGAGCAGACTATTCTCACCGTATTATGTCATGGTTGGAAAAATTGCACTGGCTGGCAATCACCCACTTGGCTAAGATTAAGATACTGGAACTAGCTTACAAAGCCCTATACCAATTGGGACCAGGATACCTAAAAGATTGTCCCATCCACCCTGCAGGTACCACCTCAACATCAGGAGGTCTGATCTACTGAGGTGCCTGAACTGGGCCTTTAGTGCCCTCTGGAACGCTTTCCGCAGTACAACAAATCAGGCAGGCACCATTCAAATTGACTTTTCAGTGCCTACTGAAGAATTTCCTTTCTCAACAAGCCTTTGAAGCTGAGATCTTTATCCCAATCTGTGGCTGTATTAGACCTGAAACTGTTTTACATACAATATTGTTCTGTTGCGTTTACACATAGAAGTGTCTGTATTTTGTTTTGGACGTTTTGATACTTCTTACATACAAAATTGTGCAGCTGCTTTTACTGTGAAATTGCTTTGAGATATTTTATGGGAAGAGACTCCTCGGTAGAAGTAAACAAATAATGGCTAGGTGAAGTCAATGAAATCTTTGGTTTCACGCCCAATGGTCAACAGCTTGTCTCTTACCAGCTTGTTTTCTTGTTGTGCTGCATAGGTCTGGAACTGTTTTGCAAAAATCAGATGGTATCGGTTGCATTGTACACATATGTTTAGAAATGGGAGGCGCAACAACAACAAAAAAGAAAAATAGTCATTTCCCACAAATATGCAATGACTTCTGGACTGGAAGTATTTGCTTAAGTATGATGGTGGGTCTTTCAAAAACCTTCTGTTGATCTTATCAAAACTGCACTGCTTTGCTCTCAGCCTCCTGCAATCGTACCTCCAAGCCAGCCTCATTCTTCAACCTGCCTTGGCACTTGGTTAACTGCTTTCAATTTCTTAAGCGTCTGCTCTTCTCTCATCATTAATTCAGGAAGGCGACTGGAATGTGTCATCCTAGTGATGATGCAACTCCACCACCAGGATGACAGAAGTCGCCTTCCTGAATACCCAAAACCACAAGGAAGTCGCTCTGACAAATTCACCTCTGTGTAACCTGCCAACACACTCACACTGCTACCCTTTTAAAAGCCCTGCCTTCAATTCCATGGTTTGGACATTTGAGGAATGTGTTCTTGGGGAAACTGCATGCCCCATAAGTCCTCATCATTCTTCTCTATGGTTATCATTCTTCCAGAGTTCCTTATGCCCCTATCATCAAGACAGTGGGGAATTCGTTCAATAGGACACCTTGCAAGTGTTTCACACACATCTGTTTTCTCCTCTTCCCATCTACCGCCTTCAAACTAAACAGATTAAGCAGGAAAGCCATCTAGTATGCGCAACAGAAACAAACAATTAAGCGACCCTAGCAACGTGAGGTGCCAGCACACTCCATCCAAGAGAGATGGAGAGCAGCATTCAAGCAAGCAATTTCCTGCTATAAGCCTAGTTGACAGTTGAATTGTCACAGATTTTCGATATGCCTCTTTGCTTTGGAGAGCAGTCTGGATTGGTACAACCACGTGTCTTTCTCCACCTGAAGTTAGATACATCACAGATTGGCAGATCTGTGACCCTCATGGATTTGATGTGCTAGCTTGAAAAGCAGGTGGGCTTAATCCTCTCTTGCTCTGCTGGAAAAGAGGAGACTGAGAGGCAATATGAGAGCCATCTTCAAATATCTCAAGGGCTGTCACATGGAAGATGGAGAAAGCTTGCTTCCTCTTGCTCCAGAGAGGAGGACCTGAACCAACGGCTTCAAGTTACCAGAAAGATGTCAACTAAACATCAGTAAGAACTTTCCAACGGTAAGAGCTGTTCAGCAGTGGACCAGACTCACTTGGAAAGTTGTGGACTCTTCCTTTGTTGGAGGTCTTCACAACAAAGGCTGGATGGCCATCTGTCAGGGATTCTTGAGCTGTGATTCATGCACTGCAAGGGACTGGACTAGATGGCCCTTTGTTTCCCTTCCCATTCTACAACTTTATGATTCTAAGATCTGGGATTCGGTGGTCAGTCTGTGACATCAATCTTCCCAAAGTTACTGTTCTCTCTGCTGCCACCCTATTGCCTCTGCCTTGCACGAGACAGATTAGATTTTGAGACAGGCAATTCCCAACCCCTAGTCCACACACTCTGAACAGAGAATGCTATTTCTATGCTCTGTGCATAAACACCAACAGCACACTAAGTCCTATAAGCAGTAGAATAAGTTATTACTGCTAGCTCTGCTCATAGCAATGCAACAGCAATATTGTTAAGTCTCACAGAATGCATTGAAGGATACTGAAGCCCTAAGTTGAACCACACAGAGAGGGACACCATTCTGATTTATAAAGTACACTGTTTAAAACTACTCTGTGCAGACTTGCAGATGAGTCTCTGTAGAGCTTCCTCAGAGTGCGCTGTCAAGGCTGCGTCATCTGCAAACAACATCTCATGGGTAAGAACCTGCCGCACTTTTGTCTTGGCATGGAGAGGTGCCACTCCTTGAATGAAAGTACACACCGTCTTCAGATGAGCTGAAGGCATATGAGAGCAAGAGAGAGAATCTGCCAGAGTTGGAGCGAGACCACAGCCATTTCACACCCGTCTTTATAGAGAAGGAGTCTTGAAGATGAGCCATCATACCGGATGGTGCTGTGCATTTTCTCACTGGATGACATAATCATCTTGTGGAGCTCAGGTGGGCATCCTATCTTGTTGAGAAGTGTGAAGAGTCCTTGTCGGCTGACAAGGCCAAAGGCCTTTGTCGGCTCTACAAAGGCGATGTACAAGGGGCGCCTCTGCTCTCGGCATTTCTGCTGCAGAAGTGAGAAAATCATGTCAACTGCTGACCTCTGAGCTCTAAAGTTGCATTGTGAGTTGGGATAGACTCTGTCAGCAAGTGACTGTAATCTGTTGAGAACTACATGGGCAAAGGCTTTCCCCATGGCACTCAGAAAGGAGATCCCACAGTAGTTGTTACAGTCATGGCAGTTGCCTTTGTTCTTGTACAGCAGCTTTTCTCAACCTGTGGGTCCCCAGATGTTGTTGAACTACAACTCCCATCACCCCTAGATAGCAAGGCCAGAGCTCAGGGATGATGGGAGTTGTAGTCCAACAACATCTGAGGACCCACAGGTTGAGAACTGCTGTTGTAGAGGGTCACAATGCTGGAGTTACCTATGTCTTCTGGCATGGATCCTTGTTCCCAGTTCTGCAAGAGGAGGCCATGAAGCTGTGTCATGAGGGAAGGAGTGAAGCTCGCTTTCAGCACTTCCGTTGGTATTCCATCATTTCCTGGGGCTTTCCCTCATACCTAAGAGTTGATGGCATTCTTAGAGGGAGGGAGGGACATCCAGCTCTTCGAGACAAGCAGAGTCTGCCTTCCATATGCACTGTTGTCAGGAAGATTTTGGGCATCACATGGCAGGACAGTGTCAAACTAAGATGTGCTCTCCCAAGCCCACGTTCTCAGCATGTTTGCTGTTCCATCTCAGCAACGTTTACACTGGCTTGGTCATGTCTACAGAATGGAGGATGGCAGGATCCCCAAGGACGTGCTCTATGGGGAGCTGGCCTCTGACACTAGACCCACTGGCAGCCCAACTCTGCATTACAAAGATGTCTGCAAATGTGATATGAAGGTTGGCAACATCAACCCTGCCATGTGGGAATCCCTTGCAGACGACCCCAGTGCCTGGAGATGGACAGATCGTGCATCCACAGCAGTGGCCAGAGGAGGAATGACCACTGGGAGAAGCACAGAGAGAAGAAACACCCTGGTGCATCTGTAACAGTGAAACTGGACATCCTCATCTGCTGCAGCTACAATAAAACATGTCTCTCCCATACTGGTCTCACCAAACACAGTAAATGCTGTAACTCTCCAGTGGTTTGACTTCACCTCCGAAGGCGCATTCTCCCACTGTCTCCTGAGACTGACAGGTGCCAACATACTGTTCACAGCGCACCCAGAGCCTAATGGATGGATTCAGAGGAGAACCAAGTTGATGGCAAATGGTCTGGAAAGTGACTCCTTTGAGAATGCGTCTGGTCTAGAGAAAAGATTAATAGCTCTTTGAATCCATATTCAGCTTTCTAGTCCCTGGAGTGTTCTCAGAATGTTGTAGGAAAGAACAGCTCTTGAGAACAGATTTTAAACTTGAAAGGCAAAGTTTAGGTTAAACATTAGAAAGATGGTGCCTAAGCTTAGTAGCTGGAATCAGAAATCTTATTTGAGGACAGGTATCTATTGGAGATGTTTTAGATGCAGAATTATCCTTATTCTCCTGTTTCAGAGTAGCCAGTAAGAGTAGATGGCCAACTGCAATTGCCATTCTACCTACATACATGTGCAAACACACACAAAATTGGCCTTGCAAATTACACGCCCTAAATCGACTGTAACAAACAGAGCACTTGAGAAGGACACTCTGCCAGCATCCTTCCCTCACAACCCGGAACAGGGCTACTACTCTCACTTTTTGCAGACAATGGAGCTGTGATTTCAACCCAGGTTTTCCAAACCCAATAGTCTTTCACATTGCATCATAGCTGAAAAGACATGGAGAAAATGATGACGTATGGCCCCTTTAGCAAGACCATCTTGCCCAACAAATAATCTGGGGGAAGGGGTGTCTCACAGAGAGTCTTGAACCTGAAAGGAATTGTGAGAACTGGCTTAATAACTGCAGTGGATCTCATCTTCCTACTTTTCTAAAGGATTCTGTAATAGCAGCAACTGTCGTTGACAAGAAGTGTTATTTTCACCTGGAAGCAGTGATGTTGTTGTTGTTGTTTAGTCGTGTCCACCTCTTTGTGACCCCCTGGACCAGAGACGCCAGGCCCCCCTGTCTTCCACTGCCTCCCGCAGTTTGGTCAGACTCATGCTGGTAGCTTTGAGAACACTGTCCCACCATCTCGTCCTCTTCTCCTTGTGCCCTCAATCTTTCCCAACATCAGGGTCTTTTCCAGGGAGTCTTCTCTTCTCATGAGGTGGCCAAAGTATTGGAGTCTCAGCTTCACGATCTGTCCTTCCAGTGAGCACTCAGGGCTGATTTCCTTCAGAATGGATGCGTTTGATCTTCTTGCAGTCCATGGGACTCTCAAGAGTCTCCTCCAGCACCATAATTCAAAAGCATCAATTCTTCGGCTATCAGCCTTCTTTATGGTCCAGCTCTCACTTCCATGGAAGCAGTGATAAGGGATAGAAATTTCTTCCAGCGCTCCCCCGCCCATGGAAAATCTTCCATTTAGTTAAATGCATTAAAAGCAATGAACTGCAAATACGGTATTAAACAAGCTTGGATGTTTTGAAGTGTTTACAAGACGCAAATAAAATAGATATGCTAAATTAGATCACTTTTCAGGGCATCAGAGAAGTTTCCATAGAAATTTTCTGATGCAAATTACCCTGGAAAAATGGCCACCATTCAAAATTTTCCAGGAATTGCACATCACTGCCTAGAAACAACACAGGGGAAGCCAGCGGTGGGAAAAGAGGGACAGGTTTGAGGAGGACTTGACCCAGATTACTGCTCCTCTGACTCATCCAATTAGCCAAATGCTGTTCAAGGCTTTAATTAGAATTGGGGTCATGAGGGAAGGAGAAGCAGCCAGGTAATTAGAGATCACGTGCGTCTGCATTCTGCCTGCTGTCTATTTTATTTTACAGAAATACAAACACACAGTGTTCCCTTTTACTCAACTAGCTAACCTGCAGAAAGCAGAAGGGAGGCGGCAGCAGCAGCCAGTGAGTTGCTCAGGAGAGGCAGCAAAGCAACATCAAATTAAGAGCCACCTAGTGACAAATCCATGCCTGCAGGAAGATTTAAGGATCTGAACACTGGTATTGTCAACAGAGTGTGAAAAACCAGCTCCAAAGTTAATAGTAGCTGTTTCGCCTTGGAAACAGCCAAAAAGGAAAAAGGGGGGGGGGGTAGAAGAAAAAGAAGGAATGAGGGAGGAAGCAAACTTGCTTAAGCACACTTGCTCAGATCAGAGGAGTTTAAAATGTATTTCCATTTTTGGCCACCAAGTTCTCCTTTTCGATCCTCAATCAGGAAGAGAGTGTTATTTATTTAGGGAAGTTTTTAATATTTAATGCTGTATTGTTTTTAACACTCAATTGGGAGCCGCCCAGAGTGGCTGGGGAAACTCAGCCAGATGGGCGGGGTATAAATAATAATAATAATATCATAAACTCATAGAAGTCGAGGGGGCTTTGAAGGGCATCTAATCCAACCAATCTAATCAATGCAGGAAATTTCTCACCATTCATCATCATATTAGATTTGTTGTTGTTGTTTATTAAATTTGTATACTGCCTTTGATCTGAAGATCACAGGGCGGTTCACAACATAAAAACACAATTATGAAAACACCAAGTACATAATAAAAGATAAACAAAACAATAACCCCCTCCCCTCCCTCAGATACATTGAAAAGGCCATAGAACGTTAATCAGCCAAATGCCTGGTTGAAGAGAAATGTTTTTGCCGGGAGCCTAAAGATATGTAATGAAGATTTAGCATAAAATCACTACAACAAACACAAAGGGTTGGATCCAGAGTTGCCCTCCTGCAAACGGAAGGGTCCCTTCCATTCGGAGAAGGGATTGAGATACAACAGGGTTTCTCATTTGGGAAAGTCAGGTTTCTGCCATTTCCCCCCAGCCGTGATGCCCCAGAGAGTTCCCACCCCTTTCCCCTCCTAGTTAACCCACATGGCCTAACTTCTCCTATTGGACACACCAAGCATGAAGCTTCAGTGGCAGAGCTTATGGGGCTGCTAGCTAGCATTTCCCCACACGTTCTATGGGCTACCATCCCACTCAAGCCCCTCTAGGTCCTTGGGGACACTGCATACGAGGATCGCTGGCTGGGGCAGAGGCAAAGAATAGTCCCCATACCTTTTCTTATGAAGGTTTTTCCGCTAGCAAAAGAAACTCTGCAAATGTTCAGAGGCACAAGGCACACACATCTAGACTGGGTTGAATTCCCTTCCTGGGAAGGTAAGGCTACCCCTCATTTTGCTCCCTCTGAGATGTGAAGACAAAACATGTTGGTTCAATCAGCCTTCGGGGAGATGGAGCCAATCTGAACCTAGCAGTTCCAGTATTGTGCTGTATTGTTTATTTTCGCTCTGCTGGTTTTTAGATGTTTTATCTCTTGCTATAAACAGACTGATATGTTGTTGTGCTGTGCACCACCCTGGGCTCTTTTTGGAGGAAGGGCAATATGCAAACATAATAAGAAATACTGAACACATGTTTGTTTTGTTTTTTAAAAAGGAAGAAAAAGCAGCAACCCCACTAAACCTGTCTAAAGTGTCCAGGAGTGAGGACTGTCAATGAAGCCACCATGTTTGCCTCAAGAAGGTGGTTCTACATGATCTGGCATGGAAATCCAGCCAGATGGACAGGGTATAAATAATAAAATATTATTATATTATTATTCTCTGAGGTTTTAGCGGGGGAGGGAGAGAGCCTCAGTCCTAGCCTGGCACTCTATGCGACACCACAATATCCCACGTGAAAAAATGCAACATATGGCAGATTCCCCCAAAGGAAGCCACACACTCAAGTGTCATGATACTGTCAATGTAAGATGGATGTGCGCTTAAAGCTCTGTCTGCACAGAAGCACTTCGAGGTTTCAGTTCAAGGAACTCATCGCACCAATCTACTGCAACATCCCAGAACCCAAGCATATATGCCACAGAAAGACTAGAGAAAAAGCTCTGCTCTTTTTAAATCTGAAAATACACACACATAAATATGACGATGATGATGATGAAGAAGTAGTCAGAGTTCAACAAAAGAGGAAACCTAGAAGTCATCAGATGCAACATTTGAGATGGTGGTCTTCTAGCCAAAACTCATTTCCAGCGAAGGAGACAGAACAGGCGACTGGGTTCAGCAGCTGTGAGGGAACACAAGCTTAAATGCCACTTTTCTCCACCCACAGTAAACTTTTCAAGACTGCCTCTGCTGACACTGCTTATCAACCTAAAAAGCCAAGCTAATCCTGGAGGGGTGTCCTGCAGTGCTGTTTAACCAACACAGTGAATAGCGCAACTTACAAAACTATGGCAAAACTTGTCAAGCCGCTGAAGAGGCAGCCTGGCAACACATCACCACATAAAGAGGCAGCAGCAGCAACAACAGCCATACACAAAAGCCAGTTTCGTTTGATATTATTGTATTTATATACTACAACCCTTTCCTCCTGAAGGAGCACAGGGTACTGTACAACATAATGAAAACAAACCATTTACACACAATAATCAAAGCTGAAAACAGCATAGCACAAAAAGTACAATGCTAACAGTGCTAGACTTAAAGCAAATATATCTCCCAAAAGCCCAGGCAAGCAAGTGTGGCCGACATCTAAAAACTGACAACATGGGAAACAGCTGCATTTCCCAGGGAGGGGGGGAGTTCCACAATCAAGGTGCCACCACAAAGAAGTCCCTGTCTCAAGTCACCAGTCCATAGGCCATACCTGTCCATGGGAACATGAGCAGGGCCTCCCCTGCCAGCCCCAACCCCAACCCCAAAGGGAAGGAGGGATTGTGGAGGCATTCCTTTAAGTACTTGGTCCCTAAGCTGTTTAGGGCTTTGTATTTCACCACTCACACCTTGAATTGGGCTCAGTATTATGACATTCAGGGCTGCATCCAACAAAGTCATCCCATTTGCGCAAGGACTTCTGCTAGTGCAACGAAACCTCCGCTCCCTATCTGTTTCAGAGTGTTGTGGGGGGCAGAACACATTTGGAGGGAGTGCACAGGGCAAGGAACGTCTCCTGCACAAGTGAATGGAAGGACTTCGCTAGATACAACCCTCAGCATCTGCCTGCTCTTGTCACCTTTAAAAATAATCCGCATGCACATCAAAACATTTTTTTAAAACTCTAAGCACAGCATCAACAGCTTAAGGACAGTCCGTTACATCACAGTAACTCTTTGTGCATCCCTTCCTACCACTTGTTCCTAACAACAGCACAAGGAAGGTGAGGCTGGGAGTTGTTGCTTTCACACTGGAAGCTTTTAAGGCCATGGTTCTCTGATGTCTATTCCCATGACGGAAGCTTCTGCATTCAGGTAGGTAGCCATGTTGGTCTGACGCAGTCAAAATAAATTAAAAAATTGTCCAGTAAGCTTTCGTGTGCATGCACACTTCTTCAGACAGAAGCTCCTGCAGGTTTACTCAGAAACAAGTTCCATTAGAAATCAGGCAGGCGACATCCCTGCTGAGTCTCAGATTTCAGATTAAAATGGTTTTATTTCAAGAAGCCTTTGCACCATAGATGAAGTTCTATTTTATCTTAAATTTCCAAAATTTTAATACATACAAATTTTAGTTACCTTCAGCTATCTGTCTAAACTTCCTCCCTCCATGGTTTCCATGTGCAGTTCCAATGTTATACTCTTAAGTTTTTATCCATTTTAAACACTGTATATTGTATGTTTTTAAATGTGGGCAACCCAGCCAGATGGGTGGGGTATAGAAATAATAAAATTATTATGCTTTTAAAAAATGTAAGCCGCTTTGAGACATATTTTAAAAATGTATGCCCTCCTTTTCACTATATGTAAGTAAAAATAAAAGGATTTGCCCCTCATGAGACCCAAGTAACAGGCCTACCAGATGAAACCGATGGCCTATTTAGTCCAGCATTCTATTCTGACTCTGCTGCCAGTGGCCAACCAGATGAGAAGCCCTCTCCTGCTGTGATTCTCTATGACTGAGATGCATCTGATTCTGGAGGTAGGATAGAGCCATCTTGACTAATAGCCATGAATTTGTCCAAGACCCTTTTTAAGCCATTAAGATTGTGGTCACTACCAACACACCTTGCATTAGTGACTCTCACTGTTTAATTACACTCTGAGTCAAGCAGTGCTTCCTTTTGTCCATCCTGAATCACTCATCATTCAGCTTCATTGCATGACCAGGATTCTGGCACTTTGAGAGATAAGAACTACTCTCAATCCACATCATGCATCATTTTACACACCTCTATTACATTCTCCCCTACTTTTCTATATATATATATAAAAGTCACGGGAACAGTTTTATTATGTGGGCTGTGATTTTCTACAGATGATTCAATTGACAACAGTACATACCAACAACTTAGTGAACCATTTTTCCTTTCTGTTTTCTACTACTAATGACACTGAATTCCAGAATGACTCAGGTGCACAAGCAGACCTCCAGAACTATTAAAACATCCATAATGAACCTTCTGGGAACAGAGGTTTGTCAATTCCAGGAACTAATTTGCACTGCGATGCACCCTGACCCGCCCAGGTGACAGAAACATCCTGCATGTTGCCTGGACCTGGTTTTTATAAAACAGAACTATGGATGCTTGTGTTTTTGTTTACTGAGATGAAGGTGCTGGAAAAGATGGGCATTTCACTGATAGACAAAGAGTCTGCTCACTTAACATTTTTAGTTAATTAGTTCTTTCTTCTGGTTACCCTGAATTTTAAAAACTGATGACATTAAGAACAGTCCTGCCCAGAAACAGCGTGAGATATTTTGGTGCCTGCTGGAGAACTATCTTGTTAACTGGTACCTGAAAGCTGTTATTAAGTCTTTGCTTGCATCTAGCTAAATACTGTTCCAAACACAGCAGGGATTAATGCAAGTTAGTCTGAGAGCTCACTCCTCAGTGAGCTTTGGAGTCTTCAACTCCAGACAGGATGGGCTCTCTTAGAAGCTTAAGAGGCTGTAGTCATCATGCATGTTTACCATAAGCAGAGCTTTCCGGAGTAGCAAGTAGCTTTTGGTTGAACAGGCTGTTCCACCATTAAGACTGAAGTTCTAGGAAGAGGAAAGAAGTGAGGATGGAGGCAAACTACAGTTCTGACAGCTTGGAAAGGAACATAGAAATCTTTTTTCTATTTAGTTGGACTACCGGTCCATATAAGTCAGTACTGACTGATAGCAATTCTCTGTGGTTCCAGGCAGGAGCATTTCCCAGCCCTGCTAGGATATGCCAAGCATTTAATTCTGGGACCTTTTCCATGCAAACTATGTGCTTTATCACTGAGACAAGGGGAGAGAGAGGCCTGCACATGTGGGCTTGGCCTTCAAGAGCATCTCACAAGGGACGGCTGTTTTGAAATGGGGGCCACATTGCATCTCATGGCACCCCATCACCAAGAGTGGGAACACAGAATTACATGTCACCCACAGCTAATGACAACCTCCTTTTCACCTGATTCATGGGAACAGATGCCCAAAAAGGTGCAAGACTCAGAGCAAAAATTAGGCAAAGATGAGAGGCGTAAAAACAGACAGTAGTAGTGAGTAATTTTGACATATATTTTTAAGTTTTGGGGAGCAGCTTTCTTTTGCTGGTCCATTTCACTATGTGATGAGTAAAGGGTTCCAGAATGCACAGTCATCTCAGCTGTCAGATTTCCTTACACACAAACTGTGGTCACCAGGAGCCCTTTCTACAAAGAACCACCGTCAGATGCAAACTTTTGCAATTTGCCACTGCGCCTCCGAAAAGCTCAAATTAGCTCAGATACAGAATCACCTCAGTGCCATGAAAGACAGTGCGAAGTTAAGGGATTGCTAACAATTGACAGGGCTGACAGATATTCCACAGCAGCTACCTCAGAAGGCAGCTTCACTGCTCCTCAACTCAACCTGCAAGGGCTGACAATAAAAATACTTTGGGGGGGGGCGCGAGGGAAAAAAGCCATTTCCTGATGTTCTGGAACCATCAGATCCACAGCCCTCACTAAGCATAACACCACGGGCGAAATATTCTCCCTTTCCCCTTGCCACCGCAGGGAAGCGGACAGCTCCTTCCGAAGCGCCCACGCGGGGATCCCGGCGTTGCAGCGGGGTGGGCTGGATGACCGGCGGGTTCCCCTTCCTCTCGGCCTGGAGCAGGAGGGCCGGGCGGGCGGGCGGGCGGGCAGACACGTGTCGGGCGAGCCCTTCACACGTGCGGCGGGGAGCTCGGGAGGGAAGAGGGGCCGCCCCTCCTGCCGGCCTGGCCCGCCCGCCCCTCCGCCTGCCCCTTCCTCCTCCCCGGGCCCCGCCCCGCGTACCGTCCGGGCGGCCTCTGCCCAGGTGCGGCCCTTCTTCTTGCGGCCCTTTTCCCTCATGGCGGCGGGACGAGCGAGGGGCGCGGGGCGTCCGAGGCGGGCGAGGGCGGCTCTCTCTGTCCGGGCGGGCGACGAGGGCGAGGAGGAGGAGGCCGAGGGCCAGGAAGGGCAGAGCCAGGAGGCCTCGGCCTGCGCGGCGGCCGCCGCTTACACCCTCAGGCCAGCGACGCCAGCGGCTCCCCCGGCCGCCATGTTGGGAAGCCTTCGGCAGTCACGTGACGGCGCCTCCGCCCCGCCCACCTGTCCGGGAGAGGAAGGGAAAAAAGGGTCCGGCCGGGGCGGAGTCTGGGCAGGAGGCTCCGCCCTTTGAAAGGGAGGGGGGAGGAAGAGGAGACGAGGAAGCTGCGCGCACGCGCGGTCCGCCGCCGCCGCCGCCATCTTCGAAGCCCGGATTTCCTTAGGCGCATGCGCGGTGTGCTGCCACCTGGGTCCGCCTCCGGGGAATCCGCAGAGCGCCTGCGCAGTGCAGAGAGGCGGGAGGAAGAGGAAGGCGGAAGGCCCAGGAGCAGAGCTGTCAAGTGACAGATTTGAAAAGAAGGGACCAGCAGCCAAAATAAGGGATTTTAGACAAGCAGCTGAAATGCAAAGTGAAAAGGGACCAGATAATTTGGGAGAGCAGCGCTATACTCAATAGGAGTATAGCATCTAGATCAAGGGAAGTAATAGTGCCACTGTATTCTGCTCTGGTCAGACCTCACCTGGAGTACTGTGTCCAGTTCTGGGCACCACAGTTCAAGAAGGACATTGACAAACTGGAACGTGTCCAGAGGAGGGCAACCAAAATGGTCCAAGGCCTGGAAACGATGCCTTATGAGGAACGGCTAAGGGAGCTGGGCATGTTTAGCCTGGAGAAGAGGAGGTTAAGGGGTGATATGATAGCCATGTTCAAATAGATAAAAGGATGTCACATAGAGGAGGGAGAAAGGTTGTTTTCTGCTGCTCCAGAGAAGCGGACACGGAGCAATGGATCCAAACTACAAGAAAGAAGATTCCACCTCAACATTAGGAAGAACTTCCTGACAGTAAGAGCTGTTCGACAGTGGAATTTGCTGCCAAGGAGTGTGGTGGAGTCTCCTTCTTTGGAGGTCTTTAAGCAGAGGCTTGACAACCATATGTCAGGAGTGCTCTGATGGTGTTTCCTGCTTGGCAGGGGGTTGGACTCGATGGCCCTTGTGGTCTCTTCCAACTCTATGATTCTATGGTTTTTAGCCCTTCGTTTCCAGAGGTTGCTGCTCAAGACACCAGCCGATGAAACACTGCCATTAAATAACTACAAGCAGCAACCACTTTTAGCGCAAAACGAAGTCCAAGCTACGAAGATGCTGCTGCAGTTCTGTATCTTTTCTCCTGTGCTCCATCTGCAGCTCTCAGTTCCATCAGGCGGGGCGGGAGGAAGGGGGGGAATAGCGCCCGAAGTAGACCCGCAGATCAGACTATCTATGCTAGTCTACCACCATAGCTGTCAACCGTCCCTTATTTGGTGGGAAAGTCCCTTATCCCAGCGCCGTGTCCCGCTGCTGTCCCTTATTGATGATGTCCCTCCAATTTCCCGGGTTTCAAAGGAAGCAGCTCCTCTCCCTCCCTCCCTGCTGGCCAGGGAGGAGGGAGGCCCCAACTGTGTTGCTTGGCTGCATTGCTCACCCAATAAGGAGTCTAAGAACAACTGGGGGGTGGAGCTTGCATGCCTTGTGCCAATCAAATAGGCCGCCTTGCCTGGGGACTCGCCTTTGCTCAGCGCTTCCCAGCGGAGAGGGGACGGTGGTTTTCCATGCTGCATCCCCTTTGCCGGGTTGCTGCGCTGTGGGAACCACCGCTTGAGGCTTCGTTTGGCTGCTGGCTGGGCTTTCTGCCTTTGGCTCGGAGGGGCTCAGAAGTTGAACATACCTGTGCTTAGAAAATCCCTTATTTTGGCTGCTGATCCCTTATTTTTGAGCTGCTGGTCCCTTATTTTCAAATCTGTAAGTTGACAGTTATGGTCTACCACTACAAATCTATAGGAGAAGCACTTGCGTTTCTTCCTCCGCTTTCCCCCTCTATGGTTAGCCCATCTCATCCGGGTCCTTCGGCGGCGCAGCCGCAGTATGGCCTAGCGGGAGTGGTGGCGGTGACGGGCAGCGGGGAGGCCCCAGGCAGAGACACTCAGTTCAGTGGCCGCGAGGAGGATGGCGGCGAAAGGGCCCAAGGCTCCCATCAGTCCTGGCGGGGAGGGGCTCCCAGGGGCCAAAGCTGGTGAGAGGAGGCTGAAGGGGGGCGGGCTGGGCAGCCAAGCAACACAGTTGGGGCCTCCCTCCTCCCTGGCCGGCAGGGAGGGAGGGAGAGGAGCTGCTTCCTTTTAAACCTGGGAAATTTAAGGGACATCCATCAATAAGGGACAGCAGCGGGACACGGCGCTGGGATAAGGGACTTTCCCGCCAAATAAGGGACGGTTGACAGCTATGCCCAGGAGGGGAGTTGGGAAAGCGGCCTGAAAAAGGGGGGCCAAGAGCTGCCCCCCCATCAAGTAAATAGATCATTTGTGGCTGCTAATTTTGTGGTGCGAATTTTTGTGTTCTTATATCGTAAACCGCCTTGCTATCCTCGGGTGAAGGTGGTGTAGAAATTCAAGAAATAACAATTTTAAAATACACAAAGTGTCTGGCAGCGGCTTACAGCTGTTAAAAAGCATGCAGAAATTTAAAACATGGCAAGAACAAAGTGCCAGTCACCGATACAGTGCTCATCCCGGCAGTTAAAAGCCACCCGTTCAGACATAGGAAGGAAGGAAGGGCAGGGAGTATTGGGTGGTGGGTGTTTATTATTTATTTATTTATTAAATTTATATGCCACCCTTCTTCACAGAATAAAAAAAGAAGATAAAACGCAAGTAAATACAGTGGTACCTTGGTTCTCAAATTTAATCCATTCCGGAAGTCCGTTCCAAAATCAAGGCGCGCTATCCCATAGGAAGTAATGCAAAATGGATTAATCCGTTCCAGACTTTTAAAAACAACCCCTAAAACTGCAATTGAACATGAATTTTACTAATGAGAGCATTGATCCATAAAAAGAAAGCAATAAACAATGTTCTGCAGTCACACAATCAGTAGCTGAACTGGGTTCCACATAGTCACAAAAACGAAGAAGAGGAGTTTGGATTTGATATCCCGCTTTATCACTACCCTAAGGAGTCTTGGAAGACAGGAGTGCCTGGCGTGCTCTGGTCCACGGGGTCACGAAGAGTCGGAAACGACTAAACAACAACAACAGCAAGGAGTCTCAAAGTGGCTCACAATCTCCTTTCCCTTCCTCCCCCACAACAAACACTCTGTGAGGTGAGTGGGGCTGAGAGACTTCACAGAAGTGTAATTAGCCCAAGGTCACCCAGCAGCTGCATGTGGAGGAGCGGGGAAGCGAACCCGGTTCACCAGATTATGAGACTACTGCTCTTAACCACTACACCACACTGGCTCCTGCAAAATTGCAAGAAAATAGCAATAGCAAAATAGCAAAAAAAATTAGCAATAGCAAAAACAGACAGACAGACCTCAGTGTAACATTCAAAACGGAAGTGTAGCACTCAAAATGGAGAACAGCTTTCGAAAAAAGTTCGCAAACTGGAACACGTGACTTCCGGGTTTGCAGTGTTTGAGTACCAAGGCATTTGAGAACCAAGGTACCACTAATTAAACCAAAGCAAGAAATCAATAACCCCCCCATAACACATTTTGAAAGGGCATTGGATGTCCATCAGCCAAAAGCCTGATTGAACAGGAGCATTTTTACCAGGTGCCTAAAGGTGCATAATTGAAGGTGCCAGGCAAGCCTCCCTGGGGAGGCCATTCCACAGATGGGGAGCCACTGCAGAAAAGGCCCTTTCTCCTGTTGCTGCCCTCAGGACCTCAAATGAAGGAGGCACTCAAAGAAGGGCCTCCGGGGATGAACACAGAGATTGGGACGGTTTATATGGGGAGAGGCGGGACTTGAGGTGTTGTGGTCCTGAGCCGTTATAGACTTTATTGGTCAAAATCAGCACTGTATCCTTCCAGCCTTGCAGTATGTCTCTTTGCCACTATAAGGACTCACAGGATCCAATTAAGCTGTCCATTTGTTAGTCCCCACCTCATAGGAATATAAGAGTGTGTGAGAGTCTGTAATATTAAAGATTTATCAAAAACAACATAAATGTGAACAGCCATTTCTAACCACAAAAAAGACTCCCCAGGACCTGGCTGCATCATCTGCCTCAATGAGAGTTTTTCAGCATTATATAATAATAATTATTATTATCACCAACATCTGTCTGAATTAGTCTGTTCCTCTCTCTATGGAGTCCCATATACCTGGAACATCAGCTTTTGTTAAATCGCTCTCAATGTTAAATCTAAAGAAACACCCCATATAGATGCTAAAGCAACTTTCCATTGTTTGAGCTAAGTGGAACACATTGACTCTGTTCCAGTCATCTCTCAGATCCTGCATATCCAATTTACAACATTCCAAGAAACATTATAAACAACTATTATTAGTTTAGCATTTTTGCATAGATCCAATGACTTCCTCCAGCAATGTAATAGTTGCTGAGGAACTGAAAGCTTACAGCCCATGAATCGACACTAAAAGCTGTTGCATTTTGAAGGTGTTGCCATTCAGTATCAGTGGATCAGCGATATCTAGCCTGCAAAATTGAAAGGGATTAAAAAAAAGTTCTCCACCCATTCCTATAATTGACCACATGATTAAATTCCACTTCTCCCACAAAAAGGACTGCTCTCTATTTTCACATCTGGATTCTTCCAGTTAGCTTAGCTTGAGTACAGTGGACGCTCGGGTTGCGAACATGATCCATGCAGGAGGCATGTTCGCAACCCACAGCGTTCTCAACCAGCACACACGGGTTGTGATTCGGCGCTTCTGCGCATCCGCAAATCTCGACTTAGCGCTTCTGCACACGCGCGACCTCTGAAACCTGGAAGTAGCCCGTTCCGGTACTTCCGGGGTTCAGCGCGTCCGTAACCTGAAAAAACGCAACCTGAAGCATCTATAACCCGAGGTACGACTGTTATAGATGCTGTTATAGATCACCTCCTGGCAAATAGAAGGGCAAGAAATGGAGGCAGTGAGAGATTTTACTTTCTTGGGCTCCATGATCACAGCAGATGGTGACAGCAGCCACGAAATTAAAAGGCGCCTGCTTCTTGGGAGAAAAGCAATGACAAACCTAGACAGCATCTTAAAAAGTAGAGACACCACCTTGCCAATAAAGGTCCGTATAGTAAAAGCTATGGTTTTCCCAGTAGTGATGTATGGAAGTGAAAGTTGGACGATAAAGACGGCTGATCGCCGAAGAATTGATGCTTTTGAATTCTGGTGCTGGAGGAGACTCTTGAGAGTCCCATGGACTGCAAGAAGATCCAACCTCTCCATTCTGAAGGAAATCAGCCCGGAGTGCTCACTGGAAGGACAGATACTGAAGCTGAGGCTCCAATACATTGGCCACCTCGTGAGAAGAGAAGACTCCCTGGAAAAGACCCTGATGTTGGGAAAGATGGAGGGCACAAGGAGAAGGGGACAACAGAGGATGAGATGGTTGGACAGTGTTCTGGAAGCTACCAGCATGAGTTTGACCAAACTGCGGGAGGCAGTGGAAGACAGGAGTGCCTGGCGTGCTCTGATCCAGGGGGTCACAAAGAGGCGGACACGACTAAACAACTAGACAACAACAACAACATGACTGTATATGGGAATGCCATGATTCTGTAGCATTGAAATTGCTGGTGGAAATTAACCTCACATGATCCATCTAGCCACAGAGTGTGGCCTCAGCTATCACCTCTGAGACTACCCACACAGGTGTGTGCAGAAAAAGCTTGCCGATAATATGCACCTGCTAAAAGGTAGCATGCCTTGTGATACAGATGTTGATCTGGATAATTAAAGCATTCCAAAGCATATTTCTTGCATGCAAATCAGTATGGAGCTGTTCCCACTGGCTCTGTTCAGCCATTTGTGGCAGGAGGCTGCGCTCTCCTTGCAGCCCTTGTCTGCATGACCTTTAGCAAACTGCCTGCCTGGTAGTAACTGGAGCATGAAAGTGCAATCCTGCCAAGGCAGGCAAAACACACACACTCACCATGTGAGCTAAGTGACAAGTGGCCGCTGGGGATTTCTCTAGGTTTATAAAGAGAAATCCCGTTTCGTTTTGTGCTGACCCAGCTTGCAGTTATTTCACAGGCTGCACTGGCTCCAAGTTACCCTGACCAAAGAGGACTCAAAGAATGTAAGGATTGTTGTTGTTGTTGAGTCGTTTAGTCGTGTCCGCCTCTTCGTGACCCCCTGGACTAGAGCACGCCAGGCACTCCTGTCTTCCACTGCCTCCTGCAGTTTGGTCAGACTCATGTTTGTAGCTTCGAGAACACTGTCCCACCATCTCGTCCTCTGTCGTCCCCTTCTCCTTGTGCCCTCCATCTTTCCCAACATCAGGGTCTTTTCCAGAGAGTCTTCTCTTCTCATGAGGTGGCCAAAGTCTTGGAGCCTCAGCTTCAGGATCTGTCCTTCCAGTGAGCACTCAGGGCTGATTTCCTTAAGGATGGAGGGGTCTGATCTTCTTGCAGTCCATGGGACAACAACAACACTGACTGTCTGCTAAAGATTTTTTCAAAAATGATACTTTTTAATCTGAGAAGTGCCACATCTGCAGTAGGGAAAGACATTTAAAATCAAGAGTATGTTCTAGTAAGTGGAACTTTTATTTCGGTTGGGGGGTGGGGACGGGACAGAACACAGTGGGTGGGCATGAGGATTGAAGAGAGGCGTTCATGTCCCTCCACAGCCCTTTCTCTAGGTGGTCATGAATCGGCACTTCACTGCCATCCACCCAAAGCCTCCATGGAGGTCTTCCCAGGGGTCTGATGTCTTACCTGCCCACTTTGGGGTTCCCTGGAGCATGTGGAACACCCCACCCCCTTCTCCCATTATCACAGGAAATTTAGGAAACACATCAACCCAGAAGATTTGGATAACATCACTGTGGTGGAAGAAATTGTGGGACCTTGACCGTAGGCTTTTGGAACAGTGGTCAAGCAGCAGCCCAATATGTCTGTAGCCTGTCAGTCTTGTTTGGAGCCCAGTGTGCAATTCAGCTGTGCATCCATTTCGCATGCTAGAAGCAATGCAGGAGAAAGCCCACTAGGTGCCCTCACAACTCTAGCAAAAGGAGATGAATCGCTGGCCGTGTAATTCCAAGATCCCTCTGCACAGCAGCCGTGAACTCAAGACACAGAACTTGTTTTGAATGCGAGAAAACTCCTCCATGCAGCGGAGATAAAAGGTTTGGCCTTCCAAATATGATGGGCCTGACCTAATCTTAATTTCCACCTCCCTCCCTTTTTGAAAAATAAGAAGCGGAGCACTGGCTGAGTAATGGCACAAGTGGTGTGTCATTTCTAAGATGACAGCTGCCAGGTCGCAAATCAAACCCAGCAGAAACCTCTTGGGGGCCGCAGCCAACTTGGATCTCCCTACGGAAGTAGGGGCAGGTGGTGAGTCATCCCTGCCGAGGAAACCAGGCCTGCCACAGCTAGATGTGGCGACTGTGCTGCATTGCTGATGCGCAGGTGGGGTCCTGAGCCGCAGGAAGCTGCTTTGTACTGAGTAAGACCCACCGATCCATCCAGCTCGGGGGGGGGGGTGGACATGGATGAGGAAGACTTGATTTTGCATCCCTGTTCAGCTACAATGTGGGACGCAGGTGGCGCTGTGGGTTGAACCACAGAGCCTAGGACTTGCCGATCAGAAGGTCAGCGGTTCGAATCCCCGCGACAGGGTGAGCTCCCGTTGCTTAGTCCCTGCTCCTGCCAACCTAGCAGTTCAAAAGCACGTCAAAGGGCAAGTAGATAAATAGGTACCGCTCTGGCGGGAAGGTAAACAGCGTTTCCGCGCGCTGCTCTGGTTCGCCAGAAGTGGCTCAGTCATGCTGGCCACATGACCCGGAAGCTGTACGCCCGGCCAGTAAAGCGAGATGAGTGCTGCAACCCCAGAGTCGGCCACGACTGGACCCAACGGTCAGGGGTCCCTTTACCTTTACTCAGCTACAATACTCATGGACCCGGGTCAGACATCGTCTGTCATAGAATCATAGAGTTGGAAGAGACCACAAGGGCCATCGAGTCCAACCCCCTGCCAAGCAGGAAACACCATCAGAGCACTCCTGACATATGGTTGTCAAGCCTCTGCTTAAAGACCTCCAAAGAAGGAGACTCCACCACACTCCTTGGCAGCAAATTCCACTGTCGAACAGCTCTTACTGTCAGGAAGTCAACCCATCTTGCTTCACCAGGTTGCTGTGAGAATAAATAGGGGGCAGGCCATGTATTTCACCTGAGAACTTTGGAGGAAAGGCAGGATAACATGATGCCTAAACAAACATGATACCTGACCAAGAGGAGGAGTTCTAGCAAGGGGGGGTCCCTGTGGCCCTCCAAATGTCGTCATGCCAAACCCCGTGCATCAAGAAGCCTGCCAGCTTTTTGCGTGCTATTTCCTGGACATTTAGGAATAACGTGCCCGGCTGATGACATGGCGAGTTCCCCCATGTCTTCCAGACATGCTGCCTGCTGGCGTTCATCAGAGCTCAGCACTGTGATGCCCCTGTTCTGGGAAGTGAATGGGGGGGGGCAGAAGATTCCCGATAAAGACTCACAAGACCAGCCAGCCACTGTGACGAAGAAACAGCCAGACACAATCCGAAATCTCTTTAATTAGCTCACACACTTTTATTTTCATCGTTATAAACTGCAGACTTTGGGGCTTTCTCGTCATGCTCCCCCAACCAGCCCCACATTTTTTCTGCTGTTTGTCCTGAGCATCTACTTTCTCTGCTGGCCTGGACCTTTTCCGGCTTGTGATGTGGGGCTCTACTATGGAGGTCAGATCTGACCATGGTGGGATAGTTTAGGGCAAGTGTCTCCCCACCCCCCTCCAAAACAAAGTCAGGAGTGATGCTAATGAATGAATCGGGTCTCCTGTTTCAACAATGCTCATTCCTTTATTGTCAGGGCTGGGCTTTTTGGAACGGTGCCGCCACCACAATGTCCAGGCCCACACCAAATCAAAGCGACGTCACAAGGGTAGTGAAGAGCTCTCCAGCCAGAACCAGAGGGGGTTTGGGACCACAACCTCTGCCAGTACATTATGTATAATATAACTATGCTTAATATGTCCTGTATATTCATATGTATAGAGCAACAAGCATGGGCCACCACCGTATACCGACTTTTGACTTCCTAAGTAAATCACCACCACAGCAACAGGCACAGACGATTTTGGTCCCAGTCTAGGCCCTTGTCTTGCTGATCAACCAAGTCCCTCCCACTTTCCACCCCACTCTGGAATTCCCCCCAGTCTCCAGCCCCCCACATTAGCCCAAATTCCACAGTTTCCCCGGGCGGGACACCCACAAGCAGCCACGCAACACATACACACCCCCAACACACACATTCATATGTAAATACAGACTCGCCAACATACAAAGAACAAAGAACATCGGAAATCTACATCTGAGGTTGTGGCAGCCCCTTGTACAGACACACCTCCGCCAATGGGAACTGGCTCCTGTCTTAAATAACAGTATTTCTTTACAGCTGTCCTTGAGTTTTGTGCTAGGAAGGACGTTGGAGGTTATTGGCAGCACAGCGGTGGATTGAGAAACGCAGAGTGTGAGAGATCTCCCAACGCAAAGTACATGGCAGGAGGAAATGGCAGGCTTTGGCGTAAAAAGTATAGCTTGTTGGACCCCTTGTTTGCACCACCACCGCCGGTGGGGGGTGTGTGAGTGAGGTTAACTTCCCAGTGACACCTCCAACTCCCCAAAGCCAAAATCTGTAGCGCAGGAGGCGTTGCTCGGCCTCAACACACTGACCTCCTCCATTTCCCATCCAGGCTGAATGGAAGTAATTCTGTTCTATTGTAGTTCCCAATGCGATGGCTGCTCTCCTCTTTGTGGTGCTGTAGAAAACAATTCCTCAGGGAGAAGTAACGTCTTTAGCCTTTGAAACTGGGAAGGACGCATCTCCTCTCTTCTGGCAGATCTCCAGAAAACACACTTTTCTAACCCACGGTAAACAAAGGACAAAAAGCTCAGCTGAGCCTTCAGGTGCTCCTCTAGACGTGGGGCTGGCCTTCAGAAGTCTCTGCTGTCCCTTTGGTGTGTGTGGCTGTTGTGCTGTGAAGTAAGCCAAGCAGCTTCCCCTGGGTGTGCTTGTTCCTGGCTCCAGAGCCATGCACAGACCTCTGAGTTTATGGGAATCAAAGGCAAGGAAGTGCAGAGTTAATTCAAATCCACTCTCAGACAGGTGAAGGAGTGAGAGGGGCCTTCCTCCAGCTGCTGGACTACAGAAGTGCATCTTCTTTTGTGAGCATTCAGCCTCCCTGACCCTCTCTGGCTGGCCCAGCAACTTCTTCCAGCCCAACAGGAAAGACAAGCCTTCTTGCTTTGGACGCAGAAGGTCTCAGGTTCACTCCCCAGCTGCATTGAGGGCAGGTAAAGACCCCTGTCAGAAACCCTGGAGAGCCATTGCCCATCAATGAAGACAGTACAAAGGCAGATGGACCAATGATTTGGCCCGGTGTACGGCAGCTTCCTCGGCTCCTATAGTCCCTATAGCACAGCTTTCTCCACTGCTACTAGGCACTATTAATTCCCCAGCCATGTGCAGGACCCCAACGAATCATGGCAGCTCAGCATCTCTGGAGGGCCAGCGCAGCCGGGGCACAGAATGGGCTGGGAGCAGCCAGGGCAGCCGGTCAGGGACCAAGGGGCATAACACACTGTTAAACTGCATAGCAAGACGGTTGCTGCGGGACCACCTCTGGAAAGCCTTTTCTGCATCAAAAGTTTTCCAGGTACATTGTACTTTTAGTATATATTTTTTCTCTATTAATAATATATATTGCTGTTCACTGCTTTTGGAGCCTTGGGTTAAAAAGCGGTATATAAATAAACCATAGCATAGAAAATACGCTGTTTCTATTCCCTTGCCCAGAAGCAGCTTGCAGAGTCCCCTTCCCACCCACCTTCTGGCGGTTTGTGCCTTTCAGAAGCAGAGACCACAAACTCAAGACACCCCTGCTCCGCATATAGGAGTCGGGAATAACTGCTGCTGCTCTGCCCCCTGGAACAACCCTCAGCCAAATTCCATACTCGCAACCACCAGGCATGGATCAGAATCCTTGCTTCATGCAAGTGAAGTCTCATAAGGGTGGGGGGGGCAAGAATTTGTCCTGCTACCTTTCCTTTAGCTGTCGCAGGGACTTATCTGAAGGAGCGTCTCCACCCCCAACGTTCTGCCCGGATGCTGAGGTCCAGCGCTGAGGACCTTCTGGCGGTTCCCTTGCTGTGAGAAGCCAAGTTACAGGGAACCAGGCAGAGGGCCTTCTCGGTAGTGGCACCCGCCCTGTGGAACGCCCTCCCACCAGATGTCAAAGAGAACAACAGCTACCAGACTTTTAGAAGACATCTGAAGGCAGCCCCGTTCAGGGAAGTTTTTAATGTGTGACATTTTAATGTATTTTTAATCTTTGTTGGAAGCCGCCCAGAGTGGCTGGGGAGACCCAGCCAGATGGGCGGGATACAAATAATAAATTATTATTTGGGGCTGGCTCCAGAGTAAACGAGAGATGAGGAAGCCGCAGAATCCTTGGCTAGGACTAGAGCGGCAAGAAGGAAACTTGGAGAGTTGGGCTGACCGAGAGGGATCTGTAGCCACACCCCAGACTGGATCGCCCTCCCAATGCTTCAGACTGTGCTCTCAGGCTGACCTCGTGGGACTGCCCAGCTAGGAACATCAGAAGCTGCCGTCGACAGAATCAGACCACTGCTTCGTCAAGATCAATCTGGTCTGCACCAACTGGCACCCCTGGTTGTCCACGGTTTCTCTGTGGTCTTTCCCAGCCCTCCCTAGAGATGACAAGGACTGAACCCAAGACCTTTTGCACCCAGAGCAGGTGTCTGTGCTGTCTGAGCCACGGCCCGGCCCCTAGCTCAGTGCCACAGCCGCCTTTTCACCAAGTTCCTCCTTTTCCCTTCCTCTGGTTTCTGGTCTTGGACGGTGGAGAGCGGAAGAGTCCTTCTGCTACAAAAGCTGCCGCAGGCACAGAGCGGATCATACAGAGCACTGCCAAACTCTGCCACTTCCCTCTCTCAAAGAAAGTTGGCCCACCAAACCTTTCCTGCTGACCTCCTGGCCATCCCATCGCCTTTGCTCTCGTGCTCTCACACCTTTCTCCATTTGCTGCCCATTGTGGTTTCTTGTGGCCAAGTCCCAGGCAACGGGGGTGTCTTTGGGAGCAGCTTTGTAAGGACTGGTGCAATGGCACACTGGCAGCTGTCACACCAGGCAGCAAGCGCTCTCCATCTCCCCAAGTTAAATGCAGCCTGCGGGCTTTCCCCTGGAGAGAAGGCTCATCAACACTTCTGGTTGCCTAGAAAGCAAAGTCTCAGCCATTTCCCTCTTGCCCCTCTCCCCACTCTTTAGCCTAAAATTGGAACAAAAAGATTGCCGTTGGTTCCAATTGAGCACTAAAGAGTGGTTTTCCCCATGAGAAAGCGTATAAGTTTTGCTTATTTCTAGGAAATTCCCAGGCCAATTTTAGGGGCAGCCACAAAGCTAACTGACTAGAAGCCAAAGGGCAACTTATGCAGAGAGACCATGAGGAAAAGGCAGGGGGCGTGAGGGTTGGGTTTGGTGGTGGCGGTATGTTTATTCCACCTTGCCCTCTCCCTTTCTCTTTGATTTCTCTGCCTTCCCCTCCTGACCTCAGCGTGGCCCCAGGAGGTCCTTGCCACCAGCTGGACGCTGCATCAAAGCTGCCTGTCCCCCTTGCCGCTGCAAGAGAGCCTTGAATTTCGAGTAAATCTCAAGAGGCGCCCTTCCCTCTGCTCTCTCAGGGGAGCGGGGCCCTCTGCCTCTCTCCCCATGTGAGGCACATGATTGGTTCTTGACTTCAGGACGTCTCTTCCCAGTCAGAATATGGATGATTCCTGTCCTGGAGAGGGAATATGTAACGTCCCCACCATGTTGGCCATTGCAGTTGCTTGGTGGGTCAAGCGGGGGCCTGTGACAGGTGCGGGTGAGAAGGTCTCGTAGCATCACGGCCCCCTCACAGATCTGCTTGCATAATCAGTCCTTAAGCTCTCGCTGTGCAGCGTGGAGCCATTTGGTGTGTTTTTTGGCTGGGTGAACAGAAGGCAAGGCGAAGCCGATGGTCTTGGTGCGAGAGCAGAGAGGATTCCGTGGCTGGCAAGGAGGTCGAATCCTGCCTCCAAGCTCTGCCAGCTCCGACCAAACACTCCTCGTAGGGACACTGCAAGGAGGCAGCGACTTCTTCCGAGGCTGGAGGGAACAGAGGGGGCCGAGTGCAAGTGGTTTGGGCTCCGCTTGGCCCAAACAGGTGTCCCTACTGAGCTCAGAACATCGACAGGGTGAAGAAAAAGCAAGAGTCCGCCTTCTAGGAAGGTTGTGCGTGGTGCCAGGCTGCCCCAACATTGCCAAGGGAGCAGCTGGCACTGAGGACGCTGCTTGGCCCCAAAGAAGAACCCGCCCCCAGCATCCGTACAAAGACACATCATAAATAAATATGTTAAATAAATAGAGCGACAGTCCAGAGAGGGCGGGGGGACGGGGCCCCCAGAACCATCCTCCCATATGGATGCACAGAGACACACACACGCGCGCACACACACACACAAGAAGTAGCTAAGGACAAAGATGAGTTAGTGCAGGGGGAACCCCCGTCCCTGGACCACGTGTCCTCCGAGGCAGCAGGTGATGGGAGAAGCCTCATCCTCCATGTGCGAAAGGAAGGGCCAGGGAGGGCCAATGGGGCCTTGTTACTCGTGAGCCAGTGCTGTGGCAGCGTTCTGTGAGCTGGAGGCAAGGGACACGTGCGTCGTCGACGAGGGCAGGGAACGAGGAGCCTGGCACCTGCAGGAGAGAGACGAGAAGGAGGGGGAGAGTGAGGGGCCGTGCTGCCCTCTTTCTTTCTTCCCTGCCGGCCCAAATGCCCCGCGTCCGTCAAGCAAGCTCCCCCGCCCATTGCGGAAGAACCCAGGGCAGACCAACAGCCCCTCCAGACTCAGCAGCAGGGCTCAGAAAACTTTTTCCGCAGGAGGCCGGTCCACCGTCCCTCAGACCTTGTGGAGGGCCGGACTATATACAGTGGTACCTCTGGTTGCGAACGGGATCCGTTCCGGAGGCCCGTTCGCAACATGAAAAGAGTGCAACCCGCAGCGGCGCGTCTGCGCACACGCGGGTTGCGATTCGCCGCTTCTGCGCATGCGCGTGATGTCATTTTGCGCTTTGAGCGGCGAAACCCGGAAGTAACCCTTTCCGGTACTTCCGAGTCGTCACGGGACGTAACCCGAAAGAACATAACATGAAGCAGATGTAACATGAGGTATGACTGTATATATATATATTTAAAAAACACCCAAATGAATTCCAATGCACACTGCGAAGAGGGGCAAGTAGTCCTCCTCACCCCACCCCAGCCCCAGCCACCTTCTTGTTGTGCCGCCTGCCTCATTCGCCAAAGGGCTGGCAGCGGTGGCACGAAATGGGCTTCCTCACCGCCACCGCCACTGCTGCCACTTCTCGTGAAGCGTGTCGGCAGCGCAAGCTCGTCCCCTCCGCTCTCTGGCCCACAGGAGCACCAGGGCGGTGGTGAAGGGAGGAAGTGGCCGAGCGGCGGAGGCTCTGCCAATCAAACGCCACACCTGGTTTACCTCGGCGCGGCATGGGGACGTCTCTGCCAATCAAACGCCGCTGAGGTAAACCAGGCGTGGCGTTTGATTGGCAGAGCCTCCGCCGCTTGGCCTCTTCCTTCCGTCGCCAACACCAGGAGTCTCGGCATTGCGGCGCAGGCTGGATTTAGGACCCAGGTGGGCCTGATCCGGCCTGGGGGCCTTAGTTTGCTGACCCCTACTCAGCAGCCTTAACTTCTCCGTTGCCAGAGAGAGAGAGGACATCGTGAAAATGTCCGCTCACAGCTGTTAATCCCCCAAATCTGGGAAATGACCTGAAGTCACCCCATGGTTCTCTGTTGTTTATGCAGGGCGTCCCAGAACCCGGCTGATTTCCAGCCTGCTCTTCTGATTGGATGGCACGTAGCTGAACAGATCAAATGCCGGTCCTGGGTGACCACTGCATTGATTCTGCTTGACCGGCCCTCCTCTGCGGCCCATTCCTAACCTTCTTACTTGGCTAATGCCATACTTTGGAACCTCTCCAGTGGCCCCAGATTCTGCCAGAGTCCTACTCGAGTGTAGGCTGAGCTCCTGACATCCTGTGGGAAAATGTCTCCACCTCAAAATCACTCCCAGCTGTGCAGATGAGCACTCCACAAAACCTTCTCCATCACCACTCTCTCTCTTGCTCACTCACCAAGACCGTGACTTCCGCACTCGCGACGCCGCCGGTCGCTCCAGGAGGCTGTCGAGACGCATGAGCCTCTCGAGGTGCAGGGCCCGTGGATCGTGCTCACTCGGGTCCCGTGTGATCTCAAACTCAAAGACTGCCGGCGGGGAGACGTCCAGTTCCAGGAACATGATATTCTCCGCCTGTGATGAAATCGGGGAAGGGAGGAAATTCAGAAAGGAGAGGCCAGTTTGCCAAGGAGGTGGAGCAGAAAAGGGTGAATGCAACACATCCCCCCAAAATATGAAGAGGGATTTGTCCTCTCGTTGATTTGCAGAATGGTAGAATTAGAAGGGACCCTCCAGGGTCATCTAGTCCAACCCCCCCCCCCCCGCAAGGCAGGAATCACAACTAAAGCATTCCTGATGGATAGCCACCCAGCCTCTGCTAAAAAAATCCCCTCCAAGGATTTAGAAAGGGGATTCCTTAATACTTGCTTAGTTATTTTACATGATTCTCACTCATCATGTCCACCTCTTTCCCTCTTTTCTTCCTAAAGTAATACTAATGTCTCAACAAATGAAACTGTAGAAAATGTAGAAAATGTAACTTGAAAGAAGAGACAAAAACAAGAAGATTTGACAGATAATAATAAATGTTTTTTAAAAATTAAAAAAGGAAGGAAAGAAAGAGAGAGAGAAAGAAAGAGAGAGAGAGAGAAAGGAAGGAAGGAAGGATTCCCCACATCATCTTGACGGTAAAGAAATACTGATAACCTTTGCCTTCTGCTAATTCCCCATGAATTAGCGTGGATTGTGAGCCCTTTGTGGCAACAAAGACCATTGTGTAAAGCCTATTTGCTGTAGCCACAGCCCTAGGAGATGGTGTCCCTGCAAATCTATATGAACCTTCCTCCAAATCGGAGATGGACAGAGTTCCCTGAGATGAGTTTGCGCCATCAAAATGGCAGCTACAGGGAGGAGGAAGGGGGCTTCCACTGGGTGCTGCCTTTGACCCAAACGGTCTAGGTCCCGGACTCCTCCCACATGGAGACGCCCCTATTTTTAGGTCCTCCATCACTGGGAAGAGCTACTGGAGAGAAGACGCAGTGGTGGCCAAACTCAGCCCTCCAGATGTTTTGGGACTACAACTCCCATCATCCCTAGCTAACAGGACCAGTGGTCAGGGATGATGGGAATTGTAGTCCCAAAACAGCTGGAGGACTGAGTTTGGCCACCAATGTTCAGACTTACTGTATTCTTATCTCGGCTTTGATCGCTATTTACTGTATTTTTCCATTTATAAGACGCCCCCTATTTTGGGGGACTCAGATTTAAGAAAATGGGGGAGATGTATCCGTGTATAAGACACCCCTTAATTTTTGACATTATTTTTAAGGGGGGAAACCTAGTCTTATACATGGGAAAATACAGTAGTTTTGTGTTGTGGATTTTAAAATCTTGTCGGCTGCCTTGTAGATGTTTCTTTCCAGACCCGAGACATTCCATCGGTCCATCTGAGCGGTGCTTGCTTTGCGACCAGGAAGTTTGGTCACCTCAAGGTCCCCTTCCCTCCCCCAGACCCCGTTTATCCCTCCCTCCCCTCCTCCTCCTCTGAGGTCCTCTCGGCTCACCCGGTACCGAGGATGGGAGCCCATCGACATGGCCAGCCGAGCGTACTGGCTGATGGGCCTCTTGTACCCCACAGCGGAGGTCGGCCGCTTCTTCATCTGGGTGGCCGTGGTGGTGGTGGGGCTGTTGCTTCCGCTCCCGCTGCTGCTGTAAAGAGATTGGTTTCCAAGAATGGAGAATGGGCATAGGTTGGGCTCAGGATCATCAGCACTGATAAAAAGCTTAATGCGTGGCACATCTCTGCCACCCTGTGCCTGAGTTGGTGGGCAGAGGATTCCCCGTCTGCCTTGCTCCATCTAATTATTTTGCTATTATTTGTTAAATTTGCTATTATTTGTTAAATAAATGGCCTCGGTCCAGTATACCTGAGGGAGCGTCTCCACCCCCATCGTTCTACCCGGACACTGAGGTCCAGCTCCAAGGGCCTTCTGGCGGTTCCCTCCCTGTGAGAAGCCAAGTTACAGGGAACCAGGCAGAGGGCCTTCTCGGTGGTGGCACCCGCCCTGTGGAATGCCCTCCACCAGATGTCAAAGAGAACAACAACTACCAAACTTTTAGAAGACATCTGAAGGCAGCCCTGATTAGGGAAGCTTTTAATGTTTGATGCATTACTGTATTTAAACATTTTGTTGGAAGCTGCCCAGAGCAGCTGGGGAAGCCCAGCCAAATGGGCGGGGTACAAATAAATTATTAGTATTAGTATTATTAAATTTGTACACCGCCCTTCATCCAAAGATCCCAAGGCAGCTCACAACAGAAATAAATACAAAATGAGAATGCAGGCAACTCCCCACTTGCATGCAATCTACTTGCATGGCGCTGGGAACCCAGAAGTGGTGCGTGGCTTGTGAAGAGACCCTCCTCACATCCTCTTTGGTTGTGGGAAGGTCTCCTCGTGAGCCGGAGCCCGAAGAGGAAAGCCGCCCTGAGTCCCAGTCTGGGGCAAAGGTGGAATATAAAAGGTAAAGGGACTCCTGACCATTAGGTCCAGTTGTAGCCAACTCTGGGGTTGCGGCGCTCATCTTGCTTTACTGGCCAAGGGAGCCAGCGTACAGCTTCCGGGTCATGTGGCCAGCATGACTAAGCCACTTCTGGCGAACCAGAGCAGCGCACGGAAACGCCGTTTAACTTCCCGCTGGAGTGGTACCTATTTATCTACTTGCACTTTGACGTGCTTTCGAACTGCTAGGTTGGCAGGAGCAGGGACCAAGCAACGGGAGCTCACCCTGTTGTGGGGATTCGAACTGCCAACCTTCTGATCGGCAAGTCCTAGGCTCTGTGGTTTAACCCACAGTGCCACGCGCATCCAAAAGTGGAATATAAATAAATATAAGAATCACAATAATCACAATTAGGGTTGGGATCTCCTGGCTGTCCTCAGAGGTGCTTCTCATTTGGGCTACTGTCTGTGTTACAAATGTAGATGAACCTGATATCTGCTCAACTGTCATGGCTCCAGCTGAGGAACCCAGGTGGTTTTTTTGGGGGGGTGTTGCTTGGGCAGATAGCAGTTCTGCCCTTGTCGAGGGCTCAGAAACTCACCTTCCTGGCGTTAGCACCAAGGGCTGGAATTTCCACTGGTCCTCCTCGCAGTCAAAGTAAAGGCGGTTCATGATTTTGTTCTTCTCTTCAGGGGGGATGAAGTTTTCAATGATCAGATACCTGAGCAAAGATGGAACGGGCAGCGTCAGCAGGAGGCAGGCTGCCGAGGGAAGCGGGGGGGTCTGCCCACATGGGGATTTCAGATTTTTATTTATTCCCACACAGCTGGAAAAAAAAGCGGGGACAGCTTGGGGGCTGATGAAAACAGGTGGGTGACTAAGTGAGCGACAGTGGATTTATTTTATCACCTGTTCTGAAAGGTGTGAACTGTTAGAATTCCTGCTCCGTGATTGCAGTCATGGGATTTTTGTCTATCACATGACAGTATATGTTTTGACTCCACCGAGTGGGAAGTGACGGAGACAGCATGTTTGTGTTCCTGTGTTCTGTGAAGTGAGACTGTTGTCCTTTGTTCTTTTTCTCTTTGCTGTCTGATGCTAGAGAGAGAGGGAGCCATGTTGCAGTGCTCCGTGTGTGTTTAGATGGAAATAAAGTAGATTAGCCAAAATGCTGAGTTGCTGAGGTCTGTTAGGCAAACTGCGAACACTCTACAGATCCCTAAGTGTGCTGGTGTCTGTTTGCATCGGTCACTGTGATGTTCGGGCAAAAGAAAGTTTTTGAAGCTCCCGAAAGATCGACCAGGAGGGAAGGAACATGCCAGTCGAGCATGTGTCTCTGCCAGGGTCCTACTCAAGTGTAGGACAAGCTCCTGACACATACCTGAGCAAAGATGGAATGGGCAGCGTCAGCAGGAGGCAGGCTGCCGAGGGTAGTGGGGGTCTGCCCACGTGGGGATTTCAGATTTTTATTTATTCCCACACAGCTGGAAAAAGAAGGTGGGGACAGCTTGGGGGCCGATGAAAACAGGTGGGTGACTAAGTGAGCGACAGTGGATTTATTTTATCACTTGTTCTGAAAAGTGTGAACTGGTCATACCAGTGTAGGAATCTGGTTGGCCACTGTGAGAACAGGATGCTGGACTAGATGGGCCAGATCCAACTGCCAGGCTTTCCTTGTGTTCTCACATTTTAGGACATCCCTTACAAGTGAAGTGAAGGACATGAGGCAGGAGTTGGTAATGCAGGCGAGCTGCGCAGGAGCAAGCTGCCAGCTAGCTCTGCAGAGGCTCCTTTTATTAGCACAATATGCAAAACCAGTCAGACACATTTTGGACTGTGACCTTTGCACATCTTCCAGTCCCGAGATCGTGGGGTGGTACAAAGTTATTTTGGCACCTGTTTCCACCGCGTCAGTTTCCCCTTGAACCATGTATGGCGAAGGAGACAAAGGTCACAGACAGACCACTAAGAGAGCAAAGGTTAGATAGAGGGCATGATGTTCAGACAGCTGTGGCTTTATCTGTGGGCGGAAGTGTGCTCCACACCCAGCAATCATTCCTACAACAAGGAGCTGTGCTAAAGCAGTTTGACCCCATTTGCACTGAGACGTCAAGCTGGTCTTCAAAACACCTTCCGCCCTCACTCCAAGAGCAGCAGCAGCAGTAACATCCCCCTCTCTCGGGATCCTGCTGGCTCCCCTGTCTTCCTTCAAGTCCTCCCTACGGACCCCTTCCTCCGGAGCCCTCTCTTTCTCTTGCACCCTCCAGGGACACCCGACTCTCCCCATCCCAACGCTGCTACTCAGAGCCCTTGACAACTCATCCCAGGGCCCAGCATGGTGAGATGACAAGTCAACCCCCTCACCTTCGTCCTCAGACCAGGGGGGGGATGAGCTGGCCGACCACATGCTGCCCTCTAGTGCCCCCACCATAGGTGGCCAGAACGAGATACTGCAGCGTCCAGTTTAGGGAGGGAGCTCAGGTAATGCTAAGGGCCAATACAGTGGTACCTTGGTTCTCAAACTTAATCCGTTCCGGACCTCCATTCCAAAACCAAAGCGTTCCAAAACCAAGGCGTGCTTTCCCATAGAAAGTAATGCAAAGTGGATTAATCCGTTTCAGACTTAAAAACAACCCCTAAAACAACAGTTTGACATGAGTTTTACTATCTAACGAGACCACTGATCCATAAAATGAAAGCAATCAACAATGTACAGTGGTTCCTCGGGTTACATACGCTTCAGGTTACATACGCTTCAGGTTACAGACTCCGCTAACCCAGAAATAGTACCTTGGGTTAAGAACTTTACTTCAGGATGAGAACAGAAATCGTGCGGCGACGGCAGCGGGAGGCCCCATTAGCTAAAGTGGTACTTCAGGTTAAGAACAGTTTCAGGTTAAGAACGGACCTCCAGAACGAATTAAGTTCTTAACCCGAGGTACCACTGTACTGCAGTCACACAATCAATCAATCAATCAATCAATCAATCAGTAGGTGAACTGGGTTCCACACAGTCACAAAAACAAAACGAAAAAGAGCCACAAAAACAAAAACGCAAAGTAAACAGCAAAAACCGAGAGACCTCAGCGTAGCACTCAAATGTTCAGCTTCCAAAAAAAAGTTTGCAAACCGGTATGCTGTGTTTGGGATCCAAGTTGTTTGAGTACCAAGGTGTTTGAGAACCAAGGTCCCACTGTAGAGTCTCACCTGTTCCTAAAAAGCTGCGGGCTCTGGCTTGGCTCCCCCAACCTGAGGCACGCTTGCCCACCCCCTCAGGCCTCCAGACCACCAGCCCCTGAGAGTGGCAGGGGCAGCAGAGGGAGGTCAGGCAGGGGCAACCTTGGCTTGGGCTTCTCCTGGGCTGGGCTCTCCCTGCTGCTGCTGCCGGCTGAGCCCTGCCGGACACTCACTTGAGCTTCAGCTCCCTCGTCTGCTCGTTCTGTGCCTCCTCCAGGTCTTGCCGCACGCGGATGTATTCGTCGTGTTGGTCCTGGATCTCAGCCTTCACGGCCTGGAGTTTTGCATAGAGCTGTCGGGGCGAGAAAAAGGGCATTGCTCGTTTATTTATTTTTCCCAAAAAAAATATTATTCATTTTATAACACAAATAAAAAACACAGACAGAAAAGACAAACAATACGAACAAATTCTTGTCATATCCTTATTTTCTAAACATTGTTGACTTCCCCAAGTCCCACCTATTTTCATTTTACTTCATCTTTAGCAGTTTACATATATCATAATTTCTAACCATCTTTTTTTAAAATCATAGTTAAAATAACTTCACATTTTATCACTTACAAATAATACTGTTTTAAAATACCCTATCTTCTACTTCTAACCCTACAGCCTATATCCGCTTCCAGAGCTATTCTAGGGTTTAAATATTAACATATTTTTTCAAATATTCCTTAAACTTCTTCCAGTCTTCTTCCATCGTCTCTTCTTTCTGGTCTCGGAGTCTCCCGGTCAGTTCGGCAAGTTCCATATAGTCCATGGGCATCGCTCGTTTAGGGAAACGGCCGTTGTGCCACTGCCAGCCCATGTGCCCTTCACAATGCCACAAGCCGCCATGGGCACTGAAGGCCAAATTGACAGAAGAGCGGACGACTTATAGAAATTTATTAAAACAAGAGGGAGTAGAGTACAAATTAAATTTAAGGAATTATCTGGGAAATTCACAACATGGTTACAATATCATCATTTGAATGAAGTATTTAAGAAAGATAGGATACGAGGGTTCAGGGAACAAATATCACAACTGGAGAGAGACCTGTAATGGAATGGAATGTAAAAGTGCTGTCTAAAATGTATAAAATATTATTGGAATGGGAGACAAAGGATGAGCAAGTAAAATCCTCAATGATACACTGGGCAATAGAAACTGGTCCTAATATAGACATGGAAGCATGGGGACAATTGTGGAATATGGATGTAAAATTTACAGCATGTTATGGTCTAAGAGAAAATTATATGAAAGTGATATATCAATGGTATTTAACACCGAGTGAATAAATGTATAAATCTAAATCAAATAAGTGTTGGGAATGTAAAGAGAAAGAAGGTTCTTTTTATCATATGTGGTGGTCTGGTTGTAAGGTTAAAGCTTACTGGGAAATGATATATAATGAATTGAAAAGGTTGTTCAAAATAATTTTTCTTTAAAAAAACCCCAGAAGCTTTTCTTTTGGGAATTATAGAGACAGAACTACCTAAATTGTATAGAATTTTATTAATGTATGCTACTACAGCAGCAAGAATGTCACTTGCCCCGAAATGGGAAGAAGCAGAAGTCCCAGCAAAGGAAGAATTGATAAAAAAACATATGGAATATACGGAAATGGCAAAACTTACCAGAAGAATAAGAAATAACAAATGAATAACAAACTTTTTATAAAAGAACGGAAATGGTTTATACAATATTTACAGATAAATTTGCAAACAGATAAAAACATTGGCATGATTATTGCAACAACCTGCAGTTTCATAAGGGTATATATTTACAGTAGATCATTAAATGAGCAAGTTAAATTAATTTGGATATGAAGAAGGTATAAAAAAATAAATTTAAGGAACCTCAGAAAGAGGGGGAAGGAAGTCAAATTTTGAAATGTTCAGTGGATCATAAAACTAATGAAATGTATAAATTTGAAAAGTAGAAATAAAAAACTTTTTGAAAAAATGATTGTCCTCTGGCTTGGGTCCCGATCCCTGGCAAGTGAAGCCTTGACCTGGGCTCTCGCGCTGGGCCTCGGACTGCAGCTACGGAGAAGGAGGGACACCCCCCTCCCATCTCCCTCTGGCGGCCACTCTCCCCCCCTCGCTCACCTTCTTCAGCTTCTTGGTCTTGATCTCCACTTCCTGCTGCAAGGAGGTGAATGTTTCCCGCAGCTCCATGGTCTCCTCGTCCCGCAAGAGCACCTGCTGCTGCATCTCACGCTCACGCCGCTTCTGTGGGTTGAGGCCAGCAAAGCCTTAGTCTGCGCGGGTCAGGGGCTTCTCAGCCGAAACCCCCCACCTGCGGACCCTCGCCTATGCCTTTGCGTTTTGAAACACACTGCCCGGGAGGGGGGAGCTGGGTGTGCCGCAAGGCACCCTTCCACCTGCAAACTTCACATTCATCCAGTGCTTTACCAACTGCACTGGCTCCCGCTGGAGAACAGGGTCTAGTTTAAGGTGCTGGTTTCGTCCTTTAAAGCCCTATATAGCCCAGGACCCTCGTACCTACAGGACCGCCTCTCCTGGTATGTCCCACGGAGGACCTTAAGGACTTTGGAGGTCCCAAGTCACAAGGCGGTTAGATTGGTCTCAGCTAGGGCCAGGGCCTTTTCAGTACTGGCCCCAACGTGGTGGAACGCTCTGTCCCAAGAGACCAGGGCCCTGCGGGACTTGACATCTTTCCACAGGGCCTGCAAGATGGAGCTGTTCCACCAGTCCTTTGGTTTGGACTCAGCCTGACCCTTATGTTTCCCTCCCCTTATGGTCTTGATCTATGGGCTACTTTTAAAATGAGGCTGCATTTTAAATTGCATTTTAACCTGTATTTGAAATTGGGTTTTGTCAGGGAACTGCCATCAGTGCCGGAGGGAGAGAGCAAAAGCCAGAGGGATTCCAGAGAGCGTCCAGGGATTGGGAGAAGCAGCCCATCTTCTGGGGAAGAGAATCAGCGTAGCACCAGTGGAGAAGGGGGGCAGATGGGGGAAGCGGTGAGGCGGTCCCATGACTCCTTGCCTGGGACCAGCGGGGAGAGTAGGGGTCCTCCGTTGCCCACGCCCTCCTTGCGCAGAAGGCTTTCGCGCAGAGAGAGTAGGAGGAGACTAGGCGTCAAAGAGCTTCTTTGCTGGAAGAAGTTTAAGAAACGCCCACTGACGGATTCTGCCAGGGATTGAGTCAGCCACGGGTGAGTGGCTGTCCGGACAGAAAAGGTTCACTCAGGCAACCCAGCCAGGTGTTTGCACCCAGCCGGGGAGATAAGCACCGGCTTACGCACGAGCAACCCCTAGAACCATTACAGGTTTTTATCTCTCCCTCTTCCCCCCATTATGTTTTTACTGTGATTTTATTAGTGTTAGCCACCCTGAGCCCGCCTCTGGCCGGGGAGGGCGGGGTATAAATAAAAAAAATCATCATCATTATTATTATTATTAGAGTTTGGATTTGATATCCCGCTTTATCACTACCCAAAGGAGTCTCAAAGCGTCTAACATTCTCCTTTCCCTTCCTCCGCCACAACAAACACTCTGTGAGGTGAGTGGGGCTGAGAGACTTCAGAGAAGTGTGACTAGCCCAAGGTCACCCAGCAGCTGCAGGTGGAGGAGCGGGGAAGCGAACCCGGTTCCCCAGATTACGAGTCCACCGCTTTTAACCACTACACAACACTGGCTCTCTATTATTATTATTATTATTGCCTGCCCACAAATTAGCTGTCAGGGCCTGGGGGGAGGAGGTGGAGGGGTTTTAGGAGGCAAAAAGTGAGTCTTATAGAGCAAAAATTACGGTATTTTCTGTTAATAAAAAGCTAATCATGCCTGCCATTCTTTCCCGCCCTGTAGATGACCTGGGCTCACTTGACAGCTCCTTGACATCAGCATATGCCGGCTTTACGCCCGAGGTGTCCTGAGCACCTGGCCACGCTCCTGGGGGAGACACGCCAAATTTGCAGCCTACAAGAAGGGGAGCAAACTGGAGACCCAACGGCCACAGATGGCCGCCGTCAAGGGCTTGCGGACTGCATCCCAGCAGCCAGGCCCTGCTTCTCTCCTGCAGAGGCCTGGAAGGAAGGGGACAGGTGTGTTTTAAAGGGCCGCCAGCTATGGCTGCAGTGGGCTGGTGAGGGCCACATTCATCAGCCAGCAGAGGGGAGGAAAGGCAGGGGGGGTTGTTACTGGCCCTGCTCCCGCCCTGCCCGTCTCTCTACCTGCTCTGCAATCTCCTGCCTCTTCAGTTCCAGCATCTTCTGCTGCTCGTTGGTGTGGTCCATGATGTTCCTTCCGCCAATCAGCAACTTGCTCTCCATCGCCTGGAGAAAGGAAAGAGGAGGGAAATGATGGTTTATCAAGCCACGGCTTAGTATTAAGTGCTGTGCACACACAGTAGCTGAACTATTATTTTTTTAACACCAAAAGCAAGCAAACAGGACCTGAAGCTGTGGTTTGCAGATGGCTTCCATGGACCAGTGTGGTGGAGCTGCTGGGCCTCCCAGTCTAGCCCCAGGCTCCTTTTGGGCATGTAAGAGGGAAAAGAGAACGCACAGAAATCAGCCCTGAGTGCTCACTGGAAGGACAGATCGTGAAGCTGAGGCTCCAAGACTTTGGCCACCTCATGAGAAGAGAAGGCTCCCTGGAAAAGACCCTGATGTTGGGAAAGATGGAGGGCACAAGGAGAAGGGGACGACAGAGGACGAGATGGTGGGACAGTGTTCTCGAAGCTACCAGCTTGAGTTTGACCAAACTGCAGGAGGCAGTGGAAGACAGGAGGGCCTGGCGTGCTCTGGTCCAGGGGGTCACGAAGAGGCGGACACGACTAAATGACTAAACAACAAGAACAACAGCTTTACAAGGTTGAGACACCAAAGCAAAGCAAGATTTGAAACCCTTCCAACTCTACAATTCTATGATTCTAGGATCCCAGCACAGTAAGTAATACAGGGATGACATCTCAACAGCACCTGTGCGGTGACCCCTGATGAGAAACACACAAAATACAAGATGCAACAAAACCAAGGCGAAGACTTCCCCAAGAAAGATGTTAGATTGTTTTTGTATGCCACAACTGCTGCTAGAATTTGGCTGGCCAAAAATTGGAAAACACAAGAAGTACCAACAGTGGAGGAATGGCAGATGAAGATGATGGATTTTTCGGAGTTAGCCGACCTGACCGGAAGAGTCCGCAACCAGAAGGAGGAGGAGCACCAAGAGGATTGGAAGAAATTCAAAGACTATCTAGTTAAATACGTTAAGATAATCTAAACAGAATTACTTGCGAATATCAGATAGGCCTAGGTTTTAAATACGTGATGTTGTAGAATATTAAGTTTAAAGTTAAAATGAAAAGAAAGAAAGATGTTAATTGACTAAGTAAATTTTATGTGAAAATAGTTTTGGAAAATTGCTACAATGATTTATATGGAAACTCAGCCGGGGGGATTTGAGGAAGTCACTTAACAATGTTAACAAAAGTGGAATTATTATAATTAAGATAAATGTTTGTTTTTGATGTTCTTGTTTCATTTGTTTGCTATAAATTTGGAAAACCAATAAAAAAAATTGGGGGGGGGGGAAGGAAGGCGAAGGCGAAGATTTCAGTCAGCGGAACGATTTCTCAGCGGAACGAGCTGCCCAGGGAAGATCTCTGGAGGGTTTGGCATCCATCAGGAGCGTGGGGATTTCCTTCCTATGAGGACCAGCGGAGTGTTGGTGGGGAGGCAGAGGGCTGGAACCAGAGGAGAGGACCTGGTGGTCCTGCCTTTCTCCACACCGAGTTCCAGAGCTGTGAACAAGGGCTGGCAGAGTCCAAGAATGCCCCCAGCACTGTGGCAAGAGAAACTGATGGACTAGGCGGAATTGGCGGAATTGACACACAAACAATGTGACAAGGACAACTGACTTTAAAGAAGAATGGGAACCTTTTACGAAGTGCTTAAAGAAACAACAAAATGAACTGGACTCCTTGGCAGGCTTTGAATAAACATACACAAACTTTTTATTGGTAATATATAGATAGATAAATTAAGGATCTTTACAGTTTTATAATATGCAGAGAATAACGTGCTGATCGCTGAAGAATGGATGCTTTTGAATTCTGGTGCTGGAGGAGACTCTTGAGAGTCCCATGGACTGCAAGAAGATCCAACCTCTCCATTCTGAAGGAAATCAGCCCGGAGTGCTCACTGGAAGGACAGATCCTGAAGCTGAGGCTCCAAGACTTTGGCCACCTCATGAGAAGAGAAGACTCTTTGGGAAAGACCCTGATGTTGGGAAAGATGGAGGGCGCAAGGAGAAGGGGACGACAGAGGACGAGATGGTGGGACAGTGTTCTTGAAGCTACAAACATGAGTTTGACCAAACTGCGGGAGGCAGTGGAAGACAGAAGTGCCTGGCGTGCTCTGGTCCAGGGGGGCACAAAGAGGCGGACATCACTAAACAACTCAACAACAACAACATGAGCTGAAAAACCAGAGAGGAGCTGAGGGAAGTCTGGGGGGGGAAGGGTTTTTTATTTTGGGGGGGAGGGGAAGGGGAAAAATGGGGGGGGGGGAATCAGGATGATGTGTTTTTGATAAATTGTTATGTTGAAATTCCTAATAAAAATATTTTAAAAAAAGAAAGAATGCCCCCAGCCACCGTCCCTCATACGCAGGTCCTGCCCGCCTGTCCTGCCGACCTCTGGCCAGGAAGGAGCTGTGGGCACCGTGCCCCTTGGGCGCCTGTTCCCAGGCCTTGGTCCTGACACATCCCACGCTAGGCTGGCCCAACGCCAGGACCACGTCTCTCCGTCTTTCCTCCCTTCCTTCCTCCCTTCCGCACAGCTGTCGGGCTCCACAGCTGCCGCCGCCGCCTGCAGGACAGCTGCAGCCCCAGCTTGCAAGGCACCCTTCCCTTCTTGCCCAGAGCAGCCCCCTCCCCACACAAACCCCAGCGGCAGAAGCCCCCACCTGGAAGGCTGGCAGGCAAGTGGCTTTCAAGGCAGTCAGGGACTGGGGTTTTGCATGGAGAATCCAGCCCCCAATGAGACCCCCCCCCATGGAGAGGGAATCTGGCAGGAGCTATGGGGGCATGTGAACCTGCCCCCTGGCGCTCTCTGTCCATTCATGGGGGGCAGAGAAGTTGTTTTCTTCGCAAAGGAAAGCTTGGCTTCTGACTTGGGGCAACTCAGGGATGTCTTTCCGCAGGGCCTGCAAGACAGAGCTGTTTCGCCTGGCCTTTGGTTTGGACTCAGTTTGACCCTTATGTTTCCCTCCCCTTACAGTCTTGATTTATCGGCTATTTTAAAATGAGGCTGCATTTTAAATGGCATTTTAGCCTGTATTTTAAATTGGTTCCCCCCTTTCCCCCCTATTATGTTTTTACTGTTATTTTATTGGTGTTAGCCGTCCTGAGCCCGGCTTTGGCCAGGGAGGGCGGGGTATAAATAATAATAATAATAATGATGTCAGGATTCCATGGGCAGAGAACTAGGGACAATGTGGGCTGAAAAAAGCCACTCAGCTTTGATTGTGAAGATCACAGAATCATAGCATTGTAGACTTGGAAGGGACCTAAGGGTCATCTAGTCCAACCCCCTGCAAAGTAGGAATCTCAACTAAGATGGCCATAAAAATCTCCAAGGAAGCGGATCAGGTGTGATGTTTTGGAGCAGGGAGGAAGAAGTGCCAATGAGGAAATGCCAGACCAAAGAGGTTGCAAATGAACTCAGGACCCCAATATCTCAAGGACTGCCTCTTTCCATATGAACCTACCCGGACCCTGAGATCATCTTCTGAGGCCCTCCTTCGTGTGCCTCCTCCATGAGAGGTCTGGAGGGTGGCAACACGAGAGCAGGGCCTTCTCTGCAGTGGCTCCCTGTCTGCGGCATGCTCTCCCCAGGGAAGCTCGCCTAGCGCCTTCATTATGCACCTTCAGGTGCCAGGAAAAAACGCTCCTTTTTAACCAGGCCTTTGTTTCATTTGACTGACATCCCATGCCCTTTTAAAATGTGTTTTTGTGGGGAGAGGGGCTATTGGGTTGTAATTTTTATTTTCACTATGTATTTTGTGGTTTTATATCTTGATTTTATTCTGTGAACCGCCCTGAGACCCCCAGGTATAGGGCAATATATAAATTCAATAAATAAAAATTAAAAAATATAAATAAATGGCCACTGCAGCCACCTTAGGGGATGGACCTGCAGCATTTCTGAGGGTTTCCAAGATCTGGCAAAATCCACCAGGAAGCCGTTTTGAATCGAGCAATGCCCGTCTCCTTCCCACTTGAGAACCCCCAGCCAATCTGCCTCCCTGCTGTGTTAACCATGTGGTGAGCTGCCCGCGTGGCATAGTGACAGAGTGTTGGACTAGGACCTGGGTTCAAATCCCCCACTCGGCCATGAAGCTCACGAGGTGACCTGGGGGGCCAGTCACTGCCTCTTGGCATAACCTACCTCACAGGGTGCTTGTTGGGGTTAAATAAGGGAGGCAGCCATGTTACACCACCATGAGCTCTTTGGAGAAAAAGGCAGGGCACAGACGTAATGAACAGGTAATGGCAATAGTAATGAATTCTTCAACGACAAACCTAGACAGCTTCTCAAAAAGCAGAGACATCACCTTGCCAACAAAGGTCCATATAGTTCAAGCTCTGGTTTTCCCAGTAGTGATGTATGGAAGTGAGAGCTGGACCATCAAGAAGGCTGACTGCCGAAGAATGGATGCTTTTGAATTCTGGTGCTGGAGGAGACTCTTGAGAGTCCCATGGACTGCAAGAAGATCAAACTGATCCATTCTGAAGGAAATCAGCCCTGAGTGCTCACTGGAAGGACAGATCCTGAAGCTGAGGCTCCAGTACTTTGGCCACCTCATGAGAAGAGAAGACTCCCTGGAAAAGACCCTGATGTTGGGAAAGACGGAGGGCACAAGGAGAAGGGGACGACAGAGGACGAGATGGTGGGACAGTGTTCTCGAAGCTACCAGCATGAGTTTGACCAAACTGCGGGAGGCAGTGGAAGACAGGAGGGCCTGGTGTGCTCTGGTCCAGGGCGTCACGAAGAGGCGGACACGACTCAACAACAACAAGAACAACAATGAATTCTTCAGGTGCCAAAATAGCCTGGCCCCAAATATTTTGGCATCCTGAGAAAAAATCGCCTCATGGTTAGTGAGCATCAGATTCCACTCCAGGATTTCCCCCAAATGGAGGAAGAGGAGCAAAGAAAAGGTAGCGCAGCTCACCCACACAATTGGGCAGAGTCCTTGTCAGAGACTGCCAAGCTCCCGGGGGATGATACAGCCCACCAGCTTCCTCTCGGAACATCCGCCTCCCTCCCTCCTCTCCCACAGGAGGTCCCTGTCAGCTCTCATAACATCTCAGGGGCCTTGGGAAAGCAAACATGCGCTCCCCGTGCCCATCAGCAAGCCCCCCCCCCGGCAGAGGATAAGCCTGGCCACCATTACGCACCCTTCTTGGTCCCCTCACCCTGGCCTTTGTCAACGGGCTCGGCTGCTTCCCACACGGGTGGCTATATTTAGAGCCAGGCTGCCTCAGAAGCCCGGTTGCTGGGGGTCGCAGAATCATAGGGTTGTAAAGCTCGAGGGGACCCTGAGGGTCATCCAGACCAACCTCCTGCAATGCAGGAATTGCAGCTGAAGAAGCTCTGGCCGATGGGCATCCACCCTCTGCGTGAAAAGCTCCAGGGAAGGAGAGTCCAAGACAGGCGGTCTGTTCCGTTGCCAAACGGCTCTTACTGCCAGAAAGAGTGCTTTTACTCCACTGCACGCATGTAAAGTTCTGGGAGGGATGCAGGTGACGCTGTGGTCTAAACCACTGAGCCTCTTGGGCTTGCCGATCAGAAGGTCGGCGGTTCGAATCCCCACGACATGGTGAGCTCCCGTTGCTCGGTCCCTGCTCCTGCCAACCTAGCAGTTCCAAAGCACGTCAAAGTGCAAGTAGATAAATAGGCACCACTCCGGTGGGAAGGTAAACGCCATTTCCGTGCACTGCTCTGGTTCGCCAGAAGCGGCTTCGTCATGCTGGCCACATGACCCGGAAGCTGTATGCCGGCTCCCTCGGCCAATAAAGCGAGATGTGCACCGCAACCCCAGAGTCGGCCACGACTGGACCTCACGGACAGGGGTCCCTTTACCTTTAAAGTTCTGGGATGCTCCCGAATCCCTCCCACAAAATACAGACAATCTGGAGGCTCCCTTAGTCTAAGCAGCTTCCTATATCCCAAAATACAGACGTGCCTTCCCAACTATCCGAAAATACAGAGGTGCCTTCGCACTGGCCAGACTGGATGCGATGCCCTCTGCCGTACTTGAGGGCAGATCCCAAAAGATTCCAACTGAGAAATGACTCTGCCCCTGTGGAGATGGCAATCTGGAAACAGTGGCTCATATTCTCCTGTCCTGTCCCCTTTATAAAGATCTGAGGAACGAGATCATCACCCCACTCCTACTCACCATCCCAGGCCGCCCATCTGTGGCCACATTGGTCTTTCTTTTATCAAATCAAAATGATCAGACAACAGGGAAGGTTGCTAGGTTGATCGAGGGTGCAGTGAGATTAAGGGCCACTATCTGAACGATAATCTTGGTCATTTGATTGTCCTTTTTACCCATTGTTGTCTTTTTTAATTGTATACAGTGGTACCTCGGGTTAAGTACTTAATTCATACTGGAGGTCCGTTCTTAACCTGAAACTGTTCTTAATCTGAAGCACCACTTTAGCTAATGGGGCCTCCTGCTGCTGCCACGCCGCTGGAGCACGATTTCTGTTCTCATCCTGAAGCAAAGTTCTTAACCTGAAGCACTATTTCTGGGTTAGCGGAGTCTGTAACCTGAAGCGTATGTAACCTGAGGTACCACTGTATATTGCTTGTTTTATGTTGCTATGGCTGTTGGCTAATGCGAATCTATCTATCATTGTCATATAACCACTCCACAAACACATCAGGATGAAGGCTTAATAAGGATGTTGTCCAGAGGAGCCCCCCGTTTCATCTGCTGACTCTAGCGAGTTCTTGCATCAAGGGAGCAGGAGAATGTTTTGCCTTCAGAGAAGGAGTGTCTGTGTGCAGATATGCTGACTATTTTCAAATAAAAGGATGATGGAAAGATGAGGAAGTGGGGAATTGCTGTTCACCCGGGGAAAGATCTGCATCAGTGAGTTTAAATTGCAACAAGGTAGATTTCGCCGATCCATTAGGCCAAACTTCCCGTCCAACAGATGCACAATCCCGTTAAACTGAGCCCTTGGAGGTAAGTCAATTTCTGCATATTGTAATCTGTGGGATTATTGCTGCTACGGTCCAGCTCGGCTCACCAGCAAAATAAGCTTTCTTTGGAAATTGCCCACCTTGGATGAAACAGCTGCTTGCGCAAGACAGACACTTCCAGACATGGCCACTCAAGGAAGCGAGGGAACAAAAAGTCCCCCTGGTCTCTGGGGATAAATTCCAGGAGGGACAGAGGGTTTGGAGTGCTACTCATCTGTGCCTTTTCTTGCTTTATTTAAAAAATTGTTTCACTTGAAACACAGCCTGGCAGACTGAGGAACAGCTGGACATGATCCTGGACTGAACATTTTGAATAATCTTTATATACATTATCAGCCGATGGACCATTGGAAGTGCTCCTTATTTCTTATCTCTCTATTTATCTTTCCCTTCTAAGATTTCAGGTTTGGGAGTTTTCTCCTGCTCTCTACCTATATTCATGTTTTGTTATGTCTTTTGAGGCCCGCTTAATGAAGATATACACAAGGAGGAGATAGATGGATGGATGGATGAAAGACCCTCCGTGAGCGGCATGGAAGGGAGGGTCTCCGGGGGTGGGGGCGCTGGGGGAAGGAAGCAATGAGGCCTCCTGACCGCCTTTCGCTGCTCGCTGGCTGAAAGCTCAGGGGCCTACTGCTCTACATACCCCGCATCTAGCACACTTATATAGGTCACCACAAGCAGCCAATGCGCTTCCGTTGGCAGGGCTGTAACTATTTCTCACTCTCCCCCACTGGCTATTCTATGCATCGAAGCCTCCCTCCTTCCCAGGGGGTGCTTCCCGGGGCAGGCGGGTGTTGTGGGGGGTGGCTTGAAAGGGTTTCTGCCCGCCTCTCCTCCTTGCCTGCGTTGCAATTTCACCGACATCTGGCTCCTGGGAGGCCCCTGCGGCAGGAGCAGGCTAACTAAATGGATTAAAGAGTGAAACTGGAAACCGCCGGCACCACATGCCGCCGTAAACACACCTCTGCCAATTACACACTTATTTGCACTTAGAGGCACACTCACAGAGGAAGCCTGGCACTAACAGACCCAGCACATGCGCCATCTGCTCTGGAGGAGACCCAAAGAAATCCATCTCGGAAGGCGAACACACACACCGTTCCGTAACAACCATATTCAGTTTCACAAGGATGCATTAAAAGGAGAAGAAGAGGAGTTTGGATTTGATATCCCGCTTTATCACTACCCGAAGGAGTCTCAAAGCGGCTAACATGCTCCTTTCCCTTCCTGCCCCACAACAAACACTCTGTGAGGTGAGTGGGGCTGAGAGACTTCAGAGAAGTGTGACTGGCCCAAGGTCACCCAGCAGCTGCAGGTGGAGGAGCGGGGAAGCGAACCCGGTTCACCAGATTACGAGTCCACCGCTCTTAACCACTACACCACACTGGCTCTCAGGGGGAAGAACAGCATCAGGCCAGTGGCCCATTGAGTCCAGCATCCTGTTCAACAAGATGCTCCAAAGAGGACAGCTGCAAGGATTCAAGCACCATGCCATCTCTCCAGTGTTAGAAATCAGCCAGGCGCCAGGCGCGTTTTGCGACGGGCACATCTGATGGCAACCGCATTGAGATCTCTGGATGCCAGGATGGCAAATGGGGAAAGCAAAGAGTCACTTAGAAATGGACCCGAAATATTTTCCTTGAAGCTTGATTATGTTTTATTCTGGATTGTTTTACAGTGGTACCTCTGGTTGCGAACGGGATCCTTTCCGGAGGCCTGTTTGCAACCTGAAAAGAACGCAACCCGCGTCTGCACGTGTGCGGGTTGCTATTCACCGCTTCTGCGCATGCTGTGACATCATTTTGCGTGTCTGCGCGTGCGTGAGCGGTTAAACCCAGAAGTAACTCTTTCCGGTACTTCCGGGTCACCACAGGACACAACCTGAAAACGCGCAACCTGAAGCAAACGTAACATGAGGTATGACTGTATTTGATGTTTTAACGTGCTTGTAAACTGCCTTGAGACTTGTTCTTTCAACTATAATGCGGTATAGAAATGAAAACAACAGCAACACTCCTCTGCAAAATAAAAAACAAAGGCACCCAGGCATTTGACATACCCTCCAACGTTTCCACAATGAAAACAGGGACGTCCCATTCCACAACAATAATTTTACTATTTATACTCCACATATCTTACTAGGTTGCCCCAGCACTCTGGGCAGCTTTCAACATATATAAAAACGTAACAAAACATGAAACATAAAAAAAACTCCCCTCTATAGAGCTGCCTTCAGACGGCTCGGGGGTCAGATAACTCCATACCCTCCAACATTTCTCCGATGAAAATAGGGACGTTCTAAGGAATAGTGGGACATTAAATTGGAAACCGTGATGGCTTCTCGATATCAGGGACATCCCTGTAAAATAGGGACACTTGGAGGTTTTGATTCCATTTTGGCGACCATAACCTAAGCTTAAGGGACGCGGGTGGCGCTTTGGGTTAAACCCCAGAGCCTACGACTTGCTGATCAGAAGGTCGGCGGTTCAAATCCCCACGACAGGGTGAGCTCCCGTTGCTCGGTCCCTGCTCCTGCCAACCTAGCAGTTCGAAACCACGTCAAAGTGCAAGTAGATAAATAGGTACCACTCCGGCGGGAAGGTAAACGGCGTTCCCGTGCACTGCTCTGGTTCGCCAGAAGCAGCTTAGTCCTGCTGGCCACATGACCCGGAAGCTGTACGCCAGCTCCCTCGGCCAATAAAGCAAGACGAGCGCCGCAACCCCAAAGTCGGTCACGACTGGACCTAATGGTCAGGAGTCCCTTTACATTTACCTTTAACCTAAGTTTAGGGTGCCATTTGGCAATTCAGTTATATATCTGAGTTTCTAACACTGCGACTCCCCTCCTGTGGTTTCCAGGAACTGGGATTCAGAAGCATTTACTGCCTCTGAAGGTGGAGGCAGAGCAGAGTAGGCACTGAGAGCCCTTCTCCTCCTCCATGAATTTGTCTAAAGACAAAAGACACACACACACACACTTTCCCTCTCTCCCTGGCAGGAGGTTTAGGCATTGCCAGTCTTCATGAAGCGACCGTGTTGTGCTTTTGGAACAAAAGCATAACTGCTGCTGTCATAATTGGAACAAGCTGGGACGTCTCTCTGTGTGAGTGCGTGTGCATGTCTCTTTTCCTGTGAACAGACATGATCTTTGGGTGATGGAGTTGTGGGAGGGAAGCTGCTTCTGATTATCCAGGCCAAGAGAGTAGTTTGGGATGAGTGCTGGTCCAGAGAGCCTTACTGCAGTGGGGAGAGATATCTATATTTCCCTTCTTCTTTTTTAATAAAAGGTTCTCTTGGATTGGTCGGAGAAGAACAATCCTTCAAAAGGAGATTTAAGAACAAGCAAAAAGCAAACCGGATGGTTCAATTTCTTTTTCTCTCTGTTTCTCATTTTCCCAAGCTTAAATTCTCCCCAATTCTGCGACGGTTTGGATTGTTTTTAAAACTCAAAAGGGTCTCCGTTCTCCAGAGCCATGCACCTTTGTGTGCCGTTTTCCCTGACAGACACATTTTTGCTTTCGCAAGCAATGCCTGCTAACACCACCCGTGCTTCTACAGTTATTGTCGCCACCGTGCGCATCTTACGCAGCTTCCCCCCGCAACACACATTTCTGCCTGGTTTTGTCTTCTCTGGTCAGGAGCCACATCACAAAATCTGGAGAGGTGAGAATTCCAAAGGCCAGCTGTCAAGGAGTCAGGAAGGCAAATGGATCAGGATTTCTCCCCTGCGCTGAATTTCAAGAGCTCTCCAGGATTTCTGGCAAGAGTCTTTCCCCAGCCCTCCCTAGAGAGACGGGTGTGGGGCAGGGTGTGGGGTGTGTAGGGGGGTGAACTTGGGACCTCTCTGCATGCAAAGCGTGTGCTCCACCCACTGAACCACATGGCCCTTGTGCAATCCAGGAGTCATGTTTCAGCATTCTCTGTGATGTGGCAGGACATCCTGGGCTTTTTAACAAAAACGCTTCTCAGTTCAACAGAGGGCTGACTATTTCTCATCCTCTCATCTCTCTTCCTTCCCCTCCTCCCTCCTAGATCGAGAGACTCAGACAATATTAAATGCTAAATGATGCCTTGTGGTTGGTAGTCTGGGGATCATCTGGATAGGAAGACGAACAGCCCCCGTCAGGGACTCATCTTTGTCTTCCATTACACAAGAAAGCTTTTCATCCATCAAACGGGGACCAATAAATTGGGGTTCCCCTCCCTTTCTGTCTTTTTAAAACATTATCTCATGCTTTGTTTCCATTCCCACTTCTCTCCCTGGAATAAGCTGGAGGAAGCACCCTTGAAAGAAGCATCCTCAGCCAGACCACCCATAGAATCACAGAATTTTAGAGTTGGAAGGGACCCCGAGGGTCATCTAGTCCAACCCCCTTCAATGAAGGGATCACAGCCATCCAACCTGTTTAAAAACCTCCCCAGAAGGAGAGCCCACCACCTTCTGAGGTCACCTGGTTCACTGCCAAGCAGCTCTTGCCATCAGAAAGTTCTACCTAATATCTAGGGGTGCGTGTGTAATGGAGTTACCGGGGGGGGCGGTGCTAGGAGGCAACGGGGGAAATGACCTTGGAAAGCTGGTTTCACAGGATCAAGTTCATCACTTTTGTTGAATTAACTAAACTAAATAGTTTTAATGGGATTTTGAATCAATGTGGAATTCATCGTTCTGAATTTTACGGTGTTGCCATCTGCCTTGGTGCTGCCATGCTGCTATTCTGAATGATGCTTTCCGTGGGGCAAGCACTGGGGATGAATTTATGGAACCAATGTTCATGTCAGTACACCTTTCAACCAATGTCAGCGACTGGGCTCAATAACTGGTTCTGCCCCGAATGGGCTAGGCGACTGGAGCACTTTCAGAGACCTTCCAGTCCTGGAAAACAGGTCTCAGGGCACTGGACCCACAACTGTGCATTGTGAGCACCACACTCAACAGAGTATAAATAACGTGGAAACTAGCTGTGAAGCATAACTCCTTTTATTTCTAATAGCTACTGCAAACTAACGAACTACTGGCTTGCATGAGTGTTGCAGGTCCCACTCAGCCATCTAGTCACTACATAGATAAGACTCTCTCCACACACAGAGTCAGGCAGGCAGTCAGGAGCGGAAGAGTAAAAGCGCAGTTTCTGCCCCCTCCTTTCTCAAAACATCAGATCAGGAGATTCTAGCAATGGGAGGGGTGAAAATAGCAACAATCTCCCCCTTTCCATACCAACCATTGCAGAATCTAACACATTTGCAATTTATGTACGTATACAGCGAGTTAAAGCTCTGGTTTCCCAGTAGTGATGTTTGGAAGTGAGAACTGGACCATAAAGAAGGCTGATCGCCAAAGAATGGGTGCTTTTGAATTCTGGTGATAGAGGAGACTCTTGAGAGTCCCATGGACTGCAAGAAGATCAAACTGATCCATCCTTAAGGAAATCAGCCCTTAGTGCTCACTGGAAGGACAGATCCTGAAGCTGAGACTCCAGTACTTTGGCCACCTCCTGAGAAGAGAAGACTCCCTGGAAAAGACCCTGATGTTGGGAAAGACGGAGGGCATAATGAGAAGGGGACGACAGAGGACGAGATGGTGGGACAGTGTTCTCGAAGCTACCAGCATGAGTTTGACCAAACTGCAGGAGGCAGTGGAAGACAGGAGGGCCTGGCGTGCTCTGGTCCAGGGGGTCATGAAGAGTCGGACATGACTAAACGACTAAACAACAACACCACAGCGAGTTGCTCCCTGTTAACAACTTTGGTTAGTGCATCGGCAGGTATTTCTTTCCCTGGCATATAGGACACTTTCACAATTCCTTTCTGGATGCATTCTCTAGCTCGTGAAACTTAATCTGCAGATACTTTGTTCTCTGTTTGCATCCTTCAGAGTGGAGCAAAGCTATGGAAGCTTTATTGCCCTGATAGACCAAGCAGCTCTTGCCATCAGAAAGTTCTTCCTGATATCTAGGGGTGCGTGTGAGATGGAATTACCTCAGGGGGGATGTGTGCTAGGAGGCAATGGGGGAAATGACTTTGGAAAGCTGATTTCACGGGATCAAGTTCATCAGTTTTGTTGAATTAACTAAACTAAATAGTTTTAACGGGATTTTGAATCAATGCGGAATTCATCGTTCTGAATTTTACGGTGTTGCCATCTGCCTTGGTGCACGCTGCTATTCTGAATGATGCTTTCCGTGGGGCAGGCACTAGGGGTGAGTTTATGGAACCAAGGGAGGGACCTAAAGCAGTTTGGGAACACTTTACTTCCTTACTTCCCTAAAGCAAACTAGGATCATTAGGTAGGATGGTGGAGAGCTCCAAGCAGCGCCGGCAGACTCCCCGCCAGCCAGCCAGCCAGCCCTTCCTTGAGATTTCGCAGCACCCTTGGGCAACTTACGACACGGATGAGCTCGTCGCACGGTTTGCCCGTGTGCAAAAATGGGAGAGGGGCTGCATGCTCAAAAAGCAGCCACGGCCGTAACTGAGACGGCGTGGAATTAATTTCCCAGATATTACAGGCCCTTGGGTCACTCTCTGCCTATTACGCCAGCTCCTCTTCATATCATGCTGATAACATTGTGGAAAATTACTTCCAGCCTTTAAAAGGGCACTCCCTGCTTTCAGGCAGAAACGACCCCGGGTCTGAGCTCATCATCAGCTCGGCTGCTCTGGCAAGGCAAACAAGCGCCGCCGACATTTCCTCGCAGCTGAGGCCGCCCAAAGAGCTCCTTTGATTGGCACCACCTCCCCAGACCCAGGCAGGGCAGGCGACCGGCACCGCAGAGCAGGGAGCTGCCTTAGGCCAGGTCAGACCGTTCTGGGTCCACCCAACTCAGCAGCGCTTAGGACACTGGTCAGTAGAAGCTCTCAAGGGTTTTGGACAGGGCAGGGGGGTGGCCAGCCTTAACCCAGAGACGCCGTGGGGGCTGAGCCCAGGACCCTCTGCATGCAAAGCAGCTATCAGTCTGGCCACCCACCTAATAATAATAATAATAATAATAATAATAATAATAATTTATTATTTGTACCCCGCCCATCTGGCTGGGTTTCCCCACCACTCTGGGCAGCTTCCAACAAAGATTAAAAATACATTAAAATGTCACACATTAAAAACTTCCCTGAACACAGCTGCCTTCAGATGTCTTCTAAATGTCAAGTAGTTGTTTATCTCTTTGACATCTGATGGGAGGGTGTTCCGCAAGGCGGGTGCCACCACCAAGAAGGCCCTCTTCCTGGTTCCCTGTAGCTTTGCTTCTCGCAATGAGGGAACCCCCAGAAGGCCCTCGGCGCTGGATCTCAGTGCCTGGGCAGAACGATGGGGATGGAGACGCTCCTTCAGGAGCAGGTCAGCAATAATCACACGGCGTAAGTGGAGCCAACTCTTTATTCATGGAAACAAGGTCTACTCAGGAGGCCAGGCCTAGAGCACAGCAGCTCATCCCGGGAGATCTTGCCCGTATGGGGCAGAAGTGGGGACTGAGGTTCCCTGCCTTCCCACAGCTGCCTCACTCTCCTCCCCCACCGCAGGCCCTTCCCAAGGAATCTGAGACTATGCCCGTGTCTCTGTCTTTGCTCCCCCTGCTTCATATCTCTCCTGGTCTTGGGACACCAGTTGGGAGGAGAGCTTGTTGCAGCAGGAGGGGGAGACCCCCTGGCTTCTTCACCAGCCTGACTGATTTCTGCCTCTTGGCCTCCTGCTTTAACTGCTGCCTCTGAATCTGCACTGCTCTCTGCTACAGACTCTTCCTGCTCACTGAATCCTGTTGCCTCTTCTGCTTCCGGCACCTTCTCCTCCCAGTCTGCTCCCTCTGACCAGGCAATATCACCCCACCACCGACCCCCTGGCTCTGAGCCTTCTTCCTTTGGAGGTTTTCTTGGGGGTTCCCCAACTGGTGCCCTCCCACCACTCCTCAGCATCCAGCCAGTCCAGGACATCAACTTTCCAGGGGCCACTGGCCAGTGGAGCAAGGTTGTCCTGCGTGGAGGGTGGCATCACAAAAGAAGACCTCCTGGTCCCCTGCCCACTCTGGGCATGAAGGGAGGAAGCTGGCTCTGGGGTGTGTGTGTGTGTCGGGGTGCAGATGACTGCCAACTTGTGATTTGGGAATTCTAAGCCAAGAGAGCAACCACCACAGCTCCCTTTTGTGGGGCGAAGATGAACATGGGGAGCTATGGTAACGGATCCTGCCTAAATGCCACCAAAGGAGGTGCCTTGCAGATCTTTGCTCTGGAGAAGAGAATTCCCTGCAATGATGCTCAGCGGAGTCGGTTGCTGGGCAACAGGTTCTCCTCCCACCTTTTCCCTCCGGAGATGCTCTGCTCAAAGATCTCTCGTGTTGACAAATGCCTCATCCTACTCTCCAGCCCCCAAGATCTCCCTGTGTTGATGTTGTGGTCTCTGGACTCGCATGGTACCGACAGCCTGGACGAACTGCAAGGCAGGGCCACAGATCCTCCTGCCCCCCCCCCCCCCGCCAATCGTGTACCCACACTGCACACCATCACTGGATGCAGCCCAGATGTGTATCTTAGACCCATGGAATGGATACCCACCCTGCAAATGTGTTTTAAAAGAGCAAATTGCGTTAAGAGCAGCCACCGGGGGCCAGAGAGGAAGGTACAGTAGAGAGAGAGAGGAGGTTGGAGGACCATCTGCCAGGGGTTCCTGCATTGCCGGGGTTGGACTAGATGACCCTTAGGGGTATCTTCCAATTCTATGATTCTGTGAAGCAGCTAGCCAGGCCAGGCATCTTGGCTCAGTGGGCCTGACCGATGGGGCTCTCAGGATGCCCCTTGCATGGGGCTGCGTGTACCTCTTGCATGTACACAAAACAGAGCAAGGGAAATGCGAATTCTGCAACCTGAGCCATCCCTTGCACCATTTGTTCTGCAGTTCTTATTCCTTCCCAGCGTTGCTGATGGCAGGGAACGCCCTCGGCCACCTGAGAACCCGGCTCAGCCCTGCCTCCTCTGGGGAGGAAGGGAAAGGAGAGTGTCAGCCGCTTTGAGACTCCTTTGGGTAGTGATAAAGCAGGATGTCAAATCCAAACTCTTCTTCTTCTTCTTCTTGACACCAGCTCTAGGTTCTCAAGCCCCACTTTCCCACCAAAGAGAAGCTGACCTTCTCCAGAGGCCTGGCTGGGATGTTGCCCTCCATAGCATCCTGCGCTTCCTCTCTGCTCCTCCGCAACCGCAACGCTCCGCGCACGCTTCCTTGCAGGAAGGAGGGAGCAAAATATGAGCAGAGCCGAAAGCTGTCCAACAACAAGAGCCTTCCGTTTGAATGCCAGCGAAATGGAGGGGGAGGAGATGGGCTTTGTTGCCCAGCACTGTCCCCCCCCCATCCTCTCCCCCCTCCCGCTGCCATTATCAGGATGCTGCCGCTGCCTCCTCCACCAGACTGTTCTGCCAGGAAGAATCACATCTCCCAAGCCTCACAGAGTCGTTCCCGGAGGAAGCCCAGCTACGCTGCCTACCAGTACGACTCTCGCCCCATTCGCTGTCAAAATTAGGTCAGGCTGCTCTCACAATGGTGTTTCTCAAGATCCCTGCTCAGAAATGATTTCTCCATAACATGGTAGTAAGAAAACACACACACACACACACACACACACACACACACACTTTTTTCAAAATAAAAAGCACACCATTGTTATCAGTGCCACAAATCCTGCAAATGGAAAACAAACACGAAGGTGTCTTAACACCTGAGCCACAGATGGGGGGGAAAGGGGCTATGGGAAAAGGGAAAGTATTTGTTGATTTTTCAAACTCTTTACTGACAAGCTCCTGTTATTCCAAGCAGAGAACTTGCTCTGTGTGGAGGGGAGGTTTTTAAGCAGAGGTTGGACAGTTGTCTGTCATGGATGCTTTAGCTGAGACTTCTGCATTGCAGGGGGTTGGACTAGATGCCTCTGGGGGTCCCTTCCAACGCTATGATTCGAAGGACCCTGGTTCATTCCCTGCAGCTTCCGCCCTACTTAGCCACTGGCCTATAACCCTGGAGCTCAGCCACCAGTGGCAAAACACAGTCCCAGGTTAAGGGGATTTTTGGCCTGCAAGGACCTTCAGCACTGTGGAGGCCGGCAGAATGCATTGCGCTTGTTTTGTTTTGCCCCTGAACATTCCCCCTGCGAAAGGAAGCCTTTTGCGGAGGCCGCTTTGCTCACCAGCAGAGGCTTGCAGCGGGCTTCTCATCTGCCCACCTACAGCGAGCAGCAAGCACCCCAAGGGGAGCAGCAGGGGAGCCTGCCATTCACATCCCTCCAGCCAGGAAACCCCTTCACACTTCCCCATGAAGAAGCTTGCTGTCCTCGCTCCCTGCCCTGCCCAGGTTGGCAGCAGCTCCAGAGAAGTGGCCCTACTCTGAGTAAGGCACCCAATGTTCCATCCTCTGCGCAGGGGCGGCTCTGCAAGGCCTGGATCTGTTACCTTTGTTTTCTTTGTGAAATGTATATTTCCCACCCCCCTTCTCCCCAAAGAGCCTCTGGATTGGCTGTGCCAGGATTGGACCCGGGGGCTTCTCCTAGGACTTTAGGGTGAAGGGTGGGCAATTAATTAAGCGGGGCTGCCCTTGAAGCTGATCCAGAAACTCCAGCGGGTACAGAATGCTGCAGCGAGGCTCCTTACGGGGTCCTTGCTGTGGGATCACATTCACCCGGTCCTATACCAGCTGCGCTGGCTCCCGGTGGAGTCCAGGGTCAAGTTTAAGGTGCTGGTTTTGACCTTTAAAGCCCTATGTGGCCTAGGACCCTCATACCTACGGGACCGCCTCTCCTGGTCTGCCCTGCGGAGGATCTTAAGGTCCACAAATGACAACACCTTGGAGGTCCCAGGTCGCAAAGTGGTTAGATTGGTCTCAGCTAGGGCCAGGGCCTTTTCAGTACTGGCCCCGACGTGGTGGAATGCTCTGTCACAAGAGACCAGGGCCCTGCGGGACTTGACATCTTTCCACAGGGCCTGCAAGACAGAGCTGTTCTGCCTGGCCTTTGGTTTGGACTCAGTCTGACCCTTATGTTTCCCTTCCCTTATGGTCTTGATCTATGGGCTACTTTTAAAATGAGGCTGCATTTTAAATTGCATCTTAACCTGTATTTTAAATTGGTTTTTTCCCTTATTATGTTTTTACTGTAATTTTACTGGTGTTAGCCACCCTGAGCCCGGCTCTGGCAGGGGAGGGCGGGGTATAAATAAAATTTATTATTATTATTAGTAGTAGTAGTAATTATTATGATTATTAATTTGGAGGAAGGAAGTTGGAGGAGGAGGAAACACGTGTTTTCTGGAAGGGGGGAGTGGACACACCTGACATACAAATGCTTGGGGCATTGGCTTGACTCTGACACTGCATCACTGACTTCCTAAACATGCATTGCAGGGGGTTGGACTAGATGGCCCTATGAGTCCCCTAGACTACTAATCTGTGAGTCAACAAACTGTATTTGCAGCTGGTCACGGGGGGCTCCTGGCAGGCACTTCACCCTCCTGTCCAGAGGGCGGGGGTGGATGAACCCTCCCTATCTCCCCCTGCCAGGAGAAGCCCATAATATTAATTCATTCACCGTGTTTCTATCTCATGTTTTCCTCCAAGAAGCCCCTGGTCCTCCCCTTCCTCACTGAATCCCCACAACCACCCTGTGAGGTAGGCAAGGCCGAAAGTGGGCGACTAGCCCAAGGTAAGCTCCATGGCTGAGCGGTGATTCGAACCCGGGTCCCTCGCGTCCGACGCTCTGAGCGCACCTGCTCTGCTTCTCCCCACACCGTGGGGGCTGAGAGAGGGCAGCTTCCCCTGGACTCCCATGGCGGGTGTGTGTGTGTGTGTGTGGAGATAACACACCCAACCAGCCCAGATAGGGGTCTGGGAAGCTGGACGGCTGCTGGAGCCCCACTGGTTTCCCTGCGTGACCCCCTTCCCACCCCTCTCTTCGCAAAGCCGCCTCAGTCGCCGTCCAAAGACAAGGGGGCCCTTGATTCCCAAGGCTCGGCCCACGCCTGCCCCTCACTAATGCCATTGTCCTTGTTCACTGGGGGGGGGGAGCGACGGTGCCGGACAGAGGGGGCCATTCATGCAGGCGCTGCCCCCCTTCCTGTGCAGCTGCAAGGGGTCAGCCGGATGCAGCAGGCTCCCTCTGGAAGCTGAAGCAAGGATGAGCCTGGCCGGGCCCAGAAACTACAAGCAAGAGAGTGCCCCTGGGCATGTGCAAAGGGCGTGTCTCTCACCACTGAGCAACCGCTGCCAGGATCCAGAGATGGCAGCAAACAGTTTCTAGGATAGCATCCCAGTGGAAGGAGGTGGTTGGGCAGGAGATCTGGGAATGTCACAAAGCGAAATGTTGGTGGCAAGGAAGGCCCCACTCTGTACCCCACCAAAACCCTGCCTCTCTCAGAAGAATGGAGTTGCAAGGGGCCCTCAAGGGACATGGCAGTCATCTTTGAGAATTCCTGGAGAACAGGCGACGTCCCGGCAGACTGGAGGAGGGCAAATGTTGTCCCTATTTTCAAAAAGGGGAAAAGAGAGGACCCAAATAATTACCGCCCAGTCAGTCTGACATCAATACCAGGGAAGATTCTGGAGCAGATCATTAAGCAAACAGTCTGTGAGCACCTAGAAAGGAATGCTGTGATCACCAATAGTCAGCATGGATTTCTGAAAAATAAGTCATGTCAGACTAACCTGATCTCTTTTTTGACAGAATTACAAGCCTGGTAGATGAAGGGAACGCAGTGGATGTAGCCTACCTTGATTTCAGCAAGGCATTTGACAAGGTGCCTCAGGATATTCTTGTAAAGAAGCTGGTAAAATGTGATCTTGACTATGCTACCACTCAGTGGATTTGTAACTGGCTGACTGACCGAACCCAAAGGGTGCTCATCAATGGTTCCTCTTCATCCTGGAGAAGAGTGACTAGTGGGGTGCCACAGGGTTCTGTCTTGGGCCTGGTCTTATTCAACATCTGTATCAACGACTTGGATGATGGACTCAAGGGCATCCTGATCAAATTTGCAGATGACACCAAACTGGGAGGGGTGGCTAACACCCCAGAGGACAGGATACACTTCAAAACGACCTTGACAGATTAGAGAACTGGGCAAAAACAAACAAGATGAATTTTAACAGGGAGAAATGTAAAGTATTGCACTTGGGCAAAAAAAATGAGAGGCACAAATACAAATACAAATACACCTGGCTTGAGAGCAGTACATGTGAAAAGGATCTAGGAGTCTTGGTTGACCACAAACTTGACATGAGCCAACAGTGTGACGCGGCAGCTAAAAAAGCCAATGCAATTCTGGGCTGCATCAATAGGAGTATAGCATCTAGATCAAGGGAAGTAATAGTGCCACTGTATTCTGCTCTGGTCAGACCTCACCTGGAGTACTGTGTCCAGTTCTGGGCACCGCAGTTCAAGAAGGACACTGACAAACTGGAACGTGTCCAGAGGAGGGCAACCAAAATGGTCAAAGGCCTGGAAACGATGCCTTATGAGGAACAGCTAAGGGAGCTGGGCATGTTTAGCCTGGAGAAGAGGAGGTTAAGGGGTGATATGATAGCCATGTTCAAATATATAAAAGGATGTCACATAGAGGAGGGAGAAAGGTTGTTTTCTGCTGCTCCAGAGAAGCGGACACGGAGCAATGGATCCAAACTACAAGAAAGAAGATTCCACCTAAACATTAGGAAGAACTTCCTGACAGTAAGAGCTGTTCGGCAGTGGAATTTGCTGCCAAGGAGTGTGGTGGAGTCTCCTTCTTTGGAGGTCTTTAAGCAGAGGCTTGACAACCATATGTCAGGAGTGCTCTGATGGTGTTTCCTGCTTGGCAGGGGGTTGGACTCGATGGCCCTTGTGGTCTCTTCCAACTCTATGATTCTATGATATTATTCTATGATATTATTCTATGACATCTAGTCCAACCCCCTGCAATGCAGGAATCACAGCCGAAGGATCCCTGACAGGTGGCCACCCAACCTCTGCTTAAGACCTCCAAGGATGGAGAGGTCATCACCGTTCCACTGTCAAACAGCTCTTGCCCTCAGAAAGGTCTCCCTGATGTCCAGCCGGAATCTCCTTTCTTGTGACCTGAAGCCGCGAGTTCGAGTCCTACCCTCCAGAGCAGAGAAAACAAGCCTGTTCCCTCTTCCATGGGCAGCTCTTCAGACAGGTGAAGCTGGCTCTCTTGTCCCCTCTCAGCCTCCTCTCCTCCAGGCTAAATATCACTCTTCTCACTCATATTGGAAATATGCGGATGTGTTGACAGTGGGTGAGGCCTAACCCTTTGCCCTGCCGCAGTCCCAGTGGAAACTTCCACCCTACTACCTGACAAATGCTCTGGCAAGGAAGACCACTGGCCACGGAACTCGCTTCCCCCAGATTTGCTGTGGCTCATTAGCCCCTCTCCGAGGTCCCAAGGGCAGACCTAACCGAGGGCCAGTTTTTGCACTCTGCACGTGCTCTGAGTCCTCTACGCTCTACCTCACCAGGTGTGCCACCCTGTCTCCCACCCTGCCTTCTCCCCTCACAAATCCACAGAGGGGCCCTGGATTCTCTCTCAAGCATCTCCACGGCTCAGCTTTCAGTGCCAAGAAGACTCCCAGAGAACCTAGAAGAGAGTGCCTCTGGGCACGTGCAGAGAGGACTGTCCCCACACCAGTGAGAAGAGCCAAATGAAATCCCTCTCCACCGAAGATTCAGGGAAGTTTCTCCAGCCCTCAGAAATGACACATTCAAGGGGATTTTTTTCTGTCATGCAGCAGACCCTTTTGCAAAGGGGAGGGTGGAGAAGCAGGATTCTGACCCTCCCTGCTTAAGGCAATGGGTGGAGGTTGGCAAGGGAGTCAGTGCGCGCTTAAATTCACCCTCATCCTGTAGGGCTTCTGAGAGCGTAAAGAGCGAAGCCGCGATTAGGTGTGCCTAGGTCAGGTGTGGTGGTTTCTTGGCCAAGATGGGCCAGTGGTTTGCGCATGCTCAGAGGCATGATTCCGCCTCCTAGGCCCCAGGACTGAGAATACGCTTTGAGTCCTGGGTGCAGGTAGTGCGGCTGAGCTCCTGCTCTGTTCTGGTTCTGGCTGAGCCCCCCAAGCAAGCCCCTGGGAGTTGTGGAGGGACAGGGGAGGACAGACCCAGCAGGGTCCCAACGAGGGAGATCATGTGGACGATCCACAAAGGGGGTCCAGGGGGAAGCACTCTGCCCATGCTCAGAGACACCCTCTTTGTTATGAGGCTCTCATATGTCTTTACCTGGGGGTGCAAGGGGTGCAGGGAACCCAGGCGCTGAATTCTGGGGAGCGCAGGCACTCGCCGCTGAAGCTGCCTAAGCTCATAACTATCTAAAAGGTAAAGGTAAAGGGACCCCTGACCATTAAGTCCAGTCGTGGCCGACTCTGGGGTTGTGGCGCTCATCTCGCTTTACTGGCCGAGGGAGCCGGCATACAGCTTCTGGGTCATGTGGCCAGCGTGACTAAGCCGCTTCTGGCGAACCAGAGCAGCGCACGGAAACGCCGTTTACCTTCCCCCCGGAGTTGTACCTATTGATCTACTTGCACTTTGACGTGCTTTCGAACTGCTAGGTTGGCAGGAGCAGGGACAGAGCAACGGGAGCTCACCCCATCACAGGGATTCGAACCGCCGACCTTCTGATCGGCAAGCCCTAGGCTCTGTGGTTAAACCCACAGTGCCACCTGCGTCCCCTTAATTATCTTCCTGTTATGAAATAATCAAGCTAGAAAAACAAAATACATATATACCTAGGTATTACCGAAATGTATACCTACTGTTTCACTAAAGGACTTTCGACTTTGTGCGCTTATTTACCAAAGACGCGCCGCGTCAGCGCTTGTCATTCACAACAGCGGCGCTTCTCAGACTCAACGACGGCGCTTGTCATTCTCAACGGCGCCATGCACGTGAAATTAACTAAATTTGGGGTGCTGGGTGGATCTTTGCACCCCGGCGGCGCATATGCTAAAGATGCCCCTGCTCACATGATCAAATCAAGCCTTGGCCTACACACGCGTCTGAAGACAAGAGAAAGAGCTGGGTGTGTGGAATAGGATTTCTCGGAGGAGAATGCGATCTACTTTCATCTTTTGTTTATTGCTGCTCTCCCTCCAACGAGGCACGGGGAAGGCGGAAGGGTCTCACACAGTGTCCAAGAAGGACACTGACAAACTGGAACGTGTCCAGAGGAGGGCAACCAAAATGGTCAAAGGCCTGGAAACGATGCCTTATGAGGAACGGCTAAGGGAGCTGGGCATGTTTAGCCTGGAGAAGAGGAGGTTAAGGGGTGATATGATAGCCATGTTCAAATATATAAAAGGATGTCACATAGAGGAGGGAGAAAGGTTGTTTTCTGCTGCTCCAGAGAAGCGGACACGGAGCAATGGATCCAAACTACAAGAAAGAAGATTCCACCTCAACATTAGGAAGAACTTCCTGACAGTGGAATTTGCTGCCAAGGAGTGTGGTGGAGTCTCCTTCTTTGGAGGTCTTTAAGCAGAGGCTTGACAACCATATGTCAGGAGTGCTCTGATGGTGTTTCCTGCTTGGCAGGGGGTTGGACTCGATGGCCCTTGTGGTCTCTTCCAACTCTAGGATTCTATGATTCTATGATTCTAAACGCACACGTCTTATCCTCACAACGTCCTCCTGAGGTAGACCAGCCTGAGTGAGAGCAAGCGGCGCAAGGTCACACAGTGAGCTTCCTTGAGGGTAAGTGTCTCCGCCTGGCTCTCCCTGATCCAGCAACTTCTAAAATGCTGCGTTTGTTTTGGGCGGTGGAGCAGGCCTGCCTGGGACCCGACTCTGCTGCCATCAGCATGAAATTGTGCGGGGTTTCAGGAGAAGCAGGACTAAGACGTGGAGATATGCTTCAGAGACCATGGGGAGCCCCAAGAAATTAATAAACATAATTTGGACTATAATTTGATCTTTTTGATTTAAGTTTTTTTATTTTAATTGAAGTATTTTTATGATTGGATATTTAACTGGATGTTTTTTATTGGAAAATCTATAAAAAATGATTTAAAAAGAAATAAATTGTGTGGGGTTTCTGCAGAACTGGATCCTTGTATTCTCTGGGAGAGGGGGGGCACTTCAGTGGGTCAGAGCAGGGCTCTCCGGGAGTGGAGTCCGGGCACCGAGACCCCGGCCTTCTCTCCTGGACCTCCCTGTAAACTCGGGCTTGTGCCCCCCAGCGCCACCCCAGAGAGGACAGCACAGAGCCTGTCTCTCGGTGGCCAGCACCCCATGGCAGGTATCTGTCACCAGAGTGGGCTGGAGGCCAAGTCTTGGGCCGGGGGGGGGGGCAGTGCTGGGAGGCCTGAGACACACCCTCGTCCACGGGGGGCTCCTCCCTCCCACCCACCCCCGGGGGCAGGGGGGTGGCTTGCCCAGGGTGACACGCTGTGCTTGTCCACAGCCAAAGGCAGGTCCAGGGGAGAGGAGCCCCCAGCTGCACCCCAGACCCATTTATTTGCACAGGGTATCCATCTGTGGGGGGGGTATTAGGTGCCAAAATTGAGGGGATGCGGGAAAAGAAGATGCCACAGGCAGGGAGGCAGCGGCGGCAGCTTCTGTCAACAGCCACTTGGAGAGACAAAAGGAGACCCCCTTGGACGGGCAGGGGGGTCCTCTTAGCCGGCCCCCTCCCTGCCTCAGGCTGGCCAATGCGTGCGCAGGAGGTCACCTCCGCACAGGGAGGGATGTGGCGGTTTCTGCGCGGCTGCTTTTGTTGTGTGGCGGGAGCTGATTAGCCCCGGACCCCCTCCTGGGCTTTGTTGCCCCCTCGGCTCAGCCCCTCCCACTGCGAGGAGGCCAGATGGAGGAGCCTCTGACAGCCCCTGCAAAGGAATCTCAGACGTGACAGCGCAGAAACCGAGGCAGCCGGCCCAGCCGCCACTGCGGCCAGCGCAAGCCGGAGACCCAGGTGCACGGCCCGGCAGGCGGAACGTGAGCCGTGGGTCCCCGGAGCCGCCGGGTGCAGGATCCCACCATTCCTCAGATAGTTAACACCCCCAGGACCACGGACAGTCAGCTCTGTGAACCAGAACACGGCTTCACCTCCAATGGAAGGGAGAGCGTTGGGAGGGGAAGTGGGCAAGCCTGCCAAAGGGCTGCCTTCAACCATCGTGCATGTGGCCTTGAAGGCAGCCTGGATGTCCTTTGCAGAGTCTTTGTCCCACCCCCCTGCTTGCTCACTTGAGTAATGGGCCTGGATACACTTGAGGGAGCGGGGTATGTTTAGCCTGGAAAAGAGGGGACTGAAAGATGAAATGAGAGCCATCTTCAGATACGGAAGACAGTGCAAGCTTGTTTTCTCCTGTTCTGGAAGGAAGGACCCCGAGCAATGGGTTCAAATGACAACAGAGGAGATTCAACATGAGGAAGAACCTTCTGTTCAGCAGTGGAACGGTCTCCCTCGAAAGGTGGTCTTAAACAGAGGCTGGATTCTTTAGCTATGATTCCTGCATTGCAGGAGGTTCATAGAGTCCCTTCCATCTCTACCATTCTACGATTCCATGAATACAAGGCCCAGCCTTGCAGGGCTGGTGTGGGCGCTGCGCAGTCGCTGCGTGCATGTGCAAAGCGCCACCTAGAAACGCCCGAGCCTTACCTTATACTTTGTGGCCAGGAGTTGCGTGGCCTCCTGCTCCTTCCGCAGCTCCTCGATCATCTTCTCCTTCTCCTGCAGCAGCTTCTGCTTCTCCTCGCTCACCAGGCTGTGGTCGTCCTGGATGGCTGCCTTCTCCTCCTCCAGCCTCTCCTCCTGCTCCTTCAGGTAGTTCTTCATGTCCTTCTCCAGCCCTCCGTCCTCCTCTCCGTCCTCCGCCTCGGGGGTCCCTTCCCCTCCGGCCGACTTCTTCCTCCGGCTGTTCCTCCTCCTCTTCTTGCTCAGCATCCCCCTCTTCTCCAGCTGGGCCTTCAGCCGGGTGATCTCCTCCTGGAACTCCCGCAGGAGCGTGTCCTTGGGGTCCTCGTTGACCCGCGGCTTGTTCTTGATGTTCTTGGCCCTGTTGGCGAAGCGCAGCGTGGAGAGGCTCTCGTCGTAGCTGTGCGAGGCCGGGCCCAGCGTGGCCACCATGATGGTCTTGGCGTTCCCGCCCAGGGAGTCCTGGAGCAGGCGGGTGAGCTTGGAGTCCCGGTAGGGGATGTGGGTGCTCTTGCCGTCCACCAGGGCCGAGATGACGTTGCCCAGGGCGGAGAGAGACAGGTTGATCTTGGAGGCCTCCTTGGGGCGCTCCCCCTGGGTGCCCATCTTGCTCTGGCGCTCGCTCCCGGCCAGATCCACCAGGTTCAGCTTCCCCACGCGGATGTGGTCCTCTCCGTCGGGCCCCTCCTCGCTGCACTCCACCGTGATGACGAAGATGGCATGCGAGCGGGAGCTGTACTCGTTCATGTTGGTGCTGCCGACCGAGCGCGCCTGGTTCCCCAGGTTCATGACGTGCTCGATCTCCTTGACGTTCTTGGTCACAAAGGAGGACAGGTCCTTGATGTAGACGCCGGTCTCCGGGTTCTCCTTCAGCTCCATCTTCTTGCTCTGGTCCTTGGCCAGCAGATCCCGGATCTCCTCCTGGTAGATCTCCAGGTAGGAGGCCCTCACCAGGTACTGCTGGTTCTGCGAGCGGGAGATGTGGGTGAAGATGTGCTCAAAGGAGATGGGGATGACGCCCCTCTTCTCCGGGTCGGCCCAGGCGCCTTGCATGGTGTAGGTCTTGCCCGTGCCCGTCTGCCCGTAGGCGAAGATGGTCCCGTTGAAGCCCTGCAGCACCGAGTCGATCAGCGGGCGCACGGTCTCGTCGTACAGGTCGGCCTGCTTGGAGCTGGCGTCGTAGACGGCGTCAAAGGTGAAGGTCTTGGCCAGCTCCCCCGGGGAGGCCTTGGGGTTCCGGATGGTCACCTGCCCCAGCTTGACGTCCAGCTCCAGGATCCGTTCGTAGCCTGCCGCCTCCTCCTTCCGGTGCATCGGCCGGCAGCGCACCACCACCTTCAGGGCCTCGCTGCTCTTGGGCGGCCGGGTGGCCATGGCGCCTCCCTTGCCCCTGGCGGGCTCCCCCTCGACCTGTGGCTATCAGGGGGGCGGGCTGGGCATGGGGGCTTCTCCTCCCTGGGGCTGCTGCTGTTGCTGCTGCGACACTGGCACCGCTGCTGACAGGAGGCTGCGGTGGCGGCGGCTAGCGGTCCCCTCGCTGGGCACAATGGATGCGGCTAGGCGTGACCCGCTCCGGGCATCCCGCCGCAGCCCTGGAGCGCCCAGGGCCACCCATCCTGGCGCATCCCGCCGCTGGGCAAGGCTGGGCAGGGCTGGGGGGGGAGGTCTTGTTTTGGAGCGAGGGGGCTGGTTAGCTGGCTGGCTGGCTGGTTGGCCTCGCTTCCTACCTTCGCGCGGGGCAAGCTGCCTCCCTGGCTGCCCGCCTAGTGCCCGCGCCTCCTCCCGAGGAGACCCACCGGCGGTTCCAGGCGGCGGCGCGGCCGGGCAAGGCTCCGGGCTCCCCGGGCGGGAGCCTCATTCATTGCAGCTCAGCAGAAGCAGCTGCTGCCTCCGCGGATGCGAGAGAATGAAGGAGCAAAACAGGAGGGAGGGGCGAGATGCTGATGCTGCCGAGCGGGGCGGGGGGGGGCGGGAGGGAGGGAGGGGGAGGGGAGGGCTCCCTCTTGTCCCCAGACCCCGCCCACCACAGCCCCTCCTGCCCGCCGGGCCCCGCCCATGCCTCGCAAAGCACGCCGGGGGATGGAGTCCAGCCTTTGTTGCAGGCTGCGCGCCGGAGGGATGCAGCGGCGGAGAGGGATGCGCGGCGGATGGTACCCAAGGGCGCGCCTGCCAGGGCGAGGATGGGCTGAGAAGGGGGGGAGCCGGCAGCGGGGTGTAGTGGTTAGAGTGCTCTTCTTAGGACCTGTAATAATAATAATAATACAGTGGTACCTCGGCTTAAGTACTTAATTCCTTCCGGTGGTGCATTCTTAACCTGAAACTATTCCTAACCTGAAGCACCACTTTAGCTAATGGGGCCTCCCGCTGCCACCACCGCACGATTTCTGTTCTCATCCTGAAGCAAAGTTCTTAACCCGAGGTACTATTTCTGGGTTAGCGGAGTCTGTAACCTGAAGCGTCTGTAACCTGAAGTGTATGTAACCTGAAGTGTATGTAACCCGAGGTACCACTGTAATAATAATAATTTATTATTTATACCCCGCCCATCTGGCTGAGTTTCCCCAGCCACTCTGGGCGGCTCCCAGTCGAGTGTTAAAAACAATACAGCATTAAATATTAAAAACTTCCCTAAACAGGGCTGCTTTCAGATGTCTTTTAAAGAGAAGATAGCTGCTTATTTCCTTGTTATCTGATGGGAGGGCATTCCACAGGGTGGGCGCCACCACCGAGAAGGCCCTCTGCCTGGTTCCCTGTAACCTCACTTCTCGCAATGAGGAAACCACCAGAAGGTCCTCAGCGCTGGACCTCAGTGTCCGGGCAGAACGATGGGGGTGGAGACGCTCCTTCAGGTATACTGGACCGAGGCCATTTAGGGCTTTAAAGGTCAGCACCAACACTTTGAATTGTGCTCAGAAACAACCTGGAAGAGACCGGGTTTCGTATCCCGTCCCTTGGCCATGGAGTGACCTGGGGCCACTCCTCACCTCGGCTTAGGTTCTTCGTCTGCCTTTCAGGGTTGTTGTAGAGATTGAATGTCTCTGGGCATATTTTGGGCACAGTCTGTGCATGTGGCCTCTCCTCTGGGTGCGCCTTTAAAATACCACATCATTTATGGGTTTCCCTTGGCTGGCGTGTTGGGGGTTGTGAACCCTGAGCCCAGGCTGGCAGCCTTATGGTGAGTGCGGGAAATAGGTTGATCTGGGTTTTTGCAGCAGAGGAAAGGACAAGCAGATGTCACTCACAAGGCATGATCCGCCAGGAAGGCGAATGGCCGCTGTGGGCCTTGGGTCTGATCCTGCTGCCAGGTTCCCCTTGTGTCTCATGAATTTCTCCTGCACAGGTTCAAAGGGCAGGTGAAGTTTACCGGTGGAGCATTAATTAGTGTAAGGAGGGAGGAAGATGCCATCAGAATTGCCCTTTGCATTTCCGACAGCAGGTCTCCTGCACATATATCTCAGGCCTTCTCTGTAGCAGCAGAGGCAAGGCATGTGGGGGAAGGATGCTGGGAGGTTGCAGAACATTTGAAAAACTAGCTTTTCTTATTTATTTGTTTATTAAGCACACACAAACACACCATCCTTCAGCAGAAATGTGCAGGGTGGTTTATGGTACACCATCGTTGTCATCACTAAAATAAACCACTGTTATAATAATATTATATTCATTCTTCTTCTTCTTCTTCTTCTTATCTCTCTCTCTCTCTCTCTCTCTCTTCCTTCCTTTCCCTTTTTATTTTTTCTTTCCAACTCCATTCCCTTTTCAATTTAACATTTGTTTTATTTCAGTGTATTATAAAAAAATACTTTGCATTGGGTATGAACTTTTGTATATCTTCAACCAATAAATATCACACACACGTATTTACTGTATATATCACTGATAAAAACAAACATAGGAGCATTGGGCGCTGCTGGTCCACCTAGTTCAGTGTTGCCTACACTGACTGGCAGCAGTGGAGATGCCAGCTGGACTTGAACCCAGGCCCTTCTTCATGAAGAGTGGATTGCCTGCCCACTGAGCTGCAGCCCTTCCCATGCCAAACATCAACCAAAGCAGGAGGGGGGCAGAATCAGCCTAAAAACAGCCCTAAAATAATGGTACTGCAAGAATCCCACGATACATTCAAAGTTCAGAGACAGGAGAGGCGAGGGGCAAAGGTGAGAGCACCTGGTGCCAGCCACTGAGCCTTCCGTGAAATTGGAGCTTGGCACGCTCTCCGCTTTGGGTTCCTGGAAAGCAAAAATCCTGACTTTTCAGAGAGAATTCCCCTTCTCTTCCCTCCCCCTCCCCTTTTATGAAGATGACCCACTCTCAGACCCCACAGCTAATTTTCCCCTGGTCTCCTCGCTGGCCCAAGTAGGACCAATTCAGCCAGCTAGCCCTGGGGATTATCTAATGGATTTTTGAATTTTATTGTTATTCATGTTTTAATACTGTACTTTATGCTGCTTTTATAATTAAGTGTTCTAAAGTGTTTTAAATTTGTTGTTAGACGCCCTGAGCCCGGTTTGTGAATAAATTATTATCATTATTATTATTAATATTATTATTATTATTATTACAGTCATACCTCGGGTTACAGCTGCTTCAGACTGCATTTTTTCAGGTTACAGACCGCCGAAAACCGGAAGTACCGGAATGGGTTGCTTCCGGGTTTGGGCAGTCACGCATGCGCAGAAGCGCCAAATTGCAACCTGTGCATGTGCAGACGCACTGCTGCGGGTTGCGAATGCTGTGGGTTGCGAACGTGCATCCCGCACGGATCACATTCGCCACCCGAGTGTCCATTGTATTATTATTAATTTCCCCAGCTTCAAGGGAGGGCTGAGCCAGCCCCCAGCAAGAGAGCAAGGAGATTTGCAGTCACCCACAAAAAGGCAAGTGTAGGCAGGCAGAACTGAGCGAGGGATGGAGCCGGCCTGTGGAAGCCTGAATCCCTGGAGAGGAGTGCCAGGGCCGCCTCCCCCCCCCCTGCCTGGCCCTGCCAGCTTTGCCAGGCACAGTTAAGCCAGGGAGAGGCTGCGTTCCCACTCCCTCCCCCAGCCCCCCCTCCTGCTACCAAGTCAGCACATTGGGAAGGGAGGGGAAGTTGCAGTCCCTCCTGCTTCCATCACCAGGCGATGGGTGACCTTTTCCTTCACGATGATAGGGAGGTCTTTGTCTGCCAGCTTCACCACTTCCTTCACTGGGTGCGGGGTTTTATTTTCAATACAAACAGGACTCCCTGTTTTCACCCACCCACCCATGTTCTCCGAGACATAGAGGGGGGAGGAGGAAAAGGGGAACATTCTGGGATCAACTCAGAAACCGGGATGGCTTCTGTAATTCCGGGACTATCCCTGGATAAATAGGGGCACTTGGAGGGTATGTGACAACAACAACAACAATTTATTTATTTATTTATACCCCGCCCATCTGGCTGGGTTTCCTCAGCCACTCTGGGCAGCTCCCAACAGAATACAGTGGAAGCTCAGGTACGAATGTGATCCGTGCCGGAGGTACGTTCGCAACCCACAGCGTTAGCAACCCACAGCACTGCGTCTGCGCACGCGCGGGTTGCGGTTCGGCGCTTCTGCGCATGCGCAACCGCTGAAACCTGGAAGTAACCAGTTCCAGTACTTCTGGGTTTTGGCGGGTCCGTAACCTGAAAAAACGCAACCTGAAGCATCTGTAACCCGAGGTGTGACAGTATTTAAAATAGAATCAAACATTCAAAAACTTCCCTAAAGAGGGCTGCCTTCAGATATCTTCTAAAAGATTGGTAGTTATTTTTCTCTTTGACATCTGGTGGGAGGGCGTTTCACAGGGCGGGCGCCACCACCGAGAAGGCCCTCTGCCTGGTTCCCTGTAACTTGGCTTTTCGCAGGGAGGGAATTGCCAGAAGGCCCTCGGAGCTGGACCTCAGTGTCCGGGCAGAACAACGGGGGTGGAAACGCTCCTTCAGGTCTACTGGGCTGAGGCCGTTTAGGGCTAGTAGCCTCCCATAGCCCTTTCTTTCTCCATGAATTTGTCTAATCCTCTTTTCAAGCCTTGGGGGCCATCACTGCCTCCTGTGGCAGGGAGTTCCACAGTCCTGCTTGCCGGTTTCTCACAGGCATCTGGTTGGCCACTGAAAACAGGATGCTGGACCAGATCGGCCACTGGCCTGATCCAGCACACCTCTTCTCATGGTCTTATGCTCTGCCTTCACCCCGCTACACATACATCAGTTATTTGTTTCCCTGCTCCTAAATAGGCTTCTGGGAGGGTGCATTAATGCTCTGCTTCCTTATGCACTGAGGCAGCTGGCTTCATGCTGATTCCCATTCCAGCACATGGCAGGGGTGGGCAGCATGAGCACAGAAGCTGCGATGCCCCTACCAGGTGATCTGGGGTTGCTTCTTCCTGCCAGTCTACGCTGGACCACCCACAGAGCCTCGCTGATCCCCCCCCCGTCCTTTCTCTTTCTAACTCCCACATTTGGCCCCAGTCCCAGAAGGCAGAGTCAACTGAGGACACGATTCCCCCCACCCTAGCCCTCCTGCTCCCCTGGTGGGCCCCTGGTCATGCCACCGGACTTTGTCCACAGCCCTCTGGGCATCATTGCAGCTCCCACCCAGGGCTTTGCTGTGCCAGCCCCAGTTTACATTGGAGCACATTTCTGGAATGCGGTGGTTAGCAAAAGATACCTCTCCCCCCTCCACCTCCACTCCCCAAATAATTAATTAATTGATTAACGGAGGGGATAATCTCCTCTTCTGAGGAAGCACCCAGGGGGGTGAGACTTGGCTGGGTTTAATCCCAACTGCAAAGCTGTTTGCCAAGCACCCCCCACCCCCTTGGCAGCAGGGCCAGAGGCCAGTCCCACCCGGGAGAAGACCCCTCCCCACCCAATGCTGGAATGATGCTCAGCAACGTCTGATGCAGAGAGGAACGAGGGAGTGAAGGAATGCCCTTGCAGAACGACCACCATAGCTCAGGGGGCAGAACACCTGCTATGCATGCAGAAGGGCATTTATTTCATGAAATTTATATACTACCTGATTAT